ATTCTCACCGACCTGTTCGGCTTGACAGGCGTGACAATGGGGGTTTCCCACTTGGCGTGGTCAACCGGCTCCAAAACTCCTCGGGCGATCAGCTTGTCCAGTTGTTCATCCACCTTAGCCTTGAGAGCAAACAGAACCCAGCGTGGCTTTAGCTTGATGGAGGTGACTTGTGGGTCAAGGCTAAAGGAGATGGGCGTACCTGTATATTGACCCAAAGTGCCGTCAAAAACCTCGGTAAAGTCTTTGATTAGACCCTCAGTCTCTGTGTTAGAGATGCAGTTGATGCTGGTGACTGCCCTGCCAAGGACATCATACTCACGGACATCTATGGATGTTGGTGATCTAACACTAAGTAAAAGCGAAATGAAAGACGTGCCATGGTCAGATCACTTCCTGGTGCAACTGGACTTATCCATGACCCTTCCCCTCTGCAGGGAGGTGGGACCGATTTGGATGGTCTGCCACTTAGTGGATCCAAATGGTTTCCAGAGAGTGATAGGGGATGTTTTATCCCATGTTGATGGCCTTTCAGCTGATTCCCTGTTGACCCGCTGGAATGCAGAGTTAACCGGGGCTGTCTGGCTCCGAAGCGCCCTCTCCTATTGCATGGAGCCCGGACAGCCCCATGGTTTTCGCCGGAGCTGAGGGCAATGAAACAATCCCTGAGACAGCTAGAGCGCCGGTGGCAGAAAACTCATTCTGAATCGGACCAGACACGGGTTAGAGCTCAGCCTTGAGCCTACCAAGTGGTGATAGCGACGGCAAAGAGGACTTTCTTCTCCGCCTCTATTGCAATTTAACGGAACCACCTTTGCCATTGGGGCCTGGTAAAGACCCCAAGATCTCCTGCAACGATTTTTGCAGATAAAGTCGTTCAGATTCAGAAAGAGGTAGACTCCACCGTGGGAGCAAGGCAGGGGTGGGAGAGTGCTAGAGTCCTGCCTAGTTGAGTTGCATGGAATCAATTACAATCTGTTACCTCTGAGGATGTGGACAGGCTGCTTGTACGAGTGAAACCAACCATCTGTCTCCTTGTTCCTTGCCCATCGTGGCTAATAAAAGCAAGCCAGGAAGGGCTGGGCGATGGGCTTTGCTGGGTGGTGAATGCTTCTCTCTGTGAGGGAGCCTTCCCAGGCCCGCTGAAAGAGGCGGTTATTAAACCGCTTCTTAAAAAAAAATCTTTAGACCTGCCCAATATGGCCAACTATTGCCCAGTCTCAAATCTTCCATTCTTGGGCAAGGTGACTGAGCGAGCGGTTGCTGAACAACTCCAGGCACGCCTGGAAGAAGCGGACCATTTGGATCCCTTCCAATCGGGATTCAGGTTTCACCATGGGACTGAAACTGCCTTGGTCACGCTGGTTGATGATCTCCGGCGGGCTAGGGACAAAGGTGAAAGCTGTTTCCCAGTTCTGCTGGAGCTCTCAGCAGCCTTTGATCCCATCGACCATGACATCCTTCTGGAACGTCTAGAGGAGCTAGGAGCTGGGCGCACTGTTATACAGTGGTTCTGCTCCTTCCTCCTGGGCCGTGTCCAGAAAGTGGTGGTAGAGGATGAGTGTTCAGACCCCTGGGTTCTCACTTGTAGGCTCCCTCAGGGTTCTGTCCTCTCCCCCATGCTTTTCAACATCTACATGCAGCTGCTGGGAGAGATCACCGGGGGTTTGGGCTGGATATGCAGTATGCAGATGACACCCAGATCTACCTCTCTTTCAAATCAGAACCAGTGAAGGCAAGTGAAGGTCCTGTGTGAGTGTCTGGAGGTGGTTAGAGGATGGATGGCGGCTAACAGATTGAGGTTGAATCCTGACAAGACAGAAGCACTGTTCTGGGGGGACAGGGGGCGGGTGGGTGTGGAGGACTCCCTGGTCCTGAATGGGGTAACTGTGCCCCTGAAGCACCAGGTGCGCAGCCTGGGAGTCATTTTGGACTCACAGCTGTTCATGGAGACACAGGTCAATTCTGTGTCCAGGGCAGCTGTCTATCAGCTCCATCTGGTACGCAGGATGAGACCCTACCTGCCTGTGGACTGTCTGGCCAGAGTGGTGCAAGCTCTAGTTATCTCCCGCTTGGACTACTGCAATGCGCTCTACGTGGGGCTACCTTTGAAGGTGACCCGGAAACTACAACTAATCCAGAATGCGGCAGCTAGACTGGTGACTGGGATGGCCGCTGAGACCACATAACACTGGTCTAGAAAGACCTGCATTGGCTCCCAGTACATTTCCGAGCACAATTCAAAGTGCTGGTGCTCACCTTTAAAGCCCTAAATGGCCTCAGCCCAGTATACCTGAAGGAGTGTCTCCACCCCCATCAATCATTGAGGTCCAACACTGAGGGCCTTCTGGCAGTTCCCTCCCTGTGATAAGGGAGGTTACAAGGAACCAGGTAGAGGGCCTTCTCAGTAGTGACGCCTGCCCTGTGGAACACCCTCCCATCAGATGTCAAAGAAATAAACAACTATCTGACACTTAGAAGACATCTGATGGTAGACCTGTTTAGGGAAGCCTTTGATATCTTTTTTTTTTTTTTAATGTATTTTTAATCTCTTGTTGGAAGCCGCCCAGAGTGGCTGGGGAAACCCAGCCAGATGGGCAGGGTATAAGAAAGAAAGAAAGAAAGAAAGAAAGAAAGAAAGAAAGAAAGAAAGAAAGAAAGAAAGCTTGGTGGATGGGACGACTCCCAGATACATCTTTGTGACTACACTGGCTAGGAGTGCCATTTACCACCTTTGTCTGGTACGGTATATGCCAGCTACAGTTGCATCTGGATTGTGCATGGGCAACCTCAAGGCTGGATTAATGCAAAGTGTTCTACATGGGGCTGAACCTTGGCCTTGCCTCGAAGCTCCAGCTAGCCGACAATATGGAACACCTCTGCTAAAACATCTGTACTGCCTGCCTATATGCAACCAGGCCAGGCTAAAGGTTTCTATATATAAAGCCCTGAACAACTGGGGTCCAGCTGCATCTAATGCAGTGTTAAGTAACTGTCATGTCAACTTGAGCAATGGGACTTTTCCCTCCCACTAAGTCTGTTCTGCATTCCCCCCTAACCTGCCAGAGTAGCTTTGGGGAGGGCACAAGCCAGGCAGATTCCTTAAGGTAAAGTAAGCATATTTTTCTCAATGAATCCGGGGACACTTTAAATAAATAAATAAATACTACACGTTCGGGATGTTGATGTTGCGGTGATGGCAGTGGCAGAGGGGCAGCTGCTGCCTTGACCTCAACCACCACGTTTCCCCTTCCTCCGAGGCTTCTATCTCCTTTCTCCATGAGCCTGGGCAGCCCCTGAGTTGTTGGTTCTTTGGTGGTGGTGGGCCAAGAGCATCAGCAAGGCTCAGGCAGCCCAATGCCTCCCTTCCCATTGGAGCAGCCCCAATCCCATTCCTACTTGCATGCAAGCAGGAGGGGGTGGGGACCCCTCAGCTGGGAAGGGAGGCTTCCCGTTTCCTGAGAGATCCTTGCCCCTTCCTGCTTGCACGCAAGCTCTGATAGACAGCGTGAAGCCTCCCTTCACAGCTGAGAGATCCCCGCCCCACTCCTGCTTGCACACAAGTAGGAGTTGTGAGGCTGCTCCGATAGGCAGCATGAAGCCTCCCTTCACAGCTTAGTTGCTGGGGTCAGAGAAGGTGGAGGCAGCCCGGAAGCTGTACCTTAGAGCCCCTGCACCATCATCATATGGGGACTTCCGAGCAGCTCCTGAAGCCAGCCAGAGCCAACTGCTCCGGGCTGCTGAGACTGCCGCTGCTGCATTTCCCAGGGACATTTGATGAAATCCAGGGACATTCTGGGGATGGAATTTGTCCGAGGACTTATTTGCAAATCTGGGGACTGTCCCCGGGAAACGGGGACGTCTGGTGACCCTACCTTAAGGGCCAGCTGAGCTCATACATCCCAGCTAAGTCACTGAAATCAGTGCTATCATTCCACCCCCCACCCCCCCGTGACTCAGAAGCTCAACTGGCTTCAACTAAAAGTAGAGCATTTAGTGTCCCTGTATTGCAGAGTGTTGGACTAGACAACACCTGGGATCCCTTCCAACTCCACAGTTCTTTGGTTCTGTGGTCCCATGTTGTGGAATACTCTTCCAGCAGAGATTCTGCAGGCCATCTTAGCTGCTAGCTTTCAGGCATCTCTTAAAGATTTTTATGCCAAAAGAGCAAATTATTAAGTTGTTTAAACTTTTTCAAGAAGAATTGGTCATTTTTATAATTATTTTCTAGTTTTTACGGTATTTGATGTTTGGTTCTACTTGATATTTTATATGAAGGTGTGGTCTTTAAATATTTGTATAAATAAATAAGTACATTATTAATCTCCTTTTTGTCCCATAGCACACTTTTGTCATCCAAAGGTCCAGCTGGTTTCCTGCTTCTAATTTATCTAAGGTTTTTTTGTTTGTTTGTTTTTTACTGTTGATCTTAATATTTTTAGTGTTGTGCTTCTCAGATTTTTGTCCTTGTTACTGTTGCATTTCTTATTGTCTGCAATTACCTGCAGTTCTTTTGTTCTCATTTGGACAAAACTTCCATTTTCCTAAAGGAAGCTTTGTTGCCTCTAATAGCATCCTTTTGTGTTCTTTCACTGCATGGAGGCACCTCCCATCTTAGACCCAAAACTGAAGGTTTAGATAGGACTAGATATATTGGAAGGGGAAATGATTAGATAGTGTTGAATGTAACTTGTTCCCTGCTCCGCAAAGGCTGCCAAGCCATTGCCTTCTGTAAGTCAACATAAGCCGTGTAGTTAAGCAGGGCATATGGGGATCCTGTTTGAAAAGGAAGCTTACTTGGAAGACTAACTTGTGGATCCTGAATTGCAAATCACTGGTACTGTTCACTGAACGATGCTTGACATTCAAGTGAGCAATGAAATATTGCCTAGTCAACTTAGCTCACCAGCCTTGCATTATCTGACCTATGCCAATTGTTCTGTGTGATGTGCAATATGATTACTGTAGCCCCCCACAAACAACAACAACAACATATACCCTTTCGTAAGATTTCATTGCAGCAAAGAGTGTATTCCAATAAGGTAAATATCCAGAAACACACAATATATTTTTACCAGACAAACAAAGCCAATAGAAATTAAAATACATGGGAAGACTACAGAAGTGGAAAAAAAAGAGGTGCTCTTGTTGGAGAAAATCAGTTAGACACAGAAGGTGGCACATCAGGACGTCGAGTTTGAACAATTTTGGGCTTGGGTGAATTGTTTGGGTCTCCCTCTTCTGCTGCATCCGTGTCACAGACATGCACCACGACACTTGGGGTGGACTCTGTACCTGCGTGCAGCTCGTATTTCTCACCTGCAAGCAAAGACAAACATTTAGACTAAATGCTATTTAGCATCATAGAGCCCCACTAGAATACATTACTGCTCAACTGGACAGTCAAGAGGGGCGTCACGGTTGGAATAAGACCTAGGAGACCAGGGTTCAAATCCCCACTGAGCCATGGAGCTCATTGTGTGACCTTGGATCACTCGCTGCCTCTCAGCCTAACCTACCTCACAGGGTTGTTGTGGGAATTAAATGAGGAGGGTGAGAATCAAATGAAAAGGTAGGATATAAATGCGAAAATGGCATGAATGGATTTTGGACATTGACTCAAGACCCTCATGATGCCACTATTGTTTAAGTATCCCATTTGGGACACAAACTGTAATTGAACATGCTTTTGCCTAACTTCTCCCCAGGGGGCAGTGCGTGATTGTTTAGTTTGTGGAGGAAACTTGATTAGCAAGCTTTGCCGACAGTGTCTATAAATCTATCTTCCTGATGAGTTTTATCACAGTGCCTATATTAAATTTGAAATTTAAGAATATCTTGGGATTCCTATCTACTAATTCATGTGTAATAAAACATTAATGGGCTTGTTGACAGGATAAAATACAAAGGGAGAAATTACAAGTGCTTATTTGCCTGCAGACATCGGTTGATTTGAGATGACTGTTGGTCAGCTCCAAGGCCTTGGTGGTCATTGCCTGCTGCTCTGCAACAAAGGTCCACACATGCACAGCAAATTGTTTGAGTCTGTGGACATAGTTGTCTACCCCCAAGATACAGTACCTTTATACTGAGATTCATTTTGTTTTAACAGTTGCAATCCTAACCCTATTTACCTGGGAGAAAGCCCCACTGAATTCAACAGGACTTAACTTCTAAATAGAATGGTTAGAATTGCTCTGCAAGTTGGTTCATTACTTGGCCATCACATCCTCTTAGTTGTTAATTAAGCGCACAAACACCTATGTATTTGAGGATATGTCATAGAATACAGTAGATGGGAAGAAAGGTGGCCAGATGTTTCTTAGCAGAAAGAACTGTGCCCTCCTCCAGAACACAACAGCCCATCTCCTCAACTTCTCCAGTGGTCATTCAGACAGCAGCCATGAGTTGATCTTATGCATAGATCACTGGGCTGCTTGCTGAAGGTGTTTAGCATGGTTGCATTGCTCCATTTATTTGTGTAGGTGCATGGAAGGATTCCAGAAGAGGCACAGCTAATCATAAAAGATCCTGCTGGTGGTTCTAGTCACAATCATGCCATGCAATAGAGTACAGAACATGGTGCCTCAAAACCTGAGCTTTTGGGGGTTTTTAAGCCACCTTTCTAGATGTCCTTGGTTGTGAAAAAATGTGGATATAGGTAGAAATGCTATAGATCTCAGACCAAGTCAAGGTCTCATGGAGAAATACGGTCAGTGGTTACTTCTCTTGAAAACTGCAGCATGCAACCATACATCACGTTTTTCATTTAGATAAGAAAAACTCATGAAATGCAGGTATTAAGTTCTGTGATGCTGTACATGTTTCAGTTTCAGAACTACTCTCAGAACAAGAAGTAGGAAAACTTATGTCCTTGGAATACACAGAAAATGTCCTCAAGCTGAAACTGAAGCTATCCATATAGATTTCTTACAATACCTACCCAAGATTTGCACACAAGTGATTAAAAAGAGAACTTTGGTGAACTTAACGATAGATAGAATTTAGGTATTCTTGTCTCTATTGGCTCAGTTCATCTTCTCTTCTTAAACTCAAATACCTGAAATTTCAGAAGACCTACCTGATTCCCGTTTAGAAACTGCATAAAGGAGGTCATAGTTAGCAGCAGGTGTTGCATCGTTCATTGGGTGCCAACCTACAGGAGGAGAGGCTGGAGGAGAGATAAGAAACTGCTTTGATGGCTGGGGTGGAGCCAAATGCAGTTTGTCCCCTTCGATCTCAGATCTCCGGACCTTTACATGGATGAAAGAAAGAGTCTCACTAAAGAAGAGAAGACAGCGCTTTGGCAATAAGTGCTAGCAATGCAGTATATACTGCCATTTTCAGAATGTCATTGATATTGAATTTTGCTGGGCTGCTACCAGCTGAGTTTGTTGGCACCTGTAATGAGTATGAGTTACTCGTGCGTAAACTGGTGCCTCTCTAGGCTGATTTGCCTTGTTAAACCTTTCTGACTGCACAGCCCCTTCTGATCAGGACTGTCTCAGTCACTAGCAGAATCCGTCAGTGGGCGTTTCTTGAATCTCTTCCAACATAAGAGCTGTTTGACACCCAATCGCCTCCGCCTCTCACTGCGCGGGAGCCTTCTGCGCAGGGTGGGCGTGGGTAGCGGGGGACCTGTCCCCTCCTCACTGAGTTCCAGTGAAGAGTCCGTGAGCCCTTTCTCCGATTTTCCCATCTGCTCACTTTTGTTCCTGGTGTTGCGCTTAAATGCTTCCCTCCACTGAGTCGCCTCTCCCCTGCTGCTGGGTCCTTCTCCAGCATCATCCAGGAGCCTCCCTTCGCCTCTCGCTCTGATGTCAGTTCCCTGACATCCACCTCCCCCCCAGAATCCCCTCCACCCCTGGGCCGACCTGTGGGACCAACTTCGTCCCCTTCGTCGGCCGAGGAGGCGGGGAAACCCCGGAAGGAACTGTCAGCATCTTCCGTGGGTTCGAAACCCGCTTCCCAATCGCTCTTCCACCTACCAACGGGGTGGTCTTCCCGTCTGATGCTTCTTCCTCCGAAACCTCTCCTCCCTCCTCGGAGTCAGAAAATCCCTCAAAAACCTCTTCCTCATCTGTGGTTCCAAATTGCTCCTCCCAGAATCTCTCCAGGGGTTTGGGTTTGTCCGGGAACCGGTGGTGGAATACCTCCACCAGATACCTGTCCTCGACGGCTTCCGTGGGGACCCACGTGTTTTCGGACCTGGGTTCCCCTTCCCACGCTACCAAATACTCCACCCGGCGCCCTTGCCACCTTGAGTCCAGTATTTCCGTGGCCCTGTGGTGGTGTTCCCTTTCTTCTACCTGCGGGTGTGTGGTGACTTCTCCCTCTTGCCCCTGGAATTCCCGCCCTTCCCTATGCGGTGAAAGCAGGGACCTATGGAAAACCGATTGTATTTTCATGCTATCAGGCAACCTGAGCTTAAATGCCACGGGATTAACTTGCTGTGTTACCTCAAAAGGTCCCAGCCGTCTGGTCTGCACCTTCTGCACCCCCTTGAAAGGTAGCCCTTGGGTGGACAACCATACCCGGTCCCCCACCCGTATGGTCTCCCCCTTCCCTGCGGTGCTTGTCTGCCTGCCTCTTGTAAGTTTCCTTGGCCCGCTCCAAGTTCATCTTAAGTTGCTGGTGTAGGGCCTCCATTTCCTCCACAAACTGTTCTGCGGCGGGTACGCTCCAGCTTTCCTCCCCACTCCCGGGAAGGCCCTGGGATGACACCCATGGTTGGCCATGAATGGGCTCATTCCCGTGGACACGTGTTCCGCGTTGTTGTACGCGAATTCAGCCAGCGCTAGTTTTTCTACCCAATCGTTCTGCCTCTCGCTGACATAGCAGCGTAGGTATTGCTGGAGTATACTGTTCGCTCTTTCTGCTTGCCCGTTGGTCTCTGGGTGTCTCGCCGTCGAGAAACCCACCTCCACCTGCAGTAAGCTCATGAGTTTCCTCCAGAACCGGGAAGTAAATTGTTTTCCGCGGTCGGAGATAACCCTCAAGGGGGCGCCATGCAGCCGGAATATGTGCTCCACAAACAACCGGGCTGTTTCCTCTGCCGTTACAGCATGTGAGCAAGCTATAAAGTGGCACATTTTTGTCAGTAGGTCGACCACTACCATGACTGCTGTCTTTCCCCGGGACTTGGGCAAATCTGTCATAAAATCAATGGATACCACCTCCCAGGGTTTCACCGGCGTGGGTAAGGGTTCCAGCAATCCTGTGGGGGCAGCCCGCTCCCCCTTTGCCCTTTGGCAGCGGTCGCATCCCCGTACATATTCCCGTACATCCTCCCTCACCCTGGGCCACCAGAACTGCCTGGTCACCAGCATCATGGTTTTGTGCTGTCCAAAGTGCCCTGCTGTGGGGTTGTCGTGGAGTTGTTTGAGTACTTTTTCCCTCAGGGTTTCCCCCCGGTACGTACAGCGCTCCCCTATAGTACAGTACCCCTTCCTTCTCCTCAAACCCTTCTTGGGTCCCTCTTCCGTCTCGTGGTTCCCGGATTTTAGTTTGCGCGAACACGTCGTTTCTGGTCAGCCCGGCTAGTTCTCGTTTCCCCACCAAAGTTCCCCCACACCCATCGGTCCTCGGGGATCACGTGTCGTTTCTCCGGCGGCCCCTCTCCTTCCAGGTACTCCGGTTTACGCGAGAGAGCGTCTGCTCTTACGTTTTCTTCTCCGGGCACGTAGCAGATTTCAAAGAAAAACTTGGAGAACTCCTGTGCCCATCGAATCTGTCTCTGGTTGAGTACTCGTGCGGTTCTCCAGTACTCCAAGTTCTTGTGATCTGTGCAAACCTGGATCTGTTGTTGCGCCCCCTATCAGTAGATGACGCCAACGACGAAAGGCCGCGTAGATTGCCAGCAGTTCGCGGTCATACACTGTATAGTTTTGCTCCGACTTGCTCAGTTTTCTGGAGAAAAAGGCACACGGTTTCCATTCCTGCTTTCCCTTCCCTGGTTGCAAAGGACCGCCCCCACGGCTCTGTCGGACGCGTCGGTCTCTAGCCTCAGGGGTTTCTCCAGATCTACGTGCAGGAGTTGCTCTTCCGATGCGAACGCCTTCTTCAGTTTTTCGAAGGATTGCTGGGCCTCTTCTGTCCACACAAACTTCTTTTTGCTACTGAGACAATCCGTGATTGGCGCTGTCAAGTGGGCGAAGTTCTTGATGAACTTCCTGTAGAAGTTGCTGAACCCTAGGAACCTCTGTACGTCCTTCCGTGTCTTGGGAGCCTTCCACTCCAGCACTGCCTGCACCTTGCTTGGGTCCATCGCTAAGCCTTTGTCAGACAACTTGTACCCCAGAAACTCGACTTCTCTGGCGTGAAACTGACATTTTTCCAGCTTGACCCACAACTGGTGCTTCTGCAGTCGTTGTAACACTTCCCTGACGTCTCTAACATGTTGTTCCTCATTGTCCGAATAAATTAAGACATCGTCCAAGAAGGCTACGCAGTTCTTGTACAGCAGAGACCCCAACACGTGGTGCATGAAAGCTTGAAAGCAGGCGGAGCCTGACTGTAATCCAAAAGGCATAACTAAGTACTCAAAGGCACCTAGGGGTGTGAACATTGTGGTCTTCCATTCGTCCCCCTCCCTCATCCTGATCAAATTGTATGCGCCCTGAGGTCCAGCTTGGTAAAAATTTTGCCTTTCCTCACTCGCGTTAAAATGTCGTCAATCCTGGGCATTGGGAAGGTCACGGGTTCTGACACCAAATTGACAGCTCTATAGTCCACTACGAGCCTGGGTTTATTTGTGTCCTTTTGTCCACAAAGAACACCGGACTGCCCCCTACTGCCTTTGATTCTCTTATGAAGCCTCTTTTCAGGTTCTTGTCGATAAATTCTCGCAACTCCTTCATCTCCCTGTCTGACATGGCGTACAGCTTACCCACTGGCAGCTGAGCCCACGGAAGCAAGTTGATCTGGCAGTCAAAGGGCCTATGGGGTGGCAGTCTATCTGCCTCCTTTTCGCTGAAGACCTCCCGCAGATCTGCGTATTGTGGCGGCACCTCCCCTTTCCGCTCCACCGCCATCCCAGCCACCCTGGCCACGGTCATTCTTGGGGCTTCCCCTCCTAGACAGTGTTCCAGGCAGTAAGCTGATCCAAAGGTGACTGTCCTCTGATGCCACGCCACCACTGGATCATGTTGTGCTAGCCAGCTCATCCCTAATATTATTGGGGGTCCTGCTAGCGAGGCGACGTGAAAGGCGATGGTTTCCGAGTGCCTGGACACCCTCATTCTCATTGGCGGGGTTTGGTGTGTCACTTCCCTCCTAGAAGCTCCCTGCCATCAATGGTGGTCACTTGCAAGGGAAAATCCAAAGGCAGTAAGTGGAGCTGGTGCTCTAATGCAAAGTCCTTGCTGAAGAAATTACATGAGCTGCCTGAATCCAGCATGCCTTTCACCTTGACTGGGTGCCCGTTTGGGAGTTCTAGCACCACTTCGATGGCTATTGCCGCCTTGGGGGGGTCTGGTTGGGGCACTTTTACTGGTGGCTGGCTTGGCTGTTGTGCCCCTTGATTGGCAGCCAAGCGTTCTCGATACCCAGTTCCTGTTCCTGTACAACCTCCTCCTCACCCCCTGGGGGTCCCACCAGTCGTTGCCAAGCATTTCTTTGAAGGCAGGCTCTGGCAAAATGCCCTGGCCGCTGGCAAAGGTAACACCTTTTGGAGGTTTTCCAATCCTTTCCCTCCTTCTTGCGCCCTTCGCTGGTGCTTGAAACTTCCCGCGCGCGCCCCCCATCTATTTCCATTGGCTCTGCTGGCGGGGAGGGCTGCCTTGGTATTTCAGGAATGCGGTAGTCATGGCAACGTTGCTCTCTCCCTTCCCGCCTCTCCTGGGCCCGCGCTTCCTGGCGCGCGCCAATCGCAAGCACAGCCTTGGTCAGCTGATCCATCCCCTGTGGGCGGGGTGCGCGGGAAAGTTCATCCTTAACCGTTGGGGACAACCCCTCCTCGAATAACATCTGTATGGGTTCGGAGCCCAGTTCCCACCCGAGGCGATGAACTATCATGGCAAAGCGCGACCAGTAGTCCCTGACTGACTGGCTCCCCTGTTTACAGTTCATCAATTCCCACTTAGTCACACTTTTTTTGAACATCAGTGGAAAACATCGCGTCCATCGCTTGGAAGAATTTCCTCAGGTCCTGCATGGCGGAATTCTGCGTCGCCATAAGGGGTCTGACCCATTCTCTGGCCCCGTCCTGCAGGTGACCCACAACATATGCCACCCGCGCCGCGTCGTCTTCAAAATCGTTATGCTGCAAGTCCAATGCGTACTCTATTTCCGTTCTAAACGCACTGTATTCTTGCGGCTTCCCCACAAACTTGTGCACCAGTCCCGGTACCTTCCTTGCTATGGGGGTGGGTCTGACCTGTGCATCTTGAGACCGCCTTTCGTCCAGCCGTGCCGTCAGAATGGCCACATGCTGCTCCAAATCTCGGTTCCTCTCCTCCAGCGTTTGCCCTCCAGCTGCTCCCCTTGGGTGCCTGCTTCTCCGGGCTTGCTCATGATGCTGCCTGCCTGCTGCTGCGCACGAGCAACTTTCAGGGACTGACGGATTGCTGTAATGAGTATGAGTTACTCGTGCGTAAACTGGTGCCTCTCTAGGCTGATTTGCCTTGTTAAACCTTTCTGACTGCACAGCCCCTTCTGATCAGGACTGTCTCAGTCACTAGCAGAATCCGTCAGTGGGCGTTTCTTGAATCTCTTCCAACATAAGAGCTGTTTGACACCCAATCGCCTCCGCCTCTCACTGCGCGGGAGCCTTCTGCGCAGGGTGGGCGTGGGTAGCGGGGGACCTGTCCCCTCCTCACTGAGTTCCAGTGAAGAGTCCGTGAGCCCTTTCTCCGATTTTCCCATCTGCTCACTTTTGTTCCTGGTGTTGCGCTTAAATGCTTCCCCCTCCACTGAGTCGCCTCTCCCCCTGCTGCTGGGTCCTTCTCCAGCATCATCCAGGAGCCTCCCCTTCGCCTCTCGCTCTGATGTCAGTTCCCTGACAGCACCCAATGACCATTAAGTGGACCCACTTCTCAGAAGTTCATTGCATAAAATGTGGGGGGGGGGGAGGGAAACATCACATTTGGTGATAAGTCTCCCTGGAAGCTGAGAAATGTAGTAGTGAGATGTTGTCCTGTTTGTCCCACTGTCCTTTTTTACTTCTTTCTACATGTCTGATCTCTTCCAGCCACCTCCCTTATCTGCCCATCATTTCCCCCTGTCTCTGTCCTGAATGTAAACAGGAGCCTAGGATTTTCTTTGGTTATCCTATACTCCAGTTATGGCAGCTGGAAGGTATTGAATCAAGATTAAGTCCTGCTGTGGTCTTGAAGATACACTGACATATGATACTAGTTAAGTCAGCATAACATTATACAAGGGTAATTTCATAATAATAAATGATAAAATAATTCATTTATTATTTCTTTCCCTCCCTCTTCAGCCAATATGCCCATGAACCATTTACAACGTGGAAAATAAAACAGTACAATATAAACATAGAAATGTAAAGCACAATAATGAACATTGACTGAAAGCAGTACGATCCAACACATTGTGCTCCCTTGGTGCACTTTTGGTGCACTCCCTGCACCAAAACGGTTCTCCATCAGAGATGAATCATGGTTAAAATGATTTCTGTTATGGTTGGTATCTGAAGAGATGGGAAATAGGTGGTAGACTTCTAGCAGTCACTGGGTTGTGTGTTTAACTATAAGTTTAACCATCACCCCCAGTTGTGTCAAGGTTTCTGTGTATGAAATGTTCATTTAATAAATATTTTTCAAGGCTCTGGAGGTGAAATATTTATTAAAAGATAGGTGTGCATGCTTGAATCTACTATAGAGAAAATTAAACCTTCTTAACCTTAGTAGGGATTAAAGGGATTTTTAAAATCCTTTCTTTAAATAAGAATTACTTGTAAGATCTTGAAGACAGTTATGCAATAGTGCACTTTATTTACCTCAGTTATACAGCTACATTATGTTTAAATCTTATGTAGAGAGTGTCTACATCATGAACTGCAGTGACGATACTCCTGCAGCCTTACTACTTACACTCTTGAACTCTTCAAAATACTTGGAATGTAATGAAAAACATTATGATTAACATGGATACTAGTTAATTTACAACATAAGCAAAAATATGTACCTCATCACTCTTGGTTGTTATTGTTGATGTTGTTTTTCTATGGAACAAAATCTGAATAAGGTGTAAATGAAAAAGCAGCTTCATATTGTTCTAAGACTTCATTTCTGCAAGTCAAAATTTATTAAAACACCAATAGAATATTCTAGGTATGATTCAATATGCTTGTGCTAAACATTCTGTCAGGGAGAGGCAAACGGGAAAAGATGAAAGGACAGAAACCAACAGTTATAGAGAGCCTAAAGAGATTATCAGCAGCTTGTCGTCTGACAGTCAGTCTGACGTAGAGGGGGAGGAGGATGAGCCTGGGACAAGTCATGCTGTACACAGAGGAAGTAAGGGGAGGAGTTTTCGCAGAATTGCATGCTGGATGCGGAAAAGGAGGAAGTAACATCAGAGGGAGCAACTGCGCTCAAGGGGAAGGAGGTTAATGGAAATGCCGGAGATGTACGTTTGAACTTTGTCAAATAAATCAATTGTTTGGAACTGGCTGGGAGCCCGAAGTCTTATCTATGGCCAGCTGGACAGCACTAAGCCTCTGACACATTCCATTCAGCACCCCAAGCAAGCACCCAGCAACGCTGTGCATTGCACTTTCACAGGATACCTGCAAGTTTCAGTTGTTCAAAGGTGTATACAGAGAGCAATCTTATACATGCATGCCAAGTTCAATGGAGCGCAATCTTAAGGATGCAACCCAAAACATGCCTACTCAGAAGTAAGGCCTACTGAATCCAACAGGGCCCGCTGCTGGGTAAGTGAGTGTAGCCAGTTCCTTGACCTGATGATGTGTGGTCTCACATGTTCATATTCAAATTGGTTGCCAGGGGTAGAATGTGAAAGAATAAGGTTGCATGTGCTCACACACACACCATGACCCTCACAGATTATATGAGACTCTATTGCCAATCTACTATTGCACAGCATGAAACAAATGTAACTAAAACATATGAGCTCATCCACAGACTACGTACCAGCTCAAAAAAACATGTAACATACACATTATGTAGCGTATTATCAAGGGACTAAATATTTGTAAAGTCTTTACACAGGTTAAGTACATTAGGAAGGCTGGAATTAGTTCTTTGCTATATGAGAAGCTGCAGCACCATGCCAGATGTCTTGAAGCTCAACCATTATCTACTGAGAAACCATGTTTTGCTGGTGAGAGGAACATAGATGTAAGGAGTTGTTGCGGCCAAACTAGTAGAGATAAGGCTCCAGGCACACAGCCATTTCTGTCTTGTTGATTTATTACTAAAAGTTCAAAACAGTTACAAGAGTTCAAACAAACGCATCTATGCTTCAGTCAATCAGATGTCTCGACTGAATATTTGTGACGTCTTTTCCCCCAGCATGCCCATCGGTGCAGGGCACGCCTCCTATTTCCTTTGTTCTGTGAGTAGCTAGTTCCAGGGACTGGTTGCCCCCTCCCTATTTCCTCTTCTGAGTCAGAAGACAAACTGCTAATGAGCTCTTTCGGCTCTCGATAATTGCTTCTCTCCCCCCCTCGTCTCTCTAGCTGTCTCCCTTTCCCTGACAATAGACCACTCAACCAAATAATGCACTGATTATCTTGGTCCAAACTACCCAGGCTTTGGGTGGTAGCATTTTTGTTTTGTTTTCTTTTCTTTTGCAGCTTAGCAAACTTACCCCCTCATGCTTTTTATCCAAATTTATTACACATTCATTCTCATTAGTTTGTGGAGTGGTTAGGAATTTTCCCCTCAAGCGAGTATTAATCCTTGCTTCCCAGTACATCCTTCCATCATTTGCCTTATTGAGTTTGCTTCACTGTTGGGTTGAAATCACGACAGACGAGTGGTAGGTGTCATATGAGAGGCGTCTGCCGGGGCAAGCCCCGGGAACTCTCTTTTATTGAATATTACAAACATTGCCACAGGTGTGCTTGTGGCTGATTGGTTGATACAAACACAAAGCATCTTGTTGCTGATTGGTTAACATAGGTACAAGGCGGGAATAACATATGTCCATTTATCATTGATAGATCAAAGGATGAGGAATGGGGCTAGAACTAGACAGGCATGAATCCTCCTAATTAAATTATAACTAAAGATTAATATAACATGACTAAAACAATTACTAATGATTGATCATAACATGAAAGAATATAATAATGAAGTTCCGTAGATGTGGTCAGCTATGCATTAAAAACAGACCATATTGTTTTGTACATGAACTTGAAATGAACTGAAGAATGAGAGAATGTCTAGGTGTGCTTGGCTTGGTGTGTTTGGAACAGTATGTGCAGAAGCAGAAGCGAGACTTCCCAGAATGCAAGAGAAAAGAAGCAAGATTTCTCATAGGAAGCATAGCAAGATTTCATAGCAAGACTTCCCACAATGCCACAGTTATGTGCAGTAAGAGAACTGCAGAAAGAAAACTTCCCTTCATCTCCCCCTTTCTTTTCTTGTTTGCGAGGCGTTCTAGGTAGATAAGGCAAAAATACTTCGGGATTAGTGGTGTGCCAGCGAATGCCCGAAATAAGCTCGCCAGGGTCGATGGGACAAAAATACTTCAGGATACGTGGTTTGCCAGCGCATGCCCAAAATAAATCCGCCCACATCTCCCCTAAAGTTTACTGTTGGTGTTGCCATTTCGCAAAGTAAGCAGCAAGGAGTTTACTGGGTGGTTGAGGGGGAGAGAGAAGCCGAGAGAAAAGACTTATGAGGCTAGGAACGCATTGAAGGAAGCAGCATAGCAAAATAAGAATACAAATTATGACAATAGCATATTGAAAAAGACTACGAAGCCAAGTAAAGTTAGGCAGCCAAGCAGTAAGCCACTGGGTGAAAGAATCCCAGAGGCCAGAAAATCCAACGTCCTGTTTAATGTGATGTGTAAGATTTTGCAAATGAGAGATTTGGCTTTGAATGGCTCTAGAATTGTCAGTAATATTGAAACAACACATGTCATTCACTTGTTCACAGCCATAATGATGAAGCATCAGCAAATAATCTATAGCGGCGCGGTTCTGTAAAAGCCCATGCTGGAGTTCACTTTGCTCTTTATTCAAAAGGTGAAGGGCTTGAGAAGTATAGTTCAGCGCTTTTGCTGCAGAACAAGCTAGAGAATTAATATTTCTACTATTGCGTACTGCCAATCCAGGAACTCCTAAGAGAGAGGCAGCTAAGGAGATATATTCAGATCTACTGGGAAGAGAAATTGAATCATCACAATCATTAGTTAATTCAATAGAGCGGCGATGTCGAGAAGGGGTCAAATGATGCTTTTTGGGTAATACAATAGACAAACGGCTTAAACAACAGGGTGTTCCATGGCTGATGTTTGCTGGAATGTAATTAAATGTATAGCCAGGACATGACCAGAACCAACCCGCAGGTAGTTCTGTGTATTTATATAGATAGGAAATATTTACATAATCAGAGCAGTGGAAATTATCAGCGGCCATTTTCACGCAGTTGGCTTTTGTGCAATTCACCATACGGGCGCAAGTGACATTAAAGGAAGCCACGTATGGGGTCGATAAATCAATGGCCAGAGATGGGCGGCGGCGCACTTGGTTACTCCAGACATAATAACCGGAATAACCAAGGGTGCGGAGGGAATCATTCGTGGGTAGGGATGAGAAAAACCAGGTATCATTTTGTATATCAAAAGGATCATGGCAAACAGGGATAAGGCAAGAACCAAGAATTTCCCCTATAGATACCTGTTGGGTAAGGCAAAAGGAGGAAATATTGAGTGTCTTTGCAAATCAACTTTAGAGCTCCAAATCAACTTTAATTGCACAGCCTGAAGCAGGGGTGGACTGTACTAATTCCTTTCGTAATCTGTCACCCTGTGCCAGGCGAAAGTTTGGTGCCCCCAAATGGATCTTCTCAATATTGGATCTTCTCAATTTTGTGGTCCCCTCATCTTAGTGCTCTGTGCGGGGGAACCCCCTGCATCTCCCTAAATCCAGCGCTGCCTGAAGTTCCCAGTGTGTGGCCAAATCCCACTTGGAAGGAGCAACACCCTGGAAGAGCCCAAGCTTCCTTCCTTCCTACTCCCTCCTTGTCTCTTTTCCTTTTGTGTTATGTCTCTTAGATTGTGAGCCTTAGGGCAGGGGCTGTCTTCTCAGTGATATTTATGAGCAGCTCTGGGAGCCTTTTCCCACAGTACAGTGGGATGAAAAAGCATTGCACGGCCCAGACACAGAGGTCCAGCTCTGAGGGCCTTCTGGCAGTTCCCTCACTGCGAGAACCAGGCAGAGAGCCTTCTTAGCATTGGCGCCCTCCCTGTGGAACACCCTCCCGTTAGATGTCAAGGAAATAACTGTATGACTTTTAGAAGACACCTGAAGGAAGCCCTGTATAGGGAAGCTTTTTAATGTTTGATGTTTTACTGTGTTTTAAATATTTTCTTGGGAGCTGCCCAGAGTGGCTTGAACTTACTGTTTAGCCCTGCAGATTACCTCACTGTTATTATCATTATTGCATTATTCTTATTTGCAACGGATACAACTGAACAGAATTCAACATATGATATATACATGTGAAACATGTTCATCCTAGAGACTGTCAGCCGCATCCCATCGCTCACAGAGGGGAAGAGCGTGGAGAGACAGGAGGAGGTAATTAGGCAGGAATGCAGAATGACAGATGAGCAGCCTAGTTGCAGTAGAAGCCCGAGCTCCAAGAACATGGAGAAGGAAGGGGGGAGTTCAAGGGGGAAGACACAGACTGACAGTTTAAGCTCGGATTCAGAGGGAGGGCCACTGGAAATAGCCCATCCCATGACGCGCAGGCAAGCAAGAATTAATGAGAGGTGTGAACAGGAATGGAAGCAAAAGTGGGGCTTTAAATGGGGGAAGAGGAAGGGGCAGAACTCAGACCCGGCAACAGCTAATTTGGAAGCAGACGCTGAGTGACTGAGCTCCAGAGTGATTTGTGTGTTTTGAGCAATAAACCTGAGTTCATTGCTGCTGGAGTTGTCTCGCTTCTGTAGGAGAGACCCAACCATTACAGAGACATTGCAAAGTGTAGTTTTAACTTCTTCCCTCAGAACAGTGTTTCATGAAGTTCTGTTCTGGCATGGACAGCTGATTTGGGGTTCTTAAAGAAAAATTCAACCTCAGTTGGCTACATACTCCCCTTGGCTAGCATATTAGAAGCAGCTAAAAGGCAGACTCTTCAAATTTTCTGTGTTGTTCCCACCACCTACCAGCACAGTTAAGGGTGTCCTAGACTCATTCATTGTGAGGTCTTTCACACAATAAAAACATTTACATGAATATAGCAAAATTTATACTTCCAGCCACTGGCACAAAGCTGCAGTCAGTGCAGCCAAAGCCTTCATGAAAGAAGTGCCTGTTTAGGTGGTATCTGGTCACAAGTAACTAATGGAAGAAAAAAAGAAGATCATGCTGTTGATAATCTTCAGAGTCCAATTCTCTAAATTGGAAGAGAATTTAATTCAAGCCAAAGGGAGACATATATTAAAGATTTACAACCTCCTCCTCAATTGGGAAGTAAAAGAGGAGGAGGTGAAAGCTGTCATGATAAGTTGGGCCCAAGATATTGGACACAATATATACATGAATGAATGGGAAAGACTGTGGAAAGAGGACATCAGATTCACTGCATGTTATAATATTAAGAGAAAATGTGATGAAGATGTTATACAGATGGTACCTAACCCCAGCCAAACTGGCCAAGATGTATAAGAACAGTTCAGAGGTTTGTTGGAGGTGTAAAAATGGGGTAGGAACATTTATGCACATGTGGTGGGGGTGTAAGAGAATAAGAGTATTCTGGGATAGTATATATAATGAACTTTAAAAGATACTCAAGCTCTCATTCAAAAAAAAACCTCTGAGGCCTTCCTATTAGGAATTATGTTTATAGAAATCAAGAGAAATCTTAGATCTCTTTTCATGTACGCAACCACAGTGGCTAGGATTTTAATAGCAAAGAATTGGAAAAGTGATATCATCCCCACAAAAACTGACTGGCAAGCAAAAATGATAGAATATTTACAACTAGCAGGGATGACAGGGAGATTAAGAGGAAATTCAGTACAGAAAGTTAATAAAGATTGGATAATGTTTAAAGAAAATAGAGGTGTATTTCAAGACCTGATCCATTTCCAAATTAATGCCGGTGACCAAGAACTGAAATGTCACTATGATAAATTTACTGTTTTATTTTTTTAAAATGTGACATATATGTTCCCTCAAATCCAAAAAGAAATTGTTGATCAATGCAGGGCTATTATCAAAGATGACCTTATAGAAGATGCAAAGAAGGCGTCTGCTGTCAGCATACTGACTGATGAGGCAGCTATCAATAAATCAGGGAAGGAGAAGTTGTCCATTGGCTTGCGCTTCTTTGAACAACAAGAAAATAGAGTTTGTGGGTTTTGTAGAGCTCCCTGTCCTTGATGCCATTACAATTGCAACAGCGATAGACAAGTTCCTGGAGGAAGAAGGACCCGGAGAAATGTGTAGGCCAGAGTTACGACGGGTGTTCAGCTATGGCTGGCAAGGTCGGTGGCATGCAAATAATTTTAAGAAACAAGTATGAGAAAGCTATGTTTTTCCATTATGCATCTCACAAACTTAATCTTGTATTGAATGACTTGAACAATGTTCCAGAAATACGCAACACCATCTCCACTATCAAGGATATCATAAGGTTCTTCAGAGAGTCAGTGTTGAGAAGAAAATATGCCCCAAACATTCCACTCCTCCGTGAGATGCGGTGGTCCCAAAAGTACAAAATTATTGCCATTTTCAAAGAGCATTTTGTGAGCATCATTGAAAGGTTGGTGAGATTATCACCAGAAAGAAATGACAACATGTGGAAATAGGTATTACAGATACATTATGCTGCCACCAAAGCTCAATTCATCATTGCTGTCGCTCCGATAGCCAAGTATTCTGTCTTATTGGAACTTGTGGTAAATGCTCTAAAAACCTGGACCTGCTCCAATGTTCAGAGTGCATCAAACAGATTCTTGGAGTGATGACAACTCACCGCAGTGATGCAGTGCAAGTTGCTACAGAGCTCATTTAGGATACCTACAAGATGGCCAAGGAATTTGGAGTGGACTTGAGAGTGTCGAGATTTGTTAGAAGACAGCAACATGGCTCCAACCCTCCAACGTCCAGCCCTTTAGAGTACTGGAAGAGATCCCTAATAATTATTTACTTGGACTCCTCAGTGTCTTCATTGGAGCCACAAATGGAGCAGGTGAACAGCATTCACTGGTTGGCCTCTGTTATTTTCTCCCACTGATAGGGAACCCACATAAGGACTCTCTCCGGACTCTAGGATACCCCATATGGGAAAAGGAGCAGTTTTTTCTTCTAACAAAGTGCACGTTCATAAGCAAAATACCCCAAATCTCTCATGGGTGGCTGGGGGCTTGGACACGCATGTGGGTTCAGACACATACTGTAACAGTACTAAAAGCAATAATTATTACTTGATGGGTCTTTTTATTGCATTTTTATGTGGTTGCACATCTCCCCAGATGCACAAACTTGTTTGCATTTTTGTATTTACTGCTCCAGTAAGCTTTATATGAGAAGTGTTTCCATGTCCCAGCAGGGCTGATTGTGGTATAAACAGAACAAAAGATTAGGGTATTGATCAGATCAGATCAATTAAATTTTCCATAGTTTCTTGTGCAGTCATGTATTGCCTTTACAGAGGTCACAAGCTCTTTTGCCCCACACATTGCAAAGAAAATTAAACCTTGCTATGGGAGCTAAAATTCAGAATAAACATATCAAACTAAAAACAAAGCAAGCCTTCAACTACAGGCACGTTAATTGTAGTGCCATTTATATTAATGGGTGGAGGCCCTCAAGACAATGCAGACATTACATTAGAAGAAAGGATGGCCAAAATGCAAGTGGCTCATTCTGATTTCCTACCTCAGGCATATTATTATTATTATTATTATTATTATTATTATTATTATTAAGAAGAAGAAGAAGAGTGATACTGTAGTTTCTAAATAGTGAAGACACTTCCACTCTGGCTGGATACAAGATTTGGAAACAGGGAAGCAGAGTCAGGCCTGTTTATTTTGAAAAATGGAGCCTTTGTGGAAAGCAATCTATTGGCTGCATTGTGCTTCTTCATTTATTTATTTATCTTATTTATTGTATTATTTATTTCATAACATTTATACATCGCTTGATTGTAGAGGACCTCAGAGCAGTTTACAAAAGATAAAATAGTAAAATCAAGAAATATTCACAAACATAATTTAAAACATACAAAAGTTAAAATATTAAAACTGATTAAAATTACCTCAATTTCCTAAGCATCTGAGTAGGCTTGTCTAAAGAAGAATGTCAAAAGAAGAAGCAGGTACCAAAAGGAGGGCAGGGAATGCGCCTGCGTGATGTCAAAGGCAGGGAGTTCCAGCCTAGCTGCTGCCTCACGAAATGATTGAGTTTTTACAAATGTGGAATGGGGATTGTGTATCACCTGCAGTAGCGCCAATTCTGCCAACTGAAGCAGTAAAATGGACACAATGTAAAATGGAGGCAATCCCACAACCAAAGAATTACAGAGCACCAAAGAACCTGGACAAACTTGCAGAGCCAGATCTCATCCCTGTTTTTGCCCTCTGCTTGTCCACCCCAAAGGAAGCCCAAAGCAACATACAGAAACAGATGCTCTAGCAAAAGGCAAATGCTATGAAACAATAATCAATGCAGTTAATGATCAATACAAATGCCAAAAAACAATCAGTAAGTAACAGGGGGGAAATAAAATAACCCTGCTCCAGCAGTCCATGAAGAAAACCATTTGGCTGTAAAGTAAAATTAGACACATCTACCTAAGAGACAGCTGAAGCCAAGGGAAGAGCAAGCCACAACCAACTAATGCAGTAAAAAACCGCGATACGGTGGACCACCACAAAACAGAGCTTTCTAATGTCAAACTTGCCTTCTCATCACAGTTTAATACATTGTCAAAAAACACCTGGAGGCAGCCCACCCTACTCTCCTGTCCGACAGATGTGCCTCTGTGAGGGGTGTGTCTGCATAGCACAGTCTGGAGCAGGCTCAGGAGCGGCCAGCGACACAGGTGCTCCAGGCTGTGGGGGAAGCCACTGGCCAGGCTTGATGTTCCAGGCAAAAGGAGAGAGAAAGGAAAGGGGGCGGGGGGGGGGGAAATGGAAGGGATGTGTGGATGTGAGTGTGGAGGGGAAAAGAAAGAAACAGTGTGAGGCAGTCATTTTAAGGTATGTGTTTGTGTGTTACTGAGACACTTAGCTTGAACTCTGCACATGCCCTGGAACAGGGGCAACCAATGTGCCTCCTTCCAGATGTTGCTGGACAATTCCCATCGTCCTTGACCATTGGTCATTTTGGCTGGGGTTGATGGGAGTGGGGGTCCTGCAGCTCCTGGAGGGGCCCACACTGGCTCACCCTGCCTTGGAGTTTGGCCGGGCTCTGCTTGTTACTAGTCTCAGAACTGCAGCTCAGATTCCACTGGAAAGTTTTAAAGAGACAGATTCTAAACGTCATGCTTCCTCTGCTGTGGCATCTTGTAACCAAGCAACTCTTTTAGCTGCCGTAAGATCTGCTTTGGCAGCTGCCAAAGTTTAAGCCAAATTTCTACTTCTGTTGTACATAATGTGATAAGTACATAAGATTTTTGAATATCATTTTTTGTAATTATTGTTAATTGTTTTTATCCTCTGTTGTATGCTATGGTGAAAATATTAAATACTGTCTTACACACTCCCTGTACTGTGCAGCACCCACAGGATGTGAATATGCCAACAACCTTTTTCTTTTTGCCTCTTTTTCCATCACAAAATTTGGGATGTGGGGCACAACATATGCTACATTAAGGATTCATTTACATATTTACCTTTTTGGCCCAAAGAGGTGAACAGTATATCAATTCAAAGAAGGGTGCAATAAAAGTACAATAAATGCAGTGACAATCTTCAAAATAATATAAAATAGTAAAAATTGCAAGATACCCCATAGTGGTCTACTTACTCCACGAACAAGCCCAAATACGATGGTGACCACCCACGGGGGGGGGGGTGCTGTCACACTCACTCACGCCCTCAGCCCTGTGTCCCCTCTCGCTGCATCAGGGATGCGTCATCGGTCCAAATTACGCCATTTGCAACTATTCTTTAAATGAAGGCTTATCTCACTGCCTTTTAAAATTATACATTTTCACAAAATTGATCTTTATTTTTGGGATTGCTTTTTTGGCAGCTCAAGAAAAAAAGGGAAATTATATTTAAGTTGCTCATGGTTCAATCACCAGGGTTAAACAGAAAACCTAGCCCTTTACAATTGATAATTTTTAGTCAAAGTTACGGGTTTTTCCAAGTGAGTGCTCCAGGTGCTTAGAACAGTTGGCATACTGGAAGAAAATCCAGAGAACCCACTCTCCTGGACTCACATGGCATTTACTATTCATTTCCTTATCATGCTGTCCAAAAAATGCAGAGTAAACAAAGATAATTTTGTTTATGCTAACAGACTGGTAAAATAACAAGGACATTTTGCTAAGAAATCAGCTTTCTATTAAGATGCAATTTTTTTTTGTTACTATCACAAAGGTAATTCAAAAGCTATGTTTTTAAAAGCTCATACTAAGGAACAGCCCCATATTCTCGTCATATAAACAGACCTACGCGCTCCGTTGTTGTGCTTAGAATGCCAGCATCTTATCTGCTTTATCGCAGCCCTTCAATAACTCCCATTGCACTCCGTCCCCTCTCCCCCGGAGGGGCAGGTCCGTACCTTCACATCTTGGCTGGTAAAAACCTCAAGGTCCAGAGCGCAGGCAGCCAGAGAGGCGGCCGCACAGTCCATGCCCCCCCTCCCCCGGTGTCAGTCTGGAAGGAGCTTCGCAGCCTCGGAGCTGATGCCTCCTAATTGCTCCGGATGCTCCTCCAGGGCTGAAGGCAGCCGCTTTAAAGTGGAGGAAACACAGATGCAAATTCTCGCCTGAGCTGTTTCTAGCCTCCAACACAACTTCCAGCTATGCAAGCACTGCTGTTCCATTTCGCATTGCAATTACATCACCACAAGGACTGACACAAGCTACCTCACCCCCAGCTCGCACGTTTTATCAACTCCAGGCAGCACACTGAAGCAAACAGAATATGATTACAATAAACCCAGACTAAATCAATGTAGGCAGCACAGGCTGGCAACGGAATCATCATAGTTTGTGTTGGCAAAACATGAACGTCCTCCAAGGCATTTTGCTTTTCTGGATACTCACTAGAACCCTCAGCCATTGTTAAAAGGCAACATCCCATCCTTTCTCCCAGCCACAACCTGTGATGCAGCAACGCTGCTACTGATCCCCCTTTGATAGGGTTGTCAGTTGCCACCACTTTCCCTCAACATAATTCCTGTGTCTTTAATAGCTGCATGAAATTCAGCAATTCCCCCCCTCCCCCCATGCTTGGAACATATTCATCTCCCTGCAACATAGCAATTAAAGTTGAACCAGAATTAATGGTGGCAGAATAATGGTACACAGAAGACAAATCTCCATATGCACAGACCCCACGAGTCCTCCCTAAGCCTCTTCCAGGTTCTCTGCCAGGTGGCCAACGTGGCTGACCAGGAGAATCTGAAAGAGCCAGTGGTGACAGATGAGAGCTCTTCAGCAATATGGTTGGAAGGTCCTACGATAATGCCAAAGGTTTCTCTGCTATCATGGAGAAGAAGAGAGGTGGGCATTGCACTGAATGCTTGTAAAGCAGGGCCATGCCTCAGATCAATTACCCTCTTCTACAAACTGCAAAAGACAGGCTCACCTCAGACCAGGCAGGCTCCCGTCACAGGCTGCTCTGCGACTCTGGGTAGAGGAAACCATCAGCTCAGGGAGACAACATGAGCTACTACCTGGATGCCTTCCCGGATGGCCTTGTAGCCCATGTAGCTCTGTAGTCTGAGGTTGAGGCCGGGCACTTGCAACAGGACCAGCTGCTCTGTACAGCTTGCAACAGATACAAAGGACGCCACTCCACTCACTCCTTTTTCTTCCTTACTTCCACTTTGCACACCTGCCCTTCTTTTGCCCCCTGGTCGGTTTCCCAGGCAGTCTCTGAAGAGTTCCTGAGAGGTGGGCCTTTCCAGGGATGTGGGTCTGCCATCTTTACTCTGCTTCTGTGTGTTCCAATTGAGCGTTTTTCTTCTCCCCTCCTCGCCTGAGCCTGCACTGGATGTGGCAATGTAGTGGCAGCGTATCTCTGATCCTGGTGTTATAGAAGTATAGGATTGCTCTGTATGCTATGGCCAAATCCAGTACTTTCTAGGCTAGAAAACATTAATTTTCACAGCAAATAAACAGCAGTGTTTATATCCAGTCATGTACTTCCATCATAAATTTTACTGAATTGATGACTGAGCCTTTTCATAGCCTGTCTCTAGTCTTGGAAAAAACAAACAACCCAGCTCCTCTAGAAATACTAGGAATTTAATTATTAGGTTTTAGGATTTACAGTAGAATATAGGATAGGATATAGGATACACACACACACACACACACACACACACGCTGCAGGCTTTGTCTTTTGAAAGCAAGACTCATTTGACTTGCAAAGTCCATCATTCTATACCTTAGTTGCCCTTGAATTTGGTAATAGAATGAATGGTAAACGTTCAGCTTTCTTAGAGCACAGAAATGTCTGTCAGAATGTGCCTGGTTGTCCTCAAAGCCTTTTGACCAATGGGATTAAAAATAAAATGCAAACTGAGAAGTAGCTCAGGGAGATGGGTTCAATTGTTCTCTTTCATGCTCCGTAATGCTGATGTTGCACTTAGGAGCACAAAGATTTTGGTTCGGCAGCATCAGCAAAATGAATCTGACACTATAATACTGAAGTGTAGATTCCTGTTTCTTTTGCTTAGGCTACAGCACAGACACCATGGAGCACACATCATTACTGAACCGCCCTTCAATTGGAGCCTGAAAAAGAACTGAAAAACCAAAAAGCATTTCAAACTTTAAGTAGAACACACACAATAAAAAAGAAATTATGACATGTTTTCCTATGACATTGCAACCTCTGTTGCAATTTTACTTAGGAATCCAGCTCTCATATGTTTTATCTTATTCCATCTTTCTGCCAATCATTCAAGTACCAAAATAATTTCCCTATCAATATACAGAAATGTTTATTTTCCTGTAAAAATTCTTAAACAGTAACCAAAGCAATACTAGATTCAGGTAGATAGCTGTGTTGGTCTGACAAAGTCGAAATAAATAAAAAATTGTCCAGTTCAGATACTTCTGTTTCAGTGTATCCGAAGAAGTGTGCATGCACACGAAAGCTTATAACCAGTACAAATTTAGTTGGTCTCTAAGGTGCCACTGGACAATTTTTTATTCAAAGCAATACTGTTTATGGTCCTGTAAAAATAAGGCTAAACTGTAAAATTCCTGCAGAAGTATTTTATTCTGAGAGAGAACAATAGACTAACATAAGAAACTGCATACTAAAAGTTGTGACATCCAGCTTTGTTAAATCAGCATTTAGTTTTAACACTCTTGATATCAGATATCTTGGTTCATGTGGGAATCAATGACACTGCAAGCAATAGCCTCCAGAAGATCAAAAGAGACTACGAGGCTCTGGGCAGGAAATTGAAGCAATTAAATGCACAAATTGTCATCTCATCTGTCCTCCCAGTTGAACGATGTGGCCCAGGGAGAGAGGGACAAATAGTGGAAGTGAACAGCTGGCTTCACAAATGGTGTAAACAGGAACGGTGTGGATTCTTAGATCACGGACTGCAGTTTCTGAAGATGGACTTCTGGCAAGCGATGGGCTGCACCTCATAACGGTTGGGAGGAATGTTTTTGCCAAAATCTCAGAAACCTCATCAGGAGGGCTTTAAACTGACTAATGTGGGGAGGGAGACAGTGCTCCTGAAGGTAGGAGTCTATCAATTGATGAAGATGATCATCCAAATGTCATAGACCAAATGGAGCAAACAGCACGCAGACCTAGTGGTGGGAGGAAAAATCCTTAAATAAGAGACACGGGGAATGATTAATGGACTTCAATGTCTGTACACTAATGCGCAAAGCATGGGAAATAAACAAGATGAGCTTGAGCTCTTGGTACAGCAAACTAAATATGACATAATAGGCATCACTGAAACCTGGTGGGATAAGTCCCACGATTGGAATGTAATAATGGAGGGATACAATCTATTTCAGAGAAACAGACCAGACAAGAACGGAGGAGGAGTGGCGTTATATGTCAGGGATGTGTATACCTGTGAAGAGATCCAAGATTTAGAACCTCAAAGCCAAAGTGAGAGCATTTGGGTCAAAATTAAGGGAGAGAAGAATAACAGTGACCTCATTGTGGGAGTTTACTATAGATCCCCAAGCCAAACGGAGGACATAGATGATGCCTTCCTGGAACAGATGGCCAAGCATGCAAAAGGAAGGGAGATAGTAGTAATGGGGACTTCAATTATCCGGATATTTGTTGGATGTCAAACTCAGCCAAGAGCATAAGGTCAAACAGATTCCTCACTGGCCTTGCAGACAACTTCATTGTCCAGAAAGTGGGAGAAGCAACAAGAGGAACAGCCATTTTAGATCTGGTCCTAACCAATGTTGATGACCTGGTTAGTGGGGTAGAAGTGGAAGGATCATTAGGCGTGAGTGATCATGCTCTTCTGAAGTTTACTATACAGCGGAAAGGAGCAGCCAAGCATACTAGGACTCAATTTCTTGACTTTAAGAAAGCCGACTTCATAAAACTTAGGGAAGTGCTGGGTGAGATCCCATGGACAGTAATACTAAAAGGAAAGGGAGTTCATGATGGCTGGGAGTTTGTTAAGAGGGAGATAGTAAAAGCACAACTTCAGGCAATACCAATGAGAATGCTTTCTATCTGGAACTAACTGGAATGCTTTCTATCTGGAACATACATGGTTGTGGTGTGTGTGTGTGTGTATTTCTGTGAGATTCTCAGTGGTACAGAGTGGTACTGAGTACTGAGTATGGCTGAGTGGTACTGAGTATGGCTGTGCAGTTTTCTGCAACTTGAGATGCTGCATAGCAGCAGCATGCCCTTGAAAGGGCTTGGAATACCACTGCCCTCAGCTGCTTCAGACCCTACTTTGTCATTCAGCCCTGCATAAGAGGCACAGGTAAGAGATGCTCTAGCTTCGGGGGAGGAAAAAATTGGTGAAAGATAACGCACATGCTTCAAGAGAGGCAGGAGGTTCTTATCTGCTAACAATTTTACCACTGAAATGAAGAACACTGAGATGGAAGATTACATCAAAGTACAACAGACTAGGTATGTGGAATGGAATGCGATGGAACTGAAAGGGGGGGAAATGACTTTTTTTTTTGTTTGCTCTATGTGATTAACTAATAACCCTCCCTCTTAGAAGATCCGTCACAGCAACTAATTGCAAATGGGACTAAATATGAATTGTGGGGGAATAATTTGAACTTAAAGGTTTTACTCTGTGAAGGATTTGGAAAGAAGGAGGGCTCTCTTGTGACGCAGTAAGAATGGAGATTTGATACGAGACCTGTGTTGCAGAGGTTTGGTCTTGGGGAGGGCAAGCCGAAGATTTATTACTTACAAGGAGATTGTGATCTGGAAGGGGCAGCCCTCCTAGAAAAAGACTAATTTGCGATGCAACAGGTTGGGAAAGTTAAAGAGCGAGCTTTTAGACTGTATTTCATCGGAATGACAAAATGGCGATTGCTTGCTTGAGCGGAAATGCCTGGATTATTGGACGAGAGCGATTTATGAGAGAGCAGTACAAAGCCCACACAGAAACACAAATAAGACTGTTTTTTTCAACCCACTTGCGGAGCAACTCGGAGGTGAATGAAAAGGAAAATGAGGAATGACAAGGATTGAGAAGACGGGACTGGAAATATCATTCTTAAGATGAAAGCAGCACAAATATTCGAGGATTGGACTCTTGCCGATCGAGAAGCATGGGTACCCCCCACAAAAAATTTTAATTTGGAAAACAATTGAATTACATGATATGTATTGTTATAATTTTGATTAATTGATTTGATGTGTTTAATTTGGTAATATGAAACTTAATAAAAATTATTTTTAAAAAATTTTTTTTAAAAGGAATGGAGCCGATCCATCCGGCATTGCGGGGTTTGGGCTAGATGCCCCTGGGGTCCCTTCCAATTCTGATTCTCAGTCTGACAGTTAAGGAATTGGGATGGGCACCAATGCTCAGCTTCATATCCTCAGCTTATACTGAATTCGGCATGGTCCCTCAGGCTGCTGTGTCCCCACCAAGTGGAGAAGGCTCTGCAAAAACAGAAAAGAAGTTACAAGCAGACACTTCAGATGATAATACAAGTGATAATATAAGTGTAATTGAAACAAGAATTTTACCAACAATTAAGTATATTCCCCCCAAAAAATGTTCATTATTTTGAGCCAGAATCGGTCTCCAAAGCAGTTTAGAATTAAACTCTGTGGGCAAGTCTTACAAAGCCAGTCCCGTCAACAGAGGCCCTGCCAAAGGACTTTTGCTTGTGTGACAGGGCTCCTTCCCCCGCTCCCCAAAATTAACTGGGGGGGGGGGAGAATCCCCAGAACAGTGTGTGGGAGGAGAAGGGGGGGGTTCTATCTGGCAAGCCATAATGTTTGCACAGATAGAACAACTGGAAGAGAGTGATGTTGAATTCTACTTTATGACAAGATAAAACCTAAGTAAATGAGGTTGTAGATATTGGGCAGAGGAAGAAGGCAGGCTCACATGGTAGGAGGGCTCAGGTTGTAGATATTGGGCAGTTGTAACTGGAAAAGTGTGCTACAAACCATCACCCTTATTCCTTGACTGATGTTGTCTATTTTTTGCACTTTATGAATAATCTGGGTTTTTAAAGTGTTTTTATTCATGCATGCTTTTTTCTCTTTTGCCTGCAATTGATCTTATCATGCCTCATAATGGGGCAGAAAAGTGGGATTACATGTTTTTCATAAATATTCTAACAAGGGACACAGCTAACAATCTGGGATGCTAGTTATTCAAAAGTGGAGCATATACAAGCTTTCACATTTTAAAACAAGGATTACATTTCAGATTATCTAATCATGAACTGTAAGGGAGACATAGAGATCTAAATAGAGATTATCTATATTTAGTGGAATTTTTATGAACATATACTTTTAAGGATCTTTCAAAAAACTATGGGAATAAAAGTCTGTTATAACATAATAGGGGATGTTAAAACAGTACAGTAACTTCATTGACATCACAAGGTTGCTGCATGTTGGTTCAAATAATAAAAGAGCATGAAAAAATTCCTGTTTGTTCCATGAAGCTAGACTGTCCACTATGATTATAAGCCTGCACCTAGTAAATGTGGAGGTTTCAAGAGAATTTACTGTAGCATGGACTAATTGGATGCAGGCCTGTAGCCTATGGCTGCAACCCAGAACTCAGGTAAGCATATTTAACTTCCATTTAAAGTAACTAGGGTGCCAGCTTCAAGTTAATATTCCACTGACAAATACCTATGGAGGAGTATATGTGAAAAATTATTACATTCAAATTCCTAATCCATAAGAATCTTGCAGAAAAGATACACAACAGACAATACAGAGGATGGTGATATAACAGCAGAATGCAAAGTTACAGAAAAATATATCACCAAGAACAATAAGGAGTACAGACAAGCAGACAACAGAGACGTAGTCTTTTTCTTTACAATACCTCATGTATTTGATAGAAGTAACATCAACTTGTAAATCAACACCCAGACAATGTTCCAGTAAACTCAGAGTTTCTTCCCACCATTTTGCAATTAGACTAATAATATTGTCATTTTGTTGTATCTTTATAGATTTGTCCAGTTTTCTAAGCTATTGCTTGTTTACTACTAAGACTTCACTGTGCAGCTAATATATGATGTATGTATTCTCACTGAAATGTAACCATTTCAGCCGGAAATATATGTTGACTATATATCTTGTTTTATCTTATCAGCTTGATAATCGATTAAGCCTCTTTGCAGGACGAAACACTGAGTCCTTATTGTGGAGCATCTGTCCCAAGTGATATGTTTTTCTGTGACTTTGGAAAGATACACAAGCAACAGACTGAAATCCAAAATCTGTACTGGCTGACATCTGTTGCAATGTTTTTCATGTCTGTTCCTCCACAGATACTCTCCACTTTAAAAAACTGCTGCATAAGAAAAGGCACTACATGGTGAACTTTTATCTAGTTAGAAAAGTTACAAAAGCTTAACAGAAGAGATGAAAGATAATTAAAGTTACATACTATGAACTTTAATTTTCATTATGAATATGTTACCTCCTTTGGTAGTGGGTCCAAAAGATGGCATTCATATTTGCAAAGCAACATAGCTACTAGAATTTGAATCTCCATGATAGCAAACCATCTAAAATGCAAACAGTACAAGTAGATAAAAACTGAGTTGATCTCAGGAAACATCATCTAAAATTCTGTTACAATGCTTCATTCTTTATTAATTTTTTTACACCACCATTCATCCAAAGATCACAGGGCAGTTTACAACATAAAAACACAAAATGCATAACATAACAATAATAAAAAATACCCCTCCCCAATTTTTAAAGAGGCATATAGCAAAGAAACAACTTTCCAAAATATACAGTAGACTTGATTTATCTTAAAGCAGATGTTTTCAGCCACTTGTGTGTAGATAACCATTTGCACAATGCCCCCTTTGGTTGCACAATGTGGGAGGGGGGTAGTCTGTGTGGGCTCATTTCATGGGTAAGACAGTTTTGTCAATGATGGGATAGTTTCAAAACCTGAGTAATACAAACATTAGCCCAGTTTGTATTAGGAGTAGTGTGTTTATCTGAGTGCTTGTTTTGTACTAAAAGGAAGTAAAATTCAGTAAGTTTCTTAGGCCTGCTCTTGGATACATTCAAATTTCAAACTTGAAAAAAAAGGGTTGCATCTTTTTTGCAATTTAACTTTGCAAGCTTTCCCACAATTTTTACAAAGATACTGTTACATCATGGAATGTTTGTTGTATTCTAATTCTTACAGTGAAAGCCATCAACAACAAAATGTTGACACAGTGCACTTTGTGAGAAAATTTGTTCACACCTATACAAATGGATGCAAAAGCTATTGTTTCAGCTAATGTTTAACACTGCATCCTGCAACATCAACAGAATGCATTGTGACCAAATATTGAAATAAGTATACAGTGGTACCTCGGTTTACGAACTTAATCCTTTCTGGAACTCCGTTCTTAAACCAAATCTGTTCTTAAACTGAAGTGCGCTTTCTTTAATGAGGCCTCCCGCCACCGGTGCCCTTCCTCCGTTTGGATTCCGTTCGTAGACCGAGGTAAAGTTCACAAACCGGGACACTACTTCCAGTTTTGCGGAGTTCGTAAACTGAATAGTTCATAAACAGGACTGTTCTTAAACCGAGGTACCACTGTATGGAGCAACTGAAATTAACTTTACACAGCTTCAGAAGGTGGCAAGGAAACTGTAAATTCAGAGAAACTGCAAGACATTCCTACATGCCACATTATCCAGCACTGCCTTTACCATTTAACTCTGGAAGACCTCCATCCAGGTATCTGCTGTAATAGCTTGTAACAGTAATAAACTTTTCAATCCTTTTTGAAAAAAGAAAATCATCTGTGAAGCTTTGTTTTTAAGAGGGAATGAAGTTATAGGAGTAGAGTCACTCTCTAAAGAGTTTAAGAAATAAACTCCGGCTGTTTTACTGACCTTCCTGGACACTGGTGTGCTCCTCCTCCAAATGCCACAAAACCTTCCAAGGAAACATTTTTTTCTAAATTTGCTTCTTTCCAACGATCCTGTGTGATGAAAATTCCCTTTCTCAAAATCAACTTTGTGGTAAATAAGCTTAATAACAAACATGACCTTCTATTTGGCTAAGCACGGAGTAAGAAGCTACTTTTGTGAGTTTATTTTAAACATTCATAAATTCTAGATCCAGAAGAGAGATAGCAGGGAAGCTTAAAGTGCAGCAAGTGCTGCTGCAGTTTTTTTAACGCTCAAAAGCTTCTCTTAGAATCCCAAGAATCCTTGTGATAGTAATGTAAACAAGAACTTGGCTCTCATTTTAATAAAAGGTGTACTTTCAATACCCATGGTTGTGGTTATTTTTAAAATAATTCTCCTTTCCCCAATAGTGCTTTCCTCAGTACAAGCTGTTATGACCTTTAGCCATGCCTAAGGAGAAGCATTCGAGTTCCTCTATGGTAGGCAAGTCCAACCTCAAGTAGGCTGTGATCTACCAACAAGTATCAAAAACTGGCAGTGATCTACCACCCTACAAAGTCATTTAAGTTTATTAAATATGAACAAGTACTAAACAAGTGAGAAAAGTCAAACTATATTTTTATATTAGTTTGCACAGATCTGAGGAACCAGCTTCTCTCTCTCTCTGTTAACTCTTTCCCTTCCTTCTTTCCCTTCCTTCCTTCCTTCCTTCCTTCCTTCCTTCCTTCCTCCATGTTCTCCCTCCCTCCCCCTGCCTCCCCCCCACACGGCATCCTCACTCTCTCCCTCCACCTCAGTCTTTCTGCTTCTGGAGCTTTTTGTTCAATCATGTTATTGCCCCCAGCCCTAAGTTATTACCCCGCAGGAACACCCTCCCCACAAACATCCCAGCCCTCCCTCAGGGCACTGCGTCCCCCCCACAGAGCGCAGTGCAGAGCAGGCATCAGGGAAGGAAGGCAAGCCTACTTCCATGGCTGGAGGAAAAGGAGGAGGAGGAGCTCAGGCTTGCATGAGACTGACAGTAGCAGCAGCGGCTGCTGCGTCCCAGGCTGCAGAGAAAGGCTTTTCTTTCTCAGCCTGCGACTGATGAAAATAGGCCAGTGATTCCCAAGTCAATCGTGATCAGCGTGTTGGAAATGCCTGCTCCATGAGAACTATGTCCACACAGAAAGTCAGTGCCTTGTAGTGATTCATGTTGGACTACAACCTGGAAGATCAGTGTTCAAATTCCCAGTCAACCATGAAGCTCCCTGGCTCCCTTGGGTCAGTCACAGTGTGGTGGATGACCCTTGCTCCAAAAAACATGGTCAAAATTAAAGGGTTCAGGAGTTCAGACCAGACCAAATTTCATAAAATCATCCACAGACTTTACTAAAGCAAAACCCCACGAGAGAGAAAAACTCCAAATAGCTCAAAAGGTAAGAAAACAACAAACACTAACTTATCCCGCTAATTAACATAAACACACTTAAATCTCAGTAGGCTGAGCAACGGAACAAGATGCTGTCAAAAGCCCAACCTCTGCTTGGCTGGCTGCCAAGAGCTCCCACCAACCCAGGTTTTATGGGGGCTTAGACCATGGGCGTTCACCTCTTCCACCCAATTACCTTGTGACACCGGTCTTGAAGCCTTAACGGGAGACAGCTGTATCTAAGCTCATTATCTCTGAGGTTCTAACTCATTTTCATATAATTTTTAAAGAATAATTTTTTAATTAGTTTTCCAATATACCCCCAATATTAGCCAAATTATAATAATAACAATTAATTCCCAAATTATACAATTATCAAAGTGCCAATCAACTTCCAATTAATACATTTTAGTTAAAGTGGCTCCCCGCATGGTGGTCTGGGTGCATTTCCGATCCTATATCACTGCGTCCCATAAACTTAATTGTCAATTACATTTCAGTTATAATAATAATAATCCCTTAGTCAACAGCTACATAATTAATGGTTTCCATTTTTGATGTTGTAATATATAAATTTATAAAGCTTCAAGTGAGGAACTCAAACTATTATCTTTATTCTGCCCTGCGTGTGAAAACTGTTATATCCATGGAGATTCCTTCTTTCCATCTATGGTGTTGTCTCTTTCCCTTCCCAGCTGTTGTTTTCTCCCATTGTGGCCTTGGGCAGAACTGAATCTCCAAGTTTCTCAGAGATCTTATCTCTCCGTCCCTTGCTTCGATGTCTGCTAGAAACCATTCTGTCTCACTAGTAAAACATGTCACAGATCTTTGCCATTTCCCCCTCAGCCTTGGAAAAGGTGAGCAGTTTTCGAATGTGCTGAAGATTTAATACTCCTTTCCAGCTCCCAGAATCTCTGCAGTGTTCTTATCACAGTTCCTAAATTGATAGATTTATTTATTGCATTAGCCGAGTGGCCATAGCATGATATACATTGAAATAACATCATAAAATGGGGGTGGGGAGGTAGAGGTAGACATCGTCCTGGGCGAATACTTAAAGAAAGTGAAAAGAAAAAAAAAAAAAAAAGCTGCTGAGGCTGGAGGAGGACCGTTAAAGGGTCCTTCAGCTCCTCAGATTAGTCCTAACTCGATTGTCCTTGTACAATAAGGCTACTTGGAACTTCGTTCGGTTGTGCGGCGTATCGACTGCATCTGTGGTGTTAAGGAAGAAGTTAGTGCCGCTTTCCTCTTCATCACACTAAGCAGGAAGTTAGCTGTCATCTCAGTAATCCAACAATCAGAATCCTGCAAAAGAGGGACACTATCCAAGGCTGGATTGGGAGATGGAACTTATTCACGAGGGGAGTTAAAAACCGAGATCTTTCATCTGTCCAGTTGGGACAGAAGAGCATTACATGTTCCATAGTCTCCAGGGCCGTGTCATTACAGGAGCATGTTCTGTTTGCGATGGGAACTCTGGAATAACGACCCGACAGAACTGCTGTAGGAAAACAGTTGAGACGGGCACAGGTAAAAGCCCTTCGCTTAGTCTCCGAAGAAATTGTGAAGCAGTATAGAGGGATCCCTTCAGGGGGTGGAATAGCTAGGGCTAGGCCTGAACACGGTCCTCTTGCACAAGAAGCTGTGTTGGAGAAGTCAAGTTGCTGTAGTTTCTTTTTAATTAGGGGTAGGGCCACCGGGCTGATACACTCTAAGTTAAGAACAGTTTTACAATTCAAATTGAGAAGAGAGCGGAATTTGAGGTTAATTGTAGTTTTCCAAGGGGAATTATGAATATCTCTTAGGATCAGATTGGAAAAGCCACCTCTAATTCGAGCATCCGATGCTAATAGGTGGAGGGTGTAGGAAATGGCTCGGCTCCATGCTCGTCTAGCAATTGAAGGCTGGGCGAACTCGAGTCGTAGGGCTGCACCTGAGACACATCTCGGGACGCCGGAAAGAGATCTCAGAAACATATGAAGTGGACGATCCAGGTTACCTGATATTGCTGTAGTCCATACTTCACATCCATATAATAATTTAGGGACGACTTTGGCATTAAATATTTGAATTGCTGCTGGAAGGTGTTTGCCGCCCTTCTGGTGGTAAAATCGGACAATGGCGTTAGAGGTCGTGGTTGCAGCGAGAAAGGCAGATTGTAGATGGGTGGTCCAGGAGAGATTATAGGTGAATATTAATCCTAGATATTTAAAGGCTTTTACCTTTTCTAAGTAGCCACCTGTGATCTTAAGCGGCTCCAACTTGAGTTTGCGGGAACGAGTGAAGTGGAGGACTTTCGATTTTTATAATTAATATTAAGAGCTTCCGCCTTACAATAGGCGATAAATGCATTAACTGCATTTGCTAGATCCGCAGCTGTTCTGGATAAGATGACGGCATCATCAGCATAGAAAAGGGAAGCAACGGGGTGGCCTGCTAAGTGAGGAGGATACTTAGATGCTAGCTTCAAAGTGGAAATTGCATCATGAAGATAGAGATTAAACAGTAAAGGGGCCAAGAGGCAACCTTGTCGGACGCCCTTGGCCGTTGGAAATGGAGTAGTGGGGAGCCGTTTGGACTAGTTCGGACGCGAGCTGTGGTGTTTGAATAAAGGGAGATAATTAGGGAGAGAAGGTGCGGATCAATTCCCAGATGAGCAAGTTTGGACCATAATCTCTGCCTAGGAATGGAATCAAAGGCGGCCTCCAGGTCCATGAAAGCGGCAAATAGGTGGCCTTGCCTTGGAGCAGTGTATTTACTGGCAAGGTGAAAGAGAGTTAGACAATGGTCCATGGTTGACGCTGACTTTCGGAAACCAATCTGTTCTAGCGGTAGAATGTTCCTCTCCTGGACCCATGAGAGAAGTTCCTCCAGTAAAACAGCGGCAAATATTTTCCCGGGATGGATAATAAGCTGATGGGGCGATAGTTCCTAGGGATGTTTGGCTGGCCGCCTTTGAAGATCGGAACTATTATAGCTTCTCTCCAGGAGTCGGGGATGTCTAGGGCGGAGGAGATAGCGGTGAATACAGGAGTCAGGTGTTCGCTCCACCAAAGAGGATCAGTCAGGAAAAGGTCCAACGGGACCATGTCTGGGCCGGGGCCTTATTCCTTTGCATTGACATTATGATGTTGAAAATGCGAGTTGAAGTAAAGTTTATTGAAGAAGTGGGACTAAGAGAGCAGGAACTGAGGTCCAATGGGGATTGAAGGAGATCTGTAAGATGGTTTGGAGAAGCGAAACTAGTTGAATAATAAGCAATCCATTCATCCGCGGAAATCTGGATAGCTGGATTGAATGGTGCCGAAGGTCTAACTAGGCGCCAGAAGGAGCGGGAGTCATGCCTCTCTACAGCCGAACGAAGAGTGGACCAAGCCTCAAAGATGTACTGCTGTTTCTTGCAATGAATCATGTTTCTATATGTCCTTTTAATATCTATGAGCTTTGCACGGGTTTGGGGGTCGTTGGAAGATTTGATGATTCTGACCATTTTCCTAATTCGCCTTCTTAGGGCTTTACATTCCTTGTCAAACCAGGGCGATTCAGAGAAGAGGCGTTGGTAAGTAGGCGAGGTGGTGGTTATGTAAGTTGTTGAGAAAGCATCAAGTAATTTCCGGTATTGGTCAGCGGGCAGGATTGGATCAGAGGGAACTGCAGACATATCAAATGATTTTTGTATGTCCAGGGCAAGAGAGGAGCTGAGGCTTGTCCATTTCTTTGTTTTGTATACAGGGTGGCTTTGTACCATGGTTCTATAGTTTGAGGAGACTGGGAGTGGCTCTATTAGGTTTAACATTAGAGTCAATGGAAGGTGGTCACCACCAAAATATTCAGCCACTTCCATTTTTGTAGAAATTGAGAATAGCTCCGGCGTCAATAAAATGTAGTCGACAACACTGGTTCCCGGGAAGTGATGCACGTTAATTGCTGCGAGGACAAGGGAGTAATGTTACCATTTGCGAGGCAGAGATCGTTTTCCATGGCCAGTTGGGCCATCAGCCTCCCGACGCATTTGTTATAGGATCAAGAGAGCATCTGTTTCCCAGGGGGCTGCAGGGGATTGTCCAGGAGTGCTGCGGGAGATATTATATCATCGTCGTTGGGACCTATTCTTGCATTAAAGTCGCCTAAGAGGATTTGAGGGAGTCCTGGGTTAGTTGTTTGGAGATCATGGAGCCAAGACGAAAGTTCAGACCACCTTTCATTGCGGTCGAAATCATTAATTGCTGGGGGCAGATATACTGTAGTTATCAACCATGGGCTTTTGGTCTTTGGGAGATGAATCTTTATGGTGAGAAAGTAAGGGGAAGATTTAATTTCCTCGCAAATAGTGAGGGGTAAGCTGGTTGAAATAAGACAGGCGAGGCCAACTTGGGGGCGACCCCTGTTGGTTAGTTTACGAGCACAGGAGCTAAAGGAGCAATAATTTGGGAGAACAATACTTTGTTGGGACCAGGTCTCTTGGAGGCATACAATGTCGAAAGAAGAGATGAGATTCATTGCTTCAGGATCCATTTGCTTTGTCGCCCAGCCGTTAACATTCCAGGAGACAATTTTAAGGCTCTGGGGTAGGTTGGGTGCGTCTTTCAAGGAAACAACTGCTTTTACTTGATTTGTGAGTGAGGGTTGAGTCTGTTCGTATCTAATGATATCGGATTTCCGCGGAGATAGGGAGCCGGCTGGTGTTTGTCTCTGGTCTAATCTTTGTCAATTATTTCCCAAGGTGCTTTTAGGGATTACTTTTTTATAAGCCGGCCCATTGCTCTCCATACATGGCAAACTAGCCAAATGTTCTATAGTTTCGGCTGTTAACTGTTGAATACTGACATTAGTGGTCGCCGGGCCTTTGAAGTGTGTTATCTCTTTCCGTAGGTGTTTTTCCGGAACCTGATTGTGGCCTAATTCCGCCTCATTTAGATACCTCAGCTTGTCCCAAGAGCCTGGTGAATTCACCTTCGGGATGGTTCTCTTTATTGGAGGTGGTGTAGTGTTCTCTTCAGTGTGCTGGGCTTCCTTAATTGGGAGTAAATTAATCTCAGCCATTGTCTGAAGGTAACATGGCCGACAGGCCGCTGGGTTTGGTTCTTGTGTAGGGTTCCTAAATTCTTTTCCTTCCAGCAAGAGATTTATGGCTCAATTAAACTTCATCTTAGATTACATTCCGTCAGTAGCACACAAAAAGGGTTGCCAAATCATAAATATATAAATGCTTCCTTCTCTCCAACCGACTCTCATGCCAAAGAAAATCTTAATTCAAACCTTTGATCCCAGTAGTCAGTATATTCAGCAGTATGTTGTTGCAACCCTTTTCCATCACATGTTGGTACAGTGGTACCTCGGGTTACATACGCTTCAGGTTACAGACGCTTCAGGTTACAGACTACGCTAACCCAGAAATAGTACCTCGGGTTAAGAACTTTGCTTCAGGATGAGAACAGAAATCGTGCGGTGGCAGCGGGAGGCCCCATTAGCTAAAGTGCTGCTTCAGGTTAAGAACAGTTTCAGGTTAAGAACGGACCTCCGGAACGAATTAAGTACATAACCAGATGTACCACTGTACTTTAAAGCCAATTAAAGATCCAATTGAATAGAGAACCTCTGCTTCTTTTTAAAAAAATTAACTTGTTTTCCAAATTTTAACAAATCAATCCAAATTATTTAAACATTTTTTAAATTAAAAAAAAAAGGCTTCCAGCTCCTGTTGCAAATATGTCCAATTCTTTCTGATGTTGCTGCTTCATTGTTCTTATTTAATCATCTTTTCATCCTTCTATTCGTTTTAATCCATTTATATAGCTATCCGCTCTTGTTGCCTTACAGTCAGTTCTTCTGTTGTTTCCCAAACACATAAAAGTCCATTTCCCGTGTGCAGCCCTTCAGGCACTCTTTTCTCAGGTCTGGTGTGTAGAGGGACTAACCGCCATAATTCATTGTCCATTCACATTCCACTCCTTTAAGAACTCCTTTGAAAGCAGTCCTTCCGTTGTTCAAGGCCACACTGAGCCATAAATAAATCCCGACAAGATGACCATTCCACCATTAAAACTCTGGGGATTATTTTCCACAGCCCGCAGTTAAAAATCAAAGACACATATAAAATCCGCCCCCCCCAAGTGCAATTAGCAGACCCTCGTCCTTGCAAATCTCATCTCACTACAGATCAAGTCCAAGAATAATTTATATAATAATTTATACGTTCGAGAGGGGAGGGTATAGAAAAGCATTGTAAAACCCTTTATAGAGCATAAATCAATGGCTCCCACATTTCTTGATATCAGATAACATCATAACGCCTGCACACAATTCTTCCATTTTGTGGGGAGGTGGTCAGAAAATAAAAGACCCTTAAAAAACCACGAAAGCAAACATTGCCCCCCCCCATCATTGTTCCTTACTGTTGTAAGAAATTTCGTCCTTGTTCAAAGTCATTCAGATACCTTCATAGCTCATGTCCAGTCCATTCGGTAGCTGGTTAGTTGCAGCCCATTATCATATGCCGCTTCAGGAGTGCCCCATAATTAATGCCAATATTCTGAATTCTTGAGGAACCATTCTCAAATCATGCTGCCGATGGATGGAGGCTCGTCCATGGCAGGGACACACTCCCAGGCAGAGATGTGAATAAGCAGCACCGCAGGATGCAGTGAACTCCCCAGAACCCCCCAGGAGCATTGCCAGGAATTTTGCCTCATAAATCCTGGCTTTCCCCTGCTTTCCCCAGAGGGCAGAGGAGAGCTAGCGCTATGAATCGTGGGTGTGGCCGGAAACCGAGAACCTCTGCTTCTTAACTGCAGCGTAGGAGGGCTTTTGCCAGGAGAAGTACTTTTGCACTCAGCACCTCCCTGCCTCCCACATTCCATGCTGGAGCGAGAGCCAGGTACTGAGATGAACTGCAAGTGGGGGGGCCACTAGGGGGCGCATCGGAAGATGGCTGACAATAACACCTCTCCGACCCACACGAGGTAATTTGGAGGCTATGATGGGAGTAATTAGCCTCCCTAACCCCCCCCCCCCAGGACGGTGGGGGGGACTGCCTTTGCCTGCTGTACCCTATACCACTCCCAAACTTGTGGGGATGGGGGCACTAGGCACAAAGCCCTCCTGTGGGATTCCGGCACTCCTGGACGCTGTCCCTGATTCGCGCCACTAGCTGCTAGAACTTCAAAAGAAAACAATTTGGATGAAGGAATGCACATATTTCAAGGAAGGAGGGGAGTAAAGACTGCTATAGAAGAGATCTCTGATAAAACAAGACAAGAATAAACATGAGAAGATACGCCAAGACATGGTATGGCAAATGACTGATGGGGGAGGGGAAAAAAACTTTCCTTTCTTTTCTTATGTGATTAACAAGAATCCCCTCCCCTCACGAGTCACAAGTCAGAAATGTCGTTTTAAGGACTTAAGCTGTGGATTTAAGGCTGTGTGGAGATAAACTTTCGAACCAAAGCATGTTTTAAGAAGAGCGAGGAATGTATAAGAGCTTGGGAATGACGCAGTTAAAAATGCCGTTGCCATATTGGGAAGTTCTGTCGGAGGTCTTGAGTCTGGGAGGAGAAAGAGAGAAATAGAGCTGTTTATATATTGTGGGTGAAACTCCTCAGAGGGACTTAAGAGCGACAGCTTTGCGAGATGGAAAGAGCGATGTTATCTATGAAGGCGATGATATATGGAAACCATCTCGATTTGAGGAATGGAAGAACGGAAAATTCACACAGGATTATTATTATTATTGGTGTTTATCGGCTTAAGGAGACAATCAGAAGAGATCATAAAGAAAAAAGAGAAAATATATAAACAAGATGTGATGTGGAAACAGCAAGATAAGATTGGATAGAATTATGAACTTTGTTTGGACTGATTTGGACTGATTTGGACATTAACGCAGTAGCAAGAAGATGATCAGAATCCCCCTTCGGATCTTGAAATATGGGTCCCCCCAACAAAATTTAAAATTCGGCTTTGTAATTCGGAATTTATGTGATGTGATTTAATTTGATTTGATTGGCCGGTTAATAAAAATTATTTTTTTAAAAAAAGAGATGAACTGCAAGTGAAGTCCATTCCCCCTGTCCCTTGGGGTAATTTGCAAGGAAGATTTGCCCTCTGTCATCCTTGTTTTTTGTTTGCCTGCTGTCGGGGGGGGGGGGCTGCCTCCATTAAGGCAGGCGGGATCGGAAGCCCCTAACCCATTCCCATAAACCAGTCTTAAAGGGGCGATGTCACCACACACAGCCACTCAGCCTAACCTTCCTCACAGGGTTGCTTAAGTTTTTTGGCAAAGGTGGGATAAAAATGCAACCAGCATCAAATACATACATACATACATACATACATACATACTATACTCCACATCAGCTAGTGAGAAAAGAGAAAAACAAACGGCTCCCATGTAATAACTTACTGGTTTAAAAGTATTAGGCTCAGGAAAATATTTGGGGTTTCTATGAATCCAATATGGAGACAAGGCCAGCAGGTCACCAACAGGGATAACAAAATTCTAAAAGCAGAAGAACATGCTCATCATCATCATCATCATCATCATCATCATAATAATAACAACCATATATTTATTTATACTCCACCCATCTGGCTGGGTTTCCCCAGCTACTCTAGGCAGCTTCCAACAAAATATTTAAAATACAATAAAACATCAAACATTAAAAAGACAGGGCTGCCTAATGCACACTTCAAACTCTGTTCCAACAAAGCCAGTCATTTATAAACATATTTATTTCACAAGAACACAGCAGATAATCCTGTCTATATGAGGTCACTAATAAAGTGATGCACTTAGGTAATAATTGATTGTTAGCCAGACCCTAAACACGAAGATGTACTGTACTTGCTAGCTTTTATCTATGATGCCTTCATTGAAGTAGAATCACACATAAATTTCAGCATCCCTCATTATCTTCAAGACAGTGAAACAGGCTGGAGAGGGTGTCATTTGTGCTAAATAGATGACTTGACAGGAATTTCTGTGTATCTGTATGTTTCATACATTCAACAACATATTCATTTTAAAGATTATTGAATGAAGAACTGTGGTACACTATTACCGTCATTAACAAAACCTTACTTGAATTGTCATTGGCGCGATCACTTTCTTGATGATGGCACCTGGTGCCCTTAATCGTATTGTTTCCAAAATACACCACTTGATAAATGGGAACTTTTTTAGGTCATCTTCAGATAACTGGATGTTTTCTTTACCTGCAAAAGTCACATACAAAAGTCCAGTTACTGAAACACTGCAAGCTTTCCCATATCTTTATGTGAATTCACAGTCATGCAAGAGTGGGAACTCTTAATGAGAGCAGTAGAACTCAGGTTAAGTATAATGAGAGAAAGATGGTGTGACTACGATCAAATTTTGGAGGAGAAGTTACAAATGTTAAACAGTTGAAACAATATTGATTCACTCTCCTCTCTGGCAGCCCTACCATATCAAATGTCTAGCAAACGCCCTATAATCTTACTCAACAAGTGGGTTGTAAACTGCAGTAAAGAGTTGGGCCTTGCTTGCTTGCTTAGAAAGTGCAAGGCAGTGCTAGGTGGATGCCTTTGGCAGACCAGCACTTAGTTCATTTGGAGCACTTGGTTCATAACAGGCACCCTTCTCCTTTTTTTACCCACTGTGGGTTTCATTCATTTGACATGACAAGGATTCAGGCATTTCAACTTGCAATAAATAAATTAATCAATTTGTGAGTTCCCCAAAATACAATGAGTTCATGACAAGAGTTTTTATCTTATCTCCTTGGCAGCTTCCCTCATGCTTGGCAGGAAAATCCCATTGTTCAAGATAGCAGAACAAGTCATTGGCCTATAGTGTTAGAAAGTACTGTATTTTTCTGTGTATAAGACTAGGGTTTTTTTTTACCAAAAAAATAAGGTTTAAAATTGGAGCATGTCTTATACACAGGTAGTGCTGAGGGGTGTTTTCTTAATTTGGAGTCCCCCAAAATAGGGGGCGCCTTATACATGGGGGCATCTTATTCACGAAAAAATATGGTATATTCTTCACAGATGCTACTGTATACCACTCCCTACACTCTTCAGTCTAGAAGATATAATTTCTGGCACCTGTTACGTCTTGTAGCAGTAGGGACCTTTTATGTCTTAGTTTAGAGTTAGGAATAGATTACAATATTCATAATTAATGCTGCCACGCACCCAAATAATTTTGTTTCTCTCTCTTTTCTTGCAATAAAAGAAAGCTTTGCTTTAGTCAGGTCTGGACCTACATTCTTGGGTTACACACAAACTATTCAGACCCATTCAAGGACAGTGCCTGGTTCATCTCTACCAAAGTTCCCCCTCCTCTCAAGGTGTGTTTAAAGGGATACTTGGGTGACAGGTTCATACACAAGGTTTTCCAATAGACATGTATGTTTAATAATAGGCAGGATTTGACACTTCTTCACAAGCGTATTCTTCTGGCCAATATCCATGTGATTTTAAAAAAAACAAAACTAAGATATGTGCATAGATTAATCCCAGTTGGAACATAAGTGTAGTTATACAAATGTCTACTTCAATATCAAGAAGTACCTGGGGCTCAACACTAAAACAATAAGCATTTTGTGATCCTCAAATTGCATCCAATACCAATTCACTGCTTACTGCTATGTCTAAATTAATTTGGTGAAATCCTTCAGATCAAAGCCTATGACAGATGCACATAGATGCAGATATGCAGACTGTTCCAAACAGTTCCGATGTCATAGTAAGGCATTTAGGCATATTTACCTGATTTTCTATAAACCGGTTCTAGTTCATCCATGACTTTTTTGTAAACAGAAGGTTGAGATAGAATAAATGCTAGTGTCCAGAATGAAACCTAAAGAAAGACCAGAGGAAATGGTCATAGAATGACCTGAGGTAATTACACATTAACCCATAGAATTTGTTGTCACTGTGAGTGCTGACAGCCACTACCTCAGATGTCTTTAAAGTGGGATTGGACAGATTCACATGGAATGGGTTTATCAATGGCTCCTACTCTAAGTGGCTAACCTGCTATATTCAGAGGTAGCAAGTCTCTGAATATCAGCGGCTATAACCCTCATGTCCTTTTAGTGGGCTTTCAGGAGCATCTCATTGTACACGATGGGACTAGACAGCCAGGACTCCTCTTATTCTCTTCCTAATGATTAAACAGTATGTACATTTGTTTGTTTGTTTTTAAAGTTCTTTTTATTATTATTATTTTTCCCCATTCTTTATGATCACACTTTCATCTAGGGATGTCGAATAACTGACAAAAATAATCATTCAGTTGAAAATCTAACAATAACATGCATCAAAATCATCCTCCTATTAGTTATACATAACAGTATATACTTTTGTCCCTACTCATTTATCCTATTTTTTTTATTCCCCCCTTCCTCCCTCCCCTTTACCCCTCCCCCAAAACTTGTCCTTTCTTCATATCTTTAACCATGTGCACAGATTATTCATTCTAATCTGGATGCTTGGGTTGGCTTCCCCCCGTGCTATCCAGTTCCTATAACTTGTCCTTTTATCCAAAATCTGTTGACATTTGTTTTCCCATGTATCTTCCGTCATTACCTGTTCAAATATATCAGATTGTATATATTCAAAAACATAGTGTCAGGGGTTCAGGAGCAGAGGCAAGGGCAAGGGAGGAAACAGAGAGCGAGGGGGAGGAGGCAGAAGAAAAGATGAGTGATGACGACGACCCGAGATCTCCGAGTCTTTCCAGTGAATCAGAAGATTCACAGAAAGGAGCACCAGTGGCCAGGGCAAGGGGGAGCCTAGGGGACGCCCCAGGAAGATAGAGCCAGAGGGGACTCAGAGGGGAGCAGTTGGAAATCGGGACCAGCGTCACCGCCAGAGAGCAGGGAAGAGGAAGGGAGCCAGGGATCAAGCGCTGGCAGCTCACAACAGGGGGGAGGGCACGAGTCAGGAGTGGCCACACCTCCATCGGGGAGCGAAGAAACGGTCAGACGGAAGGTGGAAGGTTGGGCGCGCGTGCCAAGTTCAAATGCACAGGAAGGTGGCACAGTAGGCAGCCCGGAAAGGGAGCCAGGTCCTAAAGCCCGCCGAAAGGAGGGAGAAGAGTCAGGGGGGTCAGCGTCAGAGGAATCCCGGAAAGAAGAGACCCCAGGGGGCAGAGGGACCCAGAGAAGAACAGTCAGGCGGAAAAGGTGGAGCAGGGCTAGGATATTAAGTTGGTGTACAAGGGGCGGAGACTCAGACGGAGCTTCGCCGGTCTAACCATGAGACGTAGAGTTGCACGCAGCAGTTTGAGAATGGAAACTGTAACTCAATAAAGACTTTTGTTTAATGATCGCTGGCTAGCGTGATCCTCTGTGAGCTAGGATCTGGAAGCAGCTCTGACACATAGTCATTCCATTTTTCCATTGTCCATTTATCATTTTCTTTCCATCCTAATACAATAACAAGCATACCAGCTAAGATCATAATTTTATACCAATCTTGCTCTTTTCTTTCTATTTTACTATTCTTTCTATTTTACTTTTCTTTCTATTTTACTATTAAGAAAGCTGACTTCATAAAACTTAGGGAAGTGCTGGGTGAGATCCCATGGACAGTAATACTAAAAGGAAAGGGAGTTCATGATGGCTGGGAGTTTGTTAAGAGGGAGATACTAAAAGCACAACGTCAGGCAATACCAATGAGACGGAAACATGGAAGGTGCCTAAAGAAGCCAGGGTGGCTATCTAAAGAACTTTTAACTGAGTTAAGATTAAAAAAGGATGTGTACAAAAATGGAAAAGGGGAAACCACCAAAGAGGAATTCAAACAAATAGCCAGCACGTGTAGACACAAAGTCAGAAAAGCTAAAGCACAGAATGAACTCAGGCTTGCTAGAGAGGTTAAAAGCAACAAAAAGGCTTTTATGGGTATGTCCGTAGCAAAAGGAAGAACAAAGAAACAGTGGGGTCACTCAGAGGAGAAGATGGTGAAATGCAAACAGGGGACACAGAAAGAGCTGAACTCCTCAATGCCTTCTTTGCCTCAATCTTCTCCGATAAAGAAAACAATGCCCGACCTGAAGAATTTGGAGCAAATGATTCAGCAAAGGAAACACAGCCCAGAATAACTAAGGAGATAGTACAAGAATACTTGGCTAGTTTAGATGTATTCAAGTCTCCAGGGCCAGATGAACTGCATCCAAGAGTATTAAAAGAACTGGCAGATGTGATCTCAGAACCACTGGCAGTCATCTTTGAGAATTCCTGGAGAACAGGCGAAGTCCCGGCAGACTGGAGGAGGGCAAATGTTGTCCCTATTTTCAAAAAGGGGAAAAGAGAGGACCCAAATAATTACCGCCCAGTCAGTCTGACATCAATACCAGGGAAGATTCTGGAGCAGATCATTAAGCAAACAGTCTGTGAGCACCTAGAAAGGAATGCTGTGATCACCAATAGTCAGCATGGATTTCTGAAAAATAAGTCATGTCAGACTAACCTGATCTCGTTTTTGACAGAATTACAAGCCTGGTAGATGAAGGGAACGCAGTGGATGTAGCCTACCTTGATTTCAGCAAGGCATTTGACAAGGTGCCTCATGATATTCTTGTAAAGAAGCTGGTAAAATGTGGTCTTGACTATGCTACCACTCAGTGGATTTGTAACTGGCTGACTGACCGAACCCAAAGGGTGCTCATCAATGGTTCCTCTTCATCCTGGAGAAGAGTGACTAGTGGGGTGCCACAGGGTTCTGTCTTGGGCCCGGTCTTATTCAACATCTTTATCAATGACTTGGATGATGGACTCAAGGGCATCCTGATCAAATTTGCAGATGACACCAAATTGGGAGGGGTGGCTAACACCCCAGAGGACAGGATCACACTTCAAAACGACCTTGACAGATTAGAGAACTGGGCCAAAACAAACAAGATGAATTTTAACAGGGAGAAATGTAAAGTATTGCACTTGGGCAAAAAAATGAGAGGCACAAATACAAGATGGGGACACCTGGCTTGAGAGCAGTACATGTGAAAAGGATCTAGGAGTCTTGGTTGACCACAAACTTGACATGAGCCAACAGTGTGACGCGGCAGCTAAAAAGCCAATGCAATTCTGGGCTGCATCAATAGGAGTATAGCATCTAGATCAAGGGAAGTAATAGTGCCACTGTATTCTGCTCTGGTCAGACCTCACCTGGAGTACTGTGTCCAGTTCTGGGCACCACAGTTCAAGAAGGACATTGACAAACTGGAATGTGTCCAGAGGAGGGCAACCAAAATGGTCAAAGGCCTGGAAACGATGCCTTATGAGGAACGGCTAAGGGAGCTGGGCATGTTTAGCCTGGAGAAGAGGAGGTTAAGGGGTGATATGATAGCCATGTTCAAATATATAAAAGGATGTCACATAGAGGAGGGAGAAAGGTTGTTTTCTGCTGCTCCAGAGAAGCGGACACGGAGCAATGGATCCAAACTACAAGAAAGAAGATTCCACCTAAACATTAGGAAGAACTTCCTGACAGTAAGAGCTGTTCGACAGTGGAATTTGCTGCCAAGGAGTGTGGTGGAGTCTCCTTCTTTGGAGGTCTTTAAGCAGAGTCTTGACAACCATATGTCAGGAGTGCTCTGATGGTGTTTCCTGCTTGGCAGGGGGTTGGACTCGATGGCCCTTGTGGTCTCTTCCAACTCTATGATTCTATGATTCTATGATTCTATGATTCTATTCTCCAGTATTCCTGAGATAAGCATTTCTCTATTGACTTCTATTTTAACCTGAAATACATCAGAAATAACCTATATAATCTTTTGCCAATATTCCTTTACACAAATGCACTCCCATCACATATGTGCATATACCCTAACTCTTGACCACAATGCCAACACTTAGGACTCAATCCTTTAACTATATATGCCAGTTGTACCGGGGTTCTATACCATTTCAATAGGAATTTCCTACTTAATTCTTTATATTAATCTTATTCTTTTTATTTTATCTGTACTCTTCATCATCTCTTGGACCGTATTCAAATGAAACAGCCCTTCCCGCTCCCATTTATTCTGAATTATCCTTATCATCCTTTCCTTACTTCTTATCATTGATTTATATACCATGCTTGCTATCCCTTTCTCTGTTAATTGTCTTTTGTTAAGTATTTCATCAATTACGGATCCTGACCTCATCATATCCTCTATTTTTTTCACTTCTATTAATTTATATAGCCCTTGCACTTCCAACCAATATTGTTTTCCTACTTTCTCCAAAATGCTATTTTTTGTCCTTAACTTCCCGTCTTCATCTAACACATCTTTTAATTTATTAAATCCATGTTCTTCTAATTTCTTCCACCATCCAGGATCTGTATCACTCTTATCTATATATTTTAATGGAGCTCACTTTGAATATATAGGCATCCATTTCTTATTCCACTGCTTCCAAATTGCTGGAGCTATTTTCCTAGGTCCTGTCGTCTTCTTACATGCCATCTGTATATCTCTGATAAAGATCCCCTCTCTTCCTATTCCATTATTTATTTCATTCTCCATCCTAACCATTTGATCTTATCATTATAAACAATATCTATTAAATATTTCAATTGGAACGCTTCATAATAAAATTCTAAATTTGATATCCCCCATCCCATCTCCTCCTGAGGGGAGTAGTTTACTATATCTGGTGTTCTGGCAACAGTATGTACGTGATCTAGCCAAATGTAATTTTTATTAGACTCGACTGTTTTTGCTTCAGTATCTGAAACCGGAATGTATGGGACCTAAAATCTGTGGGAGATCCGCAGTCAAACAATGCTCATAAGTATATGAAGGGGTTAAAGACCACAAAGTTCAAACTGCTAGAGTAGACTAACTGATCTCACATCCCCTCTGAACAGTCTCATTAGGGAGGTGGTGGACTCTGCTTCCTTGCAGGTTTTTAAGCAGAGATTGGATGGCCATCTGCCATGGATACTTTAGAATCCTGAACTGCAAAGGGTTGGACTAGATGGCCCTTGGGGTACCTTCCAACTCTACAATTCTATGACATGCCTCATCTCAGCTACTTGCTGTTTTTTCTTAAATATTAAATATACTTAATATCTCTTCTTAACAATACACAATCATAAAATTGCATAACTGTGGTTAGATTACATATTTAAACTTTGCTTCTAGTCCCAGAGCTCCTCTTTGGCTGGGTCGCTGTGTACAGCAGGAAGAGAAGGTGACTCTGGTATGCTGCTTTCTCTCGAAGGGGCAGTCATTTGCTTTTCTACACAAGGAAGGGAAGATCATAGAATCATTGGGGGGGGGGAGACTTGACACAGGGCTGCTGTTTTCAATGTGTGTTCAGAATAATGCCTAGCCTCTAAAACCTGTTAAGGCATTATGCGTAATATTCTTAAGGGTTCCGAGATGAAACGTTCATGCGTCATGTTACAATGGGATTCAGAATCTTTTGTTACTGAATCAATCTCTCCTGCAAATTTTGCCTCAGATGAAGGGGAGGAAGAACCCCAAAGGATAGTGCTTCCTTTATTCCCCGCTCTTAAGAATATGTTCTTCACAGCATCCTCAGATACCTATGGATTCTCCTCAAAAACTGCTGCCTAATCCAGAAATCCCATCTTAGTGAGACCCAGAGAAAGAAGTAGCATTACCAGAATGCCTGCCTCACATACAAAAGCAGAGTGCTGTCCCTTGAATTGAGGATGGCAGTACAGTGGTGCCCCACAAGATGAATGCCTCGCAAGACGGAAAACCCGCTAGACAAAAGGGTTTTCCGTTTTTCAATGCGCTTCGCAGGACGAATGTCCCTATGGGCTTGCTTCGCAAGACGAAAATGTCTTGCGAGTCTTGAGATTTTTTTTCGCTCCCCCCCCTTTTCTAAGCCGCTAAGCCTTTAATAGCCTTTTAGCAGCTAAGCCGCTAAGCCGCTAAGCCTTTAATAGCCGCTAAACCGCTAATAGCGCTAATCCGCTAAGCCGCTAATAAGGTTGCTTCGCAAGACGAAAAAACCGCTAGACGAAGATACTCGCGGAACGGATTAATTTCGTCTTGCGAGGCACCACTGTATCAGGTTCATGATTTGTGAGGCCCTGTACACAGCCCATTTTTGTGGGGCGGGGCTGAATGTGCCTTTGCACTGTGCTCACCCTTCCCCAAACAATTTTTGCTGTAAGCCAGGCAGAGGGGGAAGATGATAATAATGAGGCCTCTGAATTAGGTGGAAGCTCCCCCTCATGTGCCCAGTCCCTGACACTCTTCTTTCCATCTGGGTCTCATGATAACTGCCCAGGCAAGTCCTTCCCTCCAGAAAGGGAGAGAGGAGTTAAAATCATAACCAACTGGATTTGAAAGTGGGTGGGCCCTTCCAACTCCACCCAGGGCTCTTTGTCTGCAGAGTGAGAAGAAGTTACACTAGTCTCTGCTTGCATCAGACCCCAACTTAGAAGGTTGCTTAATACCTTTCTTTCTACAAGGACAAGAGATTTACTCTTTTAAAAAATGCGACCTCGGAGTCTGGGGCCCCGGTTGCTGGCATGGGCCCTGGTGCAATTATTCTGATTTCCTGGTGTTCAAACAAATCACCTTATCAGTCACATGCCTGACTTCACTCACTGGCTATAAACTTCAACACAGGAGCAGCTAGCCCAGGTCATTTGAAAGAAAATACATAGAAATTGCACATTGTTTCATAACTTTCTTCCTGGAAGGGCTAGAGACTTACCGTACTTTTCTAAGAAACTGAAGGCTCAGAAAATTGCCTGCCAGTGGCTCCTTGATTCACTTTACTCACTGAAGGAAGCATACCTTCTGTCTCATACTTACAGGAATTGCATTAGCTTGAGATGCCCAAAGGAGTAAGAGGCCATAATTAGCACTGAAGGTCTTTCCTTGCAAAGTGTCTAGGAGATGTTGCCAAAGTGTCTGTTAAAATCAGAAGAACATAGACAAAATAAAAATAGCATACACTAATGGGGTAACAAGTCATTTTTATGATGGAGGACCGCTGTAGCCACCCCCAACGACAAGTTCTCAAGATGGAGGGGGAGGGAACAGCTGCAGTCGCCTGCGGTTCCTGCGCAATGTTTGCCATCTTGCCAAAGGTTGCAGGCAGCTTTACCTGTAGCAATTGCATGTTGATTGCCCTCTTAGAAGACAAAGTCCAGCAACTGGAGGAACGTGTAGCTACACTCCAAAGAATTAGAGAGCTGGAGCTCTTCTTGGAAGCAACAGAGCACACCGTCTCCACCAAGGAGGAGACAGGGGACTCCCCTGAGAAGGAGGCTAGTTCACCAACACAGGAGCCAGATATATGGAGAAACGTGACTCAAAGAAGTAGGAGGCCCAGGGTTCGCTCTGATTGTTTAGAAATACACAATCGCTTTGAGGTCCTCTCCCCTAGCATGGAAGACGAAGAGCAGACTCCATTTGAGGATCTCTCCCTCATTACAGTCGATCAGGTATATGAAGAAGAGCAGCAAAGTCAGCCCTCAGGGAATGTGCAGGCAACCTTGGAACGGACAGCTCACGGAAGAACCCCGACCAAACTTAAGAGGAGGCGTGTAGTGGTGATAGGGGATTCCCTACTGAGGGGAACAGAAGCAGTGATCTGTGGGCCTGACAAGATGTCCCGGGAAGTGTGCTGTCTCCCCGGGGCTAAGATCCAAGATGTACCTGAACGACTGCAAGGAATCATAAAACCCACTGACAAATACCCCTTCCTCTTGGTTCATGTGGGAACCAATGACACTGCAAGCAATAGCCTCCAGAAGATCAAAAGAGACTACGAGGCTCTGGGCAGGAAATTGAAGCAATTAAATGCACAAATTGTCATCTTATCTGTCCTCCCAGTTGAACGATGTGGCCCAGGGAGAGAGGGAAAAATAGTGGAAGTGGACAGCTGGCTTCGCAAATGGTGTAAACAAGAACGGTTTGGATTCTTAGATCACGGACTGCAGTTTCTTGAAGATGGACTTCTGGCAATTTTTTTTGCCAAAAATCTCAGAAACCTCATCAGGAGGGCTTTAAACTGACTAATGTGGGGGAAGGAGACAGTGCTCCTGAAGGTAGGAGTCTATCAATTGATGAAGATGATCATCCAAATGTCATAGACCAAATGGAGCAAACAGCACGCAGACCTAGTGGTGGGAGGAAAAAATCCTTAAATAAGAGACATGGGGGAATGATTAATGGACTTCAATGTCTGTACACTAATGCGCAAAGCATGGGAAATAAACAAGATGAGCTTGAGCTCTTGGTACAGCAAACTAAATATGACATAATAGGCATCACTGAAACCTGGTGGGATAAGTCCCACGACTGGAATGTAATAATGGAGGGATAACTGAGTTAAGATTTAAAAAGGATGTGTACAAAAAATGGAAAAGGGGGGAAACCACCAAAGAGGAATTCATTTTTTTTAAAAAAAAATATTTATTAAAGTTTCAAAAAATACAAAAAATACAGAATATAGAAAAAAGAATAAAGTTAAAATAAAACAAAAAAGTAAAAAATAAAAAGAAACATACCAAATAAAACAGTTAAAAAGACATTAATTTTCCTTAACCTATCTTCCCTACACTTATTTCCCCGGACTTCCTCATACCTCCCTTTTTTGTATTCCAGTTCAGTTTGTTAGTTCAGCAAATCCTTACCCTTAAGCTTTTACCCAATTGCAAACCTTTTTTCATATCTCTTAAAGCATTACAGCTAAAAACCTCTTAGTTTCTATCCAACATCCTTCTAAGATTCCTTAATTTTGCAATATTACTGTAAATAGTCTTTAAATTTCTTCCAGTCTTCTTTCACCGCCTCTTCTCTCTGGTATCGGATTCTGCCAGTCATTTCCGCCAGTTCCATGTAGTCAATCACCTTCATCTGCCATTCTTCCAGAGTGGGTAAATCTTGTGTCTTCCAATACCCACCAAAGAGGAATTCAAACAAATAGCCAGCACGTGTAGACACAAAGTCAGAAAAGCTAAAGCACAGAATGAACTCAGGCTTGCTAGAGAGGTTAAAAGCAACAAAAAAAGGCTTTTATGGGTATGTTCGTAGCAAAAGGAAGAACAAAGAAACAGTGGGGTCACTCAGAGGAGAAGATGGTGAAATGCAAACAGGGGACACAGAAAGGACTGAACTCCTCAATGCCTTTTTTGCCTCAGTCTTCTCCAATAAAGAAAACAATGCCCAACCTAAAGAAATTGGAGCAAAGGACTCAGCAAAGGAAACACAGCCCAGAATAACTAAGGAGATAGTACAAGAATATTTGGCTAGTTTAGATGTATTCAAGTCTCCAGGGCCAGATGAACTGCATCCAAGAGTATTAAAAGAACTGGCAGATGTGATCTCAGAACCACTGGCAGTCATCTTTGAGAATTCCTGGAGAACAGGCGAAGTCCCGGCAGACTGGAGGAGGGCAAATGTTGTCCCTATTTTCAAAAAGGGGAAAAGAGAGGACCCAAATAATTACCGCCCAGTCAGTCTGACATCAATACCAGGGAAGATTCTGGAACAGATCATTAAGCAAACAGTCTGTGAGCACCTAGAAAGGAATGCTGTGATCACCAATAGTCAGCATGGATTTCTGAAAAATAAGTCATGTCAGACTAACCTGATCTCGTTCTTTGACAGAATTACAAGCCTGGTAGATGAAGGGAACGCAGTGGATGTAGCCTACCTTGATTTCAGCAAGGCATTTGACAAGGTGCCCCATGATATTCTTGTAAAGAAGCTGGTAAAATGCGGTCTTGACTATGCTACCACTCAGTGGATTTGTAACTGGCTGACTGACCGAACCCAAAGGGTGCTCATCAATGGTTCCTCTTCATCCTGGAGAAGAGTGACTAGTGGGGTGCCACAGGGTTCTGTCTTGGGCCCGGTCTTATTCAACATCTTTATCAACGACTTGGATGATGGACTCAAGGGCATCCTGATCAAATTTGCAGATGACACCAAACTGGGAGGGGTGGCTAACACCCCAGAGGACAGGATCACACTTCAAAACGACCTTGACAGATTAGAGAACTGGGCAAAAACAAACAAGATGAATTTTAACAGGAGAAATGTAAAGTATTGCACTTGGGCAAAAAAACGAGAGGCACAAATACAAGATGGGGGACACCTGGCTTGAGAGCAGTACATGTGAAAAGGATCTAGGAGTCTTGGTTGACCACAAACTTGACATGAGCCAACAGTGTGACGCGGCAGCTAAAAAGCCAATGCAATTCTGGGCTGCATCAATAGGAGTATAGCATCTAGATCAAGGGAAGTAATAGTGCCACTGTATTCTGCTCTGGTCAGACCTCACCTGGAGTACTGTGTCCAGTTCTGGGCACCACAGTTCAAGAAGGACACTGACAAACTGGAACGTGTCCAGAGGAGGGCAACCAAAATGGTCAAAGGCCTGGAAACGATGCCTTCTGAGGAACGGCTAAGGGAGCTGGGCATGTTTAGCCTGGAGAAGAGGAGGTTAAGGGGTGATATGATAGCCATGTTCCAATATATAAAAGGATGTCACATAGAGGAGGGAGAAAGGTTGTTTTCTGCTGCTCCAGAGAAGCGGACACGGAGCAATGGATCCAAACTACAAGAAAGAAGATTCCACCTAAACATTAGGAAGAACTTCCTGACAGTAAGAGCTGTTCGAGAGTGGAATTTGCTGCCAAGGAGTGTGGTGGAGTCTCCTTCTTTGGAGGTTTTTAAGCAGAGGCTTGACAACCATATGTCAAGAGTGCTCTGATGGTGTTTCCTGCTTGGCAGGGGGTTGGACTCGATGGCCCTTGTGGTCTCTTCCAACTCTAGGATTCTATGATTCTATGATTCACAGAGGAGCCATATTTTACTTTGAACCCAAGCTATTTCTATAACAAGCTGACTTACACCGGCCACTGGCTATCGAGTGCTTTTTATTTTAAATTTTGTAGAATTGTAGAATCATGGAGTTGGAAGGGACCCTGAGGATCATCTAGTCCAACTCCCTGCAATGCAGGAATATGCAGCTGTCCCGTACGGGGATCGAACCTGTTATCATGGTGCACCATGCTCTAACCAATTTATATGAAATTTTAATGACAATCTTTCCTCCTTGTGAAAGAGGCTATTTTAATGCCTCTTTTGCTGGGAAGGTGAGAGAAATTTCATGGGGCAGGGGATGAGGAGGAACATGTGTGTGTGGCTGTTTCCCCATACACTGCAAGTGGCCCTGCCTTCTCTTGCAGAGGTGTGAGGCTCTGCACACACACAAGCTTTCTTCCTTACGCCATTTTCTAGAATGCCCAAGTGACCACACTTCCTTCAGGTACAGATGATGGGGAAAGATACAAAAGTGTCAAATCTGTTGCCTCATGATAGCTGGTATTTCCCTGTGCTCTGCTCATCACCAATTTCATTTGGATTTTAATGTGAGCCCTGCCTGATCCACACTTTAAGAAACAATAGCCAAGCCAAAACACAGTTAACCTTCAAATTTTGTAAAAATTCTCTGAATTGTGTGACGCAGTTCTCCAGTCAAATAATGTGTACAGAAATGTGTATATTAAGGGAAGGGGTGCATAAAAATGCATATATTAGTGAAAATAACATATAAAATATTATTGTACTAAAATGCATTGACTATTACTATTATTATTATGTGTCAGGACTGGTCGTTGTCCTCTTCAGATCACCACACAAACGCTTCTTGTTCTTTTATAAAACTTTTTATTGTGTATTAACAAATCAATCTTATAAACGGTTCTTAACTATTATTCCTCAGAGTCACTTCTTTCAGATACCTTCTGAGCTCTGCTTCTCCGTGACCAGCCACTCTCAAAATGTCGAAGGCACCCTTCCCTTCGCTTTCCTGCTCTTTTTTCTACCCTCCTGGCTAGAGCTGGCCTGTATCTCCCCTCCTCCAAATCTGAGTTAGAACTGAACCCTTGCCTTTCCTGGGAACAGCCAGTCCCTCCCTGTTGTTCCTCTTGCTCCCTTCTATTAGATGCACTGCTCTCCTCCCCCCTTGGGGAAAGCTTTCTCCCTCTGAGAAACTGGAAACTTCTAACTCTTCCCTGACATTATGGATCTCTTGGGGGGAAATGTTTAGAGTGGGCAAAATCGCATGCATGTATGTATTTGAACAAATTTGCACTAAAAGCTTGGCTGTTTTCCATGAGGACTTTTTTCCTTAAGCAAAATGATTCTGAACTGAACTGATTGGGAACTGATTCAGAAACTGACCTATTCTTTCATCCCTAACTGCAACCTAGGTGGGCGAGATAGGCACTGATGGTCAGACCACAAAGAAGCCCAAGCACAAGAGTTATTTTTTATGATTCCATGCTTCTAAATATTTGTTAAATGGAAATAGGTACATTTTACATCTTCAAGATGACAGTAGGGAAGAAATGTGTACACCCCACACACCCTTGTTTATTGTCATTGCATGTTTTATTGCTGCTAGCTGCTTTTAATTGCCAGACAGAGTACCGTACTTTTCCGTCTATAGGATGCCCCCATGTATACGACGCCCCCTATTTTGGGGTGCTATAATTTAAGAAAATGGGGGGAGATGGCTATATTACCAGAGTTGCTGAGCTTTTTGGGGGGGAGGATTGCCTACAGTTGCTGAGTCTTTGGGGGGGATTGCTTTTGGGAAGGATTGTGCAGAGTTGTTGGGCTTTTGGGGGGGATTGCCCATGGGGGGTGCAGAAAATCACTAACCCTAAAGACAAGAGCTCAGAATTGCTCGCGTTGCAGAAGCCGACAAGCACCTGCCCGTTTGCAAACACAAGTTGAAAACCAAACACCCAATTGCCGCAGCGGCAGCCAATCCAAGGCAGCCCTTGACGCAGCAACTAATCACTCACCAAATCGCCATTTACAAGCTGCAGCTTGTGGCTGCAACCAATCACCCAGTCCCCCAATGTACTGCCCGTGTATTAGACGAGCTCTGTTTTTAAACACTATTTTGGATTAAAAAACCCTCGTCTAATACATGGAAAAGTACGGTAAATCTGTGCTCTCTGTCAGGGAACTGACATCGGAGCTAGAGGCGGAGGGAAGGCTCTCAAATGATGCTGGAGAAGGGCCCAGCAGGGAGAGAGGCAGCTCAGCAGATGGGGAAGCAAATCAGCGCAACACCAGGGATAAAGGGGGGCAGATGGGGGAATCGGCGAGAGGGCTCCAGGACTCTTCACCGGACACCAGCGGGGAGAGCACGGGTCCTCCGCTACCCACGCCCTCCCTGCGCAGAAGGCTTCCGCGCAGGGAGAGTAGGAGGAGACTTGGCGTCAAACAACTTTTATGTTGGAAAAGGTTTAAGAAACGCCCACTGACGGATTCTGCTAGCGACTGAGGCAGCCACGAAGTGAAGGGCTGTCCAGACAGAAAGGTTTAACAAGGCAACATAGCCAGGAGAGGCGGCAACTTACGCACGAGCAACCCATACTCATTACAGCAATCCGTCAGTCCCTGACGTCGCTCGTGCACGGCGACAGGCAGGCAGCATCATGAGCAAAACCGGAGAAGCTGGTGCCACGGAGGGAGCAGCTGGAGTGCAAAATCTGGTGGAGAGGAACCGAGATTTGGAACAGCATGTAGGCGGGCTCAGGATGCTCAGGTCAGACCCACCCCCGTAGCAAGGAAGGTACCGGGACTGGTACACAAATTTGAAGGGAAACCCCAGGACTACAGTGCGTTCCGAACGGAAATAGAGTACGCGTTGGAACTGCAACAGAATGATTTTGCAGACGATGGGGAGAGGGTTGCCTATATTGTTGGACATCTGCAGGATGGGGCCAGAGAATGGATCAGGCCCCTAATGGCAACGCAGAATGCCGCCTTGAAAGACCTGAGGAAATTCTTCCAGGCGATGGATGCGATGTATTCCAGTGATGTACAGCAAAGTGTGACTCGGCGGGAACTGATGGGCTGCAAACAGGGGAACCAGTCAGTTAGAGACTACTGGTCACGCTTTGCCATGTTAGTCCACCGGCTCGGGTGGGAATTGGACTCTGAACCCATTCAAATGCTGTTCGAGGAGGGGTTGTCCCCAACGGTGAAGGACGAACTTTCCCGCGCACCCCGCCCGCAGTCGATGGATCAGCTGACCAAGGCTGTGCTTGCGATTGGTGTAAGGCAGGAAGCGCGGGGCCAGGAGAAGTGGGAAGGGAGAGAGCAACGTTACCATGACTACCGCATTCCTGAAATACCAAGGCAGCCTTCCCCGCCGGCGGAGCCAATGGAAATAGATGGGGCGCGCGGGCGGGAGGTTTCAAACTCCAGTGCAGGTCGCAAGAGGGAGGGAAAGGATGGGAAAACCACCAAGAAGTGTTTTTTCTGCCAGCGGCCAGGACATTTTGCCAGGGTCTGCCCGCAAAGAAAGGCCTGGCAAGGGATGGTGGGAGCTGCAGGGGGTGAGGAGGAGATGGTAAAGGGGCAGGATCAGGGAAACGCCAACGCTTGGCTGCCACTCAGCGGGCACAGCAGCCAGGCCAGCAACCAATAGAAGTGCCCCAACCAGACCCCCCCAGGGCGGCTATAGCCATAGAAGTGGTGCTAGAACTCCCGAATGGGCACCCAGTCAAGGTGAAAGGGCTGTTGGATTCAGGCAGTTCCTGCAATTTCTTCAGCAAGGACTTTGCACTAGAGCACCAGCTCCACCTGCTGCCCCTGGATTTCCCCTTGCAAGTAACCACCATTGATGGCAGGGAGCTTCTGGGAGGGGAAGTGACGCACCAGACCCCACCAATGAGAATGAGGGTTTCCAGGCACACGGAGACCATCGCCTTTCACGTAGCCTCACTGGCAGGGCCCCCAATAATATTAGGGATGAGCTGGCTAGCACAACATGATCCAGTGGTGGCATGGCATCAGAGAATGATCACCTTTGGGTCCGCTTACTGCTTGGAACACTGTCTGGGGGGGGGGGAACCCCAAGAATGACCGTGGCCAGGGTGGCTGGGATAGCTGTGGAGCCGAAAGGGGAGGTGCCACCACAATATGCTGACCTGCAGGAGGTCTTCAGCGAGAAGGAGGCAGATAGACTACCCCCCCATAGGCCCTTTGACTGCCAAATCAACTTGCTCCCTGGGGCGCAGCTACCGGTGGGTAAACTGTATGCCATGTCGGACAGGGAGATGAAGGAGTTGCGGGAATTTATTGACAAGAACCTGAAAAGAGGCTTCATAAGAGAATCAAAAGCGGTAGGGGGCAGTCCGGTGTTCTTTGTGGACAAAAAGGACACTAATCAACCCAGGCTCGTTGTGGACTATAGGGCCGTCAATTTGGTATCGGAACCAGTGACCTTCCCAATGCCCAGGATTGACGACATTTTAACACGGGTGAGGCAGGGAAAATTTTTTACCAAGCTTGATCTCAGGGGAGCATACAACTTGATTAGGATGAGGGAGGGGACGAATGGAAGACCACAATGTTCACACCCCTGGGGGCCTTTGAGTACCTAGTTATGCCTTTTGGATTACAGTCGGGCTCCGCCTGTTTTCAAGCTTTCATGCACCACGTGTTGGGGTCCCTGCTGTACAAGAACTGCGTAGCCTTCTTGGACGACGTCTTAATCTATTCGGACAATGAGGAGCAACATGTCAGAGACGTCAGGGAAGTGCTAAAACGACTGCAGAAGCACCAGTTGTGGGTCAAGCTGGAAAAATGTCAGTTTCACGCCAGAGAAGTCGAGTTTCTGGGGTACAAGTTGTCAGACAAAGGCTTAGCGATGGACCCAAGCAAGGTGCAGGCAGTGCTGGAGTGGAAGGCTCCCGAAACCCGGAAGGACGTGCAGAGGTTCCTAGGGTTCAGCAACTTCTACAGGAAGTTCATCAAGAACTTCGCCCACTTGACAGCACCCATCACAGATTGTCTCAGTAGCAAAAGGAAGTTCGTCTGGACAGAGGAGGCCCAGCAATCCTTTGAAAAACTGAAGAAGGCGTTCGCATCGGAAGAGCAGCTCCTGCACGTGGATCTGGAGAAACCCATGAGGCTAGAGACCGACGCGTCCGACAGAGCCATTGGGGCGGTTCTTTGCAGCCAGGGAGGAGCAAGCAGGAATGGAAACCGTGTGCCTTTTTCTCGAGAAAGCTGAACAAGTCGGAGCAAAACTATACTGTGTATGACCGCGAACTGCTTGCGATCTATGCGGCGTTTCGTCGATGGCGACATCTACTAATAGGGGCGCAGCACAAGATCCAGGTTTGTACAGATCACAAGAACTTGGAATACTGGAGGACCGCACGAGTGCTCAACCAGAGACAGATTTGATGGGCACAGGAGTTCTCCAAGTTTTCCTTCGAAATCCGATACGTGCCAGGAGAGGAAAACGTGAGAGCAGACGCTCTCTCCCGGAAGCCGGAGTACATGGAAGGAGAGGGGCCGCCGGAGATACGACACGTGATCCCCGAGGACCGATGGGTGTGTGGGGGAACCTTGGTGGGGAAACGAGAACTGGCTGGACTTACTAGAAACGACGTGTTCGCACAAACTAAAATCCGGGAACTCCCAAGACGGAAGAGAAACCCAAGGAGGGTTTGAGGAGAAGGAAGGGGTGCTGTACTATAAGGGGGCGCTGTATGTACCAGGGGAGACCCTACGGGGGAAGGTACTCAAACAACTCCACGACAACCCCACAGCTGGACACTTTGGACAGCACAAAACCATGATGCTCGTCACCAGGCAGTTCTGGTGGCCCAGGGTGAGGGAGGATGTACGGGAATATGTACGGGGGTGCGACCGCTGCCAAAGGGCAAAGGGGGAGCGGGCTGCCCCCGCAGGATTACTGGAACCCTTACCCACGCCAGGGAGACCTTGGGAGGTGGTGTCCATTGATTTTATGACCGATTTGCCCAAGTCCCGGGGGAAGACAGCGGTCATGGTAGTGGTCGATCTACTAACAAAAATGTGCCATTTTATAGCTTGCTCACATGCGGTCACGGCAGAGGAAACAGCCAGGTTGTTTGTAGATCACATCTTCAGGTTGCATGGGACTCCTTCGAGGGTTATCTCCGACCGCGGGAAACAATTTACTTCCCGTTTCTGGAGGAAGCTCATGAGCTTGCTGCAGGTCGAAGTGAGCTTCTCAACAGCGAGACACCCGGAAACCAACGGGCAAGCAGAAAGAGCGAACAGTATACTCCAGCAATACCTACGCTGCTACGTCAGCGAGAGGCAGAACGATTGGGTAGAGAAACTAGCGCTGGCTGAATTTGCGTACAATAACGCTGAACATGTGTCCACGGGAATGAGCCCGTTCATGGCCAATTATGGGTGTCACCCCAGGGCCTTCCCGGGGAGTGGGGAGGAAGGTTGGAGCGTACCGGCGGCAGAGCAGTTTGTGGAAGAAATGGAAGCCCTGCACCAGCAACTTAACATGAACTTGGAGCGGGCCAAGGAAATTTACAAGAGGCAGGCAGACAAGCGCCGTAGGGAAGGGGAGACCATACGGGTGGGAGATCGGGTGTGGTTGTCAACCCAAGGGTTACCTTTTAATGGGGGGTGCAAGAAGTTGCAGCCCAGGCGGCTGGGACCGTTTGAGGTAACACAGCAGGTAAACCCTGTGGCATTCAAGCTCAAATTGCCTGACAGCATGAAGATACACCCGGTGTTCCATAGGTCCCTACTCTCACCGTACAGGGAAGGACGGGGATTCCCGGGGCGAGAGGGAGAAGTCACCACACACCCGCAGGTAGAAGAGAGGGAGCACCACAACTTGGCCACGGAAATACTTGATTCAAGGTGGCGAGGACGCCAGGTGGAGTACTTGGTGGCTTGGGAGGGAGAACCCGGGTCGGGAAACACGTAGGTTCCCGCAGAAACAATCACTGACGGGTATCTGGTGGAGGAATTCCACCGCCTGTTCCCAGACAAACCCAAACCACTAGCGAGATTCTGGGAGGAGCAATTTGGAACCACAGACGATGAAGAGGATTTTGTGGGTTTTTCTGCCTCCGAAGGGGAGGGAGAAGAGGCTTCGGAGGAAGAAGAATCAGACTGGGAGGCCCACCCCGCGGGAAGGGATCAGAGCGGGTGGGAAGCGGGTTTTGAATCCTCAGAGGATGGCGACAGCTCCTTCTAGGGGTTCCCTGCATCGTCGGCCGAAGAAAGGGATGAAGTTGGGTCAACAGGTTGGGCCGGGGGTGGAGGGGGTCCTGGGGGGGAGGTGGATGTCAGGGAACTGACGTTGGAGCTAGAGGCGGAGGGAAGGCTCTCAAATGATGCTGGAGAAGGGCCCAGCAGGGAGAGAGGCAGCTCAGCAGATGGGGAAGCAAATCAGCGCAACACCAGGGATAAAGGGGGGCAGATGGGGGAATCGGCGAGAGGGTTCCAGGACACTTCACCGGACACCAGCGGGAAGAGCACGGGTCCTCCGCTACCCACGCCCTCCCTGCGCAGAAGGCTTCCGCGCAGGGAGAGTAGGAGGAGACTTGGCGTCAAACAACTTTTATGTTGGAAAAGGTTTAAGAAACGCCCACTGACGGATTCTGCTAGCGACTGAGGCAGTCACGAAGTGAAGGGCTGTCCAGACAGAAAGGTTTAACAAGGCAACATAGCCAGGAGAGGCGGCAACTTACGCACGAGCAACCCATACTCATTACACTCTCGTTATGCCAAAACTAAAGAAACACCACTGCGACATTGCTAGAAAGAACCCTTGATCCAGTACATGCTGAGTCTTGGAATGGGGAAATACACAACCAGAACATACAAAAACCGTGTGAGGAAAATGTCTTATGGTAGCTCTGGAGCTTGTGTAATGTTCTGCAATTGATGGGGTATGTGGCAATGGAATGACGGGGTAGCATTAGATTCAAATGTGTTCCTCCCCATATTTCTCACCCGCATGCTGCCCACAGCTCAACCCCTTCATTTGCACCACCAACGTATCTCTGTTAGCAGAATGGCTAGTGGCCTATCTGGTATTCTGCCAAAATAGTGACAGCCTGCTGATGCCCAGAGCATTGTTTGGTGGGCAGAGCAGCCAGAAAAGAGAAGCCTTCAGCCAGTTGCTCCTGATAAACTAGGCTTACAGTCAGCTGCTCCCACGGTTGGTTGAGCTAGACTGATACTTATGAATTGGAAGAATACAGATACGATCCTCCTTAAGCAATGGCTTGACAACATGGCAACATATGAACAGACAGCTTATAGATGCAGAATTTTTTTGAATAGATACAATGATATTTCGAATGAGTTTGCAACTTTGCACAGAATATATTAGGTTATTGACAAATATATGTGTATTAGGATAATAAGAATATACATATCTGCATAGTATATGTATGGTAATATAACAGTATTTTGTAATATTCTCTCTCGCTTTTTTCTTTCCTCCTTTTTTTCCACTGTAGAAATGAAATTATCTTATTAAATTATTATTATTATTATTAAATGTTTGGTCGACCTTGATTCCAGTAGTCTCCACGTAGGGCTGACCCTATGAAGTGCAAACTCCATCTCTGCTCTTTCAATTCCCAAGTTTCCTTTTGCTTTGGCATTAGAGTTAACCACCAAGCTACAGCGAGGTCACAAGAATTAGATATTGACTGTGGTTTTTATTACATGCTTGCAAGTTGCCTTGCAGGCTGCTGCCAATAGGAAGAGCAGGATTATACCTTCAGAAGTAAGGCCTGCCTTTGAGATCACAAGGGTGCTTTCATCCTGATGTCAGCGCTCTGAGTTCCAACTGGCATCACCTCAGCTGTTGCTTTTCATATATAACCACAGTTGGGGAACTTTGTGGGTTACAGATAGCAGGGTCAGGCTCCTAGCTAGTTTAGCTATGCATGGTATCTGCTTCTTTTACATATAGCCACAGTGTTATTTAGTTGCCCAACTAATAGTAACTTGGGGAGTTACTAATTATAGGTTGCCTAATTATCAGCTTGTCTGATGCCCAAGTCGTGGTGACTGCTTCCCATTAGGACTGGTGGGACAGAGGCAAGGAAGATAACATCAGATGGACCCCTTGCTCCTACATCAGATAGCTGTTTAAGTGAAACTTCTGGAACCCTAAAACATTGGTACAATTGCTAATAACACATGCTCATATCTCTTCTATAGGTATACTTAGAAGGAAATCCCACTGTGCTCAAGCTTAATCTTACACACACACACACAGGAGTATAGCCTTCACCAACTTATTTTTTACAGGCTATTATAGATAAACTCACAGAAGAGCCAGTAGAAAAAAAGGAAAAAAAGCACCCCTGTTACCACCTTGTAGTCTAGGAAGACGCCTCAGGTTGTAGATGACAGGTGGCCCATAGGACTGCCCCCCCCCCTTACAGCCTGTTAGGCAATGATGAGGGATTCTGTTGGACTCCAGCTGGAGGACCACAGGCTCCCTTTCCCTCTCTGGCGTCAAAGCAACGCCTCACTCCCACTCTGTGACATTTCTCAAAAGTCCTCCCATTCCCCAGTCTGCTCACTTCAATCCCAGCCCTCCCAAAACTGCCAAAAATTTTGCCAAAAGGTTTGACACTTCATTGACTTGCACAGCACCTGACTTAGTATTTTATAAATAATAATATTAACATGAAAAGCCTTATGGAAGGTTTACCTTAGAACTGTCATCTGAAGGATTAGTTTCCTCTGCATGCCAGACAACTTTTTCAAAACTTTTAAGGAGCCACTTCTTTGATTTAGACCATTTTCTAGGAAGCAAAAAGGAAAACAAACCCTTATGAAATATATATGATTATCTGTACTCAGGAAATAATTCTAAACAATTTTCCCATAATTTTTTAAACTTTCAAGTAATGCTCAGTTGCAGAAGTTCAGCAGATCGCAGTGGCAGGTGCTTGCCCTGCTTTTGAGCAATAAGGGCTCAGCAACCCTGACCTTTGCTCTGTTCTTTCCAGGCTCATCCCAAGCTTTAAAGCCCCATGTCCATATTTTTGGCTCTGGAGCCTTTCCAGGCAAAACCTGCTCTTCAAAGTTCAATTGGAGCAAATGGCAACTGGTGGAAAACCCAAATTGACATTTGCTCAGATTAAGCACTAAACAGTGCAGTTTTGTGGGGAAAGCTCTGGGGCAAAAAATCCAACACTCAGGCATGGAGCTTTAAAGTGTGGACCTCTGCCTGGAAAGAGCAGGGCAAAAGGTGAGTGTGGATGAGCCCTTGAGCAACCAAATCTGCTCACAGTTCAAGGCACCACATTAAGGTGCTGTTTTCTGTTTATTCTGGCTAGGAAGAATGGTTCTTCTCCTAACTGGCTGGCATAAACAGAGCGTGCTGCCAGAAGAAAGAGTGGTGATGTCCTGTCAGTGAATATAAGGAATAAAACTCTAGTGGGACAAACTCAGAGGGTAGTCTCTCAATTTTAATTTTTATGTGGTTTTATTGTATATAGATACTGTTGTTGTAAACCACTTAAATGTTTTTATGATATGTAAAGGAAAAAGAAATACACCTCTCCCCCCCTACTCTCTTTCATTCCCACTGGGGTTTTCCCTTTCCTCACAATAATTAATGGAGCCATTACACCCCACAGGAGGAGAAAGAAAGGTGCTCCCAGTTCATGCTGGTCAGTAAGATTGAAAGGACCTGCCATGCTGGCCTTCATGAACAGGGTGCGTTGAAAAAGAAGGAATAGTATTACCACTGCCCCTTTTGTCACTACTGGAGAATTGCCAGCAGAATCAGGGAAGGCTTTCTGCTTGAGGCAGAACCACTTCTAATCCCAACTCTGATCACAGGGCAAGTGCTTTCACTTTTATGAGAAGCCCTGCAAGATTTCTCAGAAGAGCCTTATGAAGTGTAGGTGGGTGCCCACAAGGCAAGATGCAGTGATAACAGCAAGAACCTTTATTGAACTACATAACTGGGAAACAGGTGCAAAGAAACTGCTTATATACATTCCTGAAAGCCTGGGCCACTCCCACTCTCAACGTGATTGGATGTCTAAACTTCCAAACTGCGAATCATGACTCAGAGTTCAAGGGCCAATGGCAGAGGCCCAAATCCTGAAATGTTCTGTGATTGGACATCATGTATCAAATCAGAATACAGGAGCTCAGAATCCTTAGTCCAGACTCAAGCTCAGGCAAACACAGACCTTACAAGAAGGGGGAAGTTCCAATAAGGGCTTGCTGCAGGCCAGGATCTAAAGGATTTCTTAGGCATACAAAAGCACTTCTAAATACATGGTGAGCTACTGCAGACTGGCTCATAGCTAACTCCCAGAAAAGAAAGAGCCACCTTTGGAACATCCTTCCACTCTGCTCAGGCAGTTTGTCAACTCATGATGCAGTTAAGGCTAACCAGGATTTCCCTTACTATCTATCTCTATTTTCATTGAGGTGAGGATTAAATGACCACAATTATTTTTTGAAAAAAGTTTAGCATCTGTTTCCAGATAGCCAAAACTGCACTTGGCCTAAATTTGCTCCCATTCAAGCAGGTTCCATAGCAGGGCCATGAGGCAAGCTCGCCTTGAGCGGCAGAAGCCCACCAGGCAGTGCCCCGTGGAGTCCTGCCACCTCTGGAGAAGCGGCACCCAGAGCAGCAATGGTTTCTGCAAAGATCTCACATAGCACATGAGAACTTGTAAGATTTCAGCGAGATCTCGCCAGAAGCCAGCACAACTGCTGGTGCTTTGTGAGTGCCGCTGTGCAATGCGGGTAAGGCAGGCTTCAGCAGTGGCGGGGGAGAGGAGCGTAATCAGAGGTGGGGCAGCAAGGTGGCACATTTACGTTTCTCCTCCGGCGGTAAAACAGGATGCACTGCCCCTGTTCCATAACATCACACTAAGCTGACTCTGTGCTCACACCTCTTCCCAGAATGCAGGGTCCCCTCTTTGTTGTAGTGTAAATCTAGCAAATCAAAAGTGAACTTTGCACATACTAGTCAGGCTCCCCAACTAGCTACTGCAAGCAGTCTTGGATCCAATGACTACAGGAGTATGCCAGTTGGAGGGAAAACATGCCATCATATACAGTACGTTGTCTATGGATTACACCCATAATATTGTAGACATAAGCAACAGGAATCTGAGGACAGTCTAAGCTAGAACATGAATTTCTGGATAAATTTATATTGTCAAACAGAAACACTACTCCCTTACTTCAAAAAATATTTTGGAAGTTGGGTAGCATATTCAAAATCATCATCAAAGTTCTGATAGTGCTCCTCAAACTCCTTGACATTATCCCTGGTGGTCAAAAATATGTCTTTTCCAAACAGGGTGTTCACTGTTGATGGGAACATGATGTGCCTGCAATGGGAGAAAAGGTATAGTTGTGGACTGAAGGAAAATAATGTTAGAATCCACTTGGAATGGTCAGCTGTTGGCTATACTGGTTTCATACAACTAAAGTAAAAATAGTAAAGTAAAAAGTAAAGTAAAAATAGGTGAAATAGATTGTAGTGGATAAACTTCTGCTGTATAGGGCTTTAAAGGTTAAAACCAGCACCTTAAACCTGATCCTGTACTCCACCGGGGGCCAATGCAGCTAGTATAGCACTGGGTAAATGTGATCCCACAGCGAAGATCCCGTAAGGAGTCTCGCTGCGGCATTCTGCACCCGCTGGAGTTTCTGGATCAGTTTCAAGAGGTCCGTACTTAACCTGAAACCGTTCTTAACCTGAAGCACCGCTTTAGCTAATGGGGCCTCCTGCTGCTGCCGCGCCGCCAAAACACGATTTCTGTTCTCATCCTGAAGCAAAGTTCTTAACCTGAAGCACTATTTCTGGGTTAGCGGAGTGTGTAACCTGAAGCGTATGTAACCTGAAGCGTATGTAACCCGAGGTACCACTGTAATGTTAGAATCCAATTCTCCCAAACCAAAATTCCGGACAAGCTGGGCAAGGGGGCGCATATAGATGTTAAAAATCATCGGGGAGAGAATTGCACCCTGCAGTACTCCAAACACAAAGGAGTAGCGCGACGACAACTCCCTCCCCCCCAGTGCCATCCTCTGTCCCCGACCAGAGAGAAATGAGTGCAGCCATTGAAGGACTGCGCCCTGAATCCCCTCGTAGGTGAGGTGGTGGTCTAGAAGTTTGTGGTCAACCATGTCAAAGGCTGCTGACAGATCTAAAAGAATCAACAGCCCCGACCCGCCTCAATCCAGCTGCCTACGGAAGTCATCTGTTATGGCGACCAGAGCCGTCTCGGTCCCATGACCAGAGCAAAAACCAGACTGGAATGGATCCAAAGCCGATCCAAAGTCAAATTGTTCCAATGTACAAGTATGTATTATGGTTTGATCCCTGTATGGCCAGCTGCATATTCCTGCATCGCAAGGTGTTGAACGGGATGCTCCTTGGGGATGCTACTGTTGGCTTCACAAGAATATCCTATCCAATAGTAAAATGGGTTTATGACAACTCCACCAGTGCCCTACCCTTCTGCTTTCTCTTGTAGTGTTTAAACTATATTTTATTTTCTTCTAAACTACAACATTTATGGCTTATTCTAGATATTAATTTTATTTAATGAAAAGAATGGAGGCCTGTGCCATTCTGGCTGGTTTGCAAAATCACCTACCTTACAAGATCTCTGAGCTCCTCAGTTCCCTCGTGACCCAAGTCCTCCATGTGTTTCTGAAGTTCCTGACAGAGACTCCTAGGCATATGCTGCAGATTAGATGTACTCAGTCTTCCCTTCATCATGATATATAACCTGCTCCTATTCTTGTAAAATATTTCTTCAGGAATTGAAGCTTCAAAATCCAAGTGGGAAAAATAACATCAGTCAGAATAAGCTGTAAAGTTTTACTTAAAATACCCTAGAATCTGTGCAGGCATCATGAACAGTTTTGTTTCTATATTTCATGTTGTGTTGTCTTTCAAAATAGGCAATTCTTTCTGATTAGACATAAAAAATATGTAGATTACAGAATCTTGACAGAATGTGCCCTGGTATAGTTGGGTGCTTCCTTGTCTTCACTAAATATGTCTTCATTATAGCGTGAATAAGCAACTGAGAATTTCTTAATGGCATATATAGGAATGGCAGACTCCTCCGAGTCTGATGCCACGGCACTCCCACACTGTTTCTTCCATCTAAATTTCATGCCCCTCCCCCCAGTGGAAAAATACAGGTACCTGTATGTCACGGAAGTGTACATGGAAGTGCATATTGCTGTAGTTTGCATATTAATCTGTGTTCTAGAACCAGTAAAGTGAATAGGATCAGAATTCATTGTTGTGGAGTGTGTGTTAAGTCCACAAACAAGAAGTAATTAATGGCATGTTCAGCATGTTTCCTTTACATTGGGGTGGGGGAGATAGTGATCAGTTGATAGGTGGGGGTTAAATCCTGCTTTCCGCAGGGTTAGGCGGCATGTGGGAGTTAGGTAAGTAGTTCCCAGTGAGTTAGTTAGTTCCCAGTAGTGATGTATGGAAGTGAGAGCTGGGCTAATAATAATAATAATAATAATAATAATAATAATTCTATTTATACCCCACATTTCCTGGTTTCAAAACTAGGCTCAGGGTGGCTAACAGCAAATATACAACATTGATTAAAATGCGACTTTAAAACAGCATAAAATACAACATAAAATACAGCATCAATATCAATAAAATTCAAAAATTCAGGAGTCATTTTTTTGGAGGGGAACCCGGTCAGTAGACATCAAATGATCACCAGGGTTAACTGGCCAAGTTGGTCCTACAAGGGCCAGCAAGGAGACCAGGGAAGAATTTAAATGTGGGGTCCCAGAAAGGGTTTCTTCATAGAAGAGGAAAGGGAAAAGGGAATAGAGGTTCAGGCTAATTCAAATTGAAGGCCAGGTGGAATAGCTCTGTCTTACAGGCCCTGCAGAAGGAGATCAAGTCCTGCAGGGCCCTAGTCTCGTGGGACAGAGCATTCCACCAGGTCGGAGCTGTCACTGAAAAAGTGACGGAGGATAGTCTGGCTTCCTTAGGGCCCGGGACCTTTAAGCTATTATTATTCATGGACCTTAGGGTCCTCTGCGGAACGTACCAGGAGAGGCAGTCCCGTAAGTACAAGGGTCCGAGGCTGCATAGGGCTTTAAAGGTTAAAACCAGCACCTTAAACTATACTCCACTGGGAGCCAGTGCAGCTGGTAAAGCGCTGGGTGAATATGCTCCCATGGCAAGGACCCTGTGAGGAGCCTCGCTGCAGCATTCTGCACCTGCTGGAGTTTCTGGGACAGTTTCAAGGGCAGTCCCACATAGAGCAAGTTACAGTAGTCAAGCCTGGAGGTGACCGTCGCATGGATCATGTCACATGCATAAAGAAGGCTGATTGCCGAAGAATTGATGCTTTTGAATTATGGTGCTAGAGGAGACTCTTGAGAGTTCCATGAACTGCAAGAAGATCAAACCTATCCATTCTGAAGGAAATCAGCCCTGAGTGCTCACTGGAAGGACAGATCCTGAAGCTGAGGCTCCAATACTTTGGCCACCTCATGAGAAAAGAAGACTCCCTGGAAATGACCACTCCCCACACGCCTTTTGTGTGGTTGCGTGCAGCCCCCGGATCCCAGTGAGGCTCCCGGTAGTATGGGCTGGCTTCACCCTCCCCAGACTGGATACCTAGAGATCTCTGCCTACCTCAGCCAATCGCCCAATCCTGCCTGGGGAGGCATTGCCAGGGGATCGGCCAGGTAGGGGGAGGGACCGTCCTGCCCACACAACGGAAAGTGAATCTTATACCTGCGAAGCGTCAGTTGGCTCCAGAGCTTCTCCCATCCTGCCCTCCCTCAGTTAAGCCTTCTTTTGCAGGTTAACCTCTTCTCCACAGGGACGTGGGTCACTGTTGAAGGGCCGGAAAGGAATTTTCCTGCATTGGCAGGTTTTGCCTTTCCCGTAGCAAAAATGTCACAACTTTGGCTGTTTCAGGCCTTGGGTGGAATCCTTTAGTCTATGTTTCTAACTTACCGTGACCCAAGCCCCCCTTGCGGCAGTGATCCCAGGGTTCCCCATTAAAGGGGTCTTGAGGAGAGGCATTAGCCATACGCCAAGAGGTTGTCATTGCTTTCCCCTGCGAAGGCGGCAAAACAGGGGGCGGGCTCTCTGCTTGAACATATGTTTTCCAGAGCCAGCCCAATCCCCACACATTCTGGATAACCCTGAAGTCTCTCAGATCCCCAGCTGGGGACTGAGAAGGATAAATGCCCAATGCCTGAGCCAAGGTCTCCCTACATCTAAAACTTAAAGTTGTGGCCAATTTTAATCCCATAGCACATTTCTTGAGTCATTATTCCACTCAGGGGTCGCCTGGGGTTGGGGGGACTACGCCTGTCCACACAAAGATCCTGATGTTGGGAAAGATAGAGGGCACAAGGAGAAGGGGACGACAGAGAATGAGATGGTTGGACAGTGTTCTCGAAACTACCAACATGAATTTGACAAAACTGGGACACAGTGGAAGACATTAGCCTGGTGTGCTCTGGTCCATGGGGTCACAAAGAGTCAGACACAACTAAATGACTAAACAACAACAACAAATTTAGTGGAAACAAGCTGCAGTGGAATGGAAGCAGTGCTAATGTTTATGAACACAGATGAGAATGGAAATTGTTGCCTTCTTACCTGTATAGTGCCTGTATTACTGGAACTGTCTTTAGTAAGGATAACAACATCTCTGAGGGAGGATAATTTTGAAGTGAAAAACATGAGTGTGTTACGTAAATTTGGTTTCCCTATAGAATACTGTAATTGGATTAAAATGATTTATAAAAACCCAACGTCCCGGGTCATTACAAATGGAAGAATTTTGAATTTGATTAGTTTAAATCGAGGAACGAGACAAGGATGTCCTCTTTCTCCATTATTATTTAATCTGTGCCTGGAACCATTAACAAGAGCAATAATTCAGGATGAGCATATCAAGGGTGTAAAACACAACAAAGATAATTACAAAATTGTATTATTTGCGGATGATATCCTTTTATTTATTACAAAACCAGAAGATACAATTCCAAAAATTATGGAGAAAATAAAAACCTTTGGCAGAATATCAGGATATTCTATAAATTGGACAAAATCAGAGATTTTACCAATTGGGCCAAGGGCTACATTGTATAGAAACCATCAATTTCAGATGTGCAAAGACTTTATTAAATATTTGGGTATAATGATTTCATTGGATATAGACCAAATTGTAAAATTAAATTTGAATCAAATTATAAATGAGATTTTTTTAATATATATTGAAAGGTGGGGACCTCTAAACCTTTCCCTTTGGGGAAAGGTTAATGTCCTCAAAATGAATGTTGTTCCAAAGCTTTTATACATTCTCAGAGGATTACCAATACATATTCCCAAATTTTACTTCCGAAAAATAAATCAACTAATTAGATCGTGCCTGTGGGGTACAAAGCCACCAAAAATATTACTACATAAAATGCAACTTCCAACTAAGGAAGGTGGCTTTGGTCTCCCAAATCTGGAACTATATCACCAGGCCTACCTGCTGAGTAAGACTAACGATTGGAGAGCTAGCAGGAATCCCAATTGGGCTACTCTTGAATATAGTTTCTTGGAAGCTCTTCTAGGGTGGACTAAACTGGGCTGAAATTTTATGAAATATCCTATTATCCTGGAGACTATTAAAGCACCTATAAAAAATTGGATGAATATAAATAAAAATAATAAGGATGACCCCTTTCAGCATGAGAAATTAACAATATGGGCCAACCCAAAATTAAAAATTGGAAATCAAGTAATAATTTGGCAAAATTGGATGAAAAAAGGTATTTTGACATTGAATCAATTAATTGATGAAAATTACAAATTTGTGGAATATAAGACCTTGCAAGTAAAGTATGGATTAACCAGTGAAACACAATGGCAATACATCCAATTGAAACATATGTTGGAAAGGCAGTTTGGCCCTGAGGCTATAGCAGTATTGGAAACACCTACAAGATTTAATTTCTGCAACAAAAGCAAAGAACTCTACACTTGCACTATATAAAACCCTACTCAACAGAAAGAAATATGATTTAGAATATGACAGACAAAAATGGAGTGAAGAGTTAGGGGTACAGATAACAAATGATAAATGGGAGTCAAGTATAAAATCAACAGAAATAGCTTCTATGGATTTAAGATTTATTCAGCAGAAAATAATATTCAGAGTCCCCTGGACTCCAGCAAAACTTTACCAGAAGAAAATTACAAATGCAGACAACTGCTGGAGATGTGGAAGTAAAAATGCGAACTTAGTACATATGATGATTAACTGCCCGATGATAACATCATTTTGGTGTGAGGTGAGGATATATATAGCAAGAGTAATAAAAAGAAATTGTTATTTAGGGGATTTGAATTTAATTCTAAATTATATACCGGAAACGTGGGAGATTACAAGGGGTCAAAAAAAATGGATGTATCGTGCCATATTAGAAGCAAAAAAACTTGTCTTGATGAATTGGAAGAGCTCCAAAAAGATTCCATTGAGCACATGGATTGACAATATGGACAGACTAGCGACATACAAACAAATTGCATATTGACACAAATTAAGAATGGATAAATATGAAGAAATCTGGAAGGAAGACTTAAGCGATAAGGCGGACAGTGGTGGGAAGTAGGGGGAGGAGAGGTGGGGAAATATTGTTAAAAAGGTGTAGTTATAGGTATATCAGTGTATCCAAATGTGAATTGTTAAATTGTGTTATTAGTGTTATTGTGGTGTTGTATGTGTTTTTTGTGGTTGCTGTTTATATTGAAAAAATGATTAAATAATTTTTTTAAAAAATGTGTGTGTGTGTGTGAGAGAGAGAGAGAGAGAAATACTTGCTCCCTCAGCACATTGCTCCAGTCAAAACTGGAGTCCCCAAAGCTACATTAAAGTAAAAAGATATCCCACTTCACATGTTTCAACCCTTTATCAACTAAAATAGAAAGAAATAATTTCCCCACTGAAATTAAATATTATTTACCTACCTGTACGCTGGACAGACTGTTGCACTGCCTGCTCAAAATCCACATCTTTAGATATACAAAATGCTTGAAAACCTTCTTCATCAGTTACAAATGTGTATCGTTTTCCCAGCATATACACTGTGAATACTGGTCCATACTGAAAAATATAGTGTTAAAAAAGTTAAGTAGTTTTTATCAACATCACTAGCAGGGTTATCTGAAGTTCTGTAAGATGAAATTGCTACCTATGGAGGTTGAGTAATATAATATTTTAGGTGCTGATACAACAAGGATAGGAAACGAAGTGAAATGTAAAGATGTAAAGTTTAATTTTGTAAACCATCAGACGAGAGGGAGGGAAGTCATTAGGATCAGTTGAGCCAAAGAGATAAAATAAGAGGGTACGATGTTATGTAATGTGATTATATGTAATCATTTACATATAAAAATACCGGTATGTAATTTTTATAATAAAGAAGTTAAGTAGTTTAATACAACTACATTTAGGGGGAGCCATTGGGTCCTGCCCATTGGCTCCCCTTTGGCACCAGTCTCAGTCTCAGTCAGTTTTATTGCACATAGCCAAAGGCTGCCGCAATGTACACAGAATTATTTGACAATTAAAAGAAAATATACTGAATTGGTAAAAAAAGACTTAAAACATTTATATTATTAAAACATTACATACTCTAAACAAAGCTATAAAAGTACCCCAATGTACAAATAAAAACATTAAACGATAAAATTCATAAGCTAAAATCATCACATGGTCACTAATGTTAAAAACAATATCAATTAATACAGTGTGCAATTTATACTCAGAGTTTGGTGACAAAGATAGAGCATAGCCTGAGGTAGATAGATAGGATCAAATAAATTCATCTCCTTTACAGTTAATGGCTACCTTGGCTATATAATTTGCTCTAATTTTCCTAGCAGCAGTTGCAAAAGTGCTACCCGCCAGGTCACATACTTATCTGTGTCTGCAAGGAGATATAACATCATATCAAGGGGGTTCTGGCCAGGGGACCCTGTCATTATAGGTACCAAAAATCTTTTTCTTGCATCATTATATAACGGACAGTGCAAGATATAATGCATAAGGTCCTCTACTTCAGAACATCCCCTAATGCAAACACGTTCGTTTTTGGTATGCCTCTATGTCTCCCATCTCTATAAGCAGAGCTTATTGTATTTAGTCGTAGCTCTGTAAAAGCTTTTCGAAGCTGTGCAAAAGTCAATTCATTAAAATAAGATATGTGTTCATTGACCTCTCTAAGTTTAAAATACAATGGGGCGCATGTAGATGTGCACATAGAGTTTAAATCGTTTTTAGTTGCCACTGCCCTTATGGTTCGTTTAAAAATATTTTTCTGTGAATATAAGGGGAGTTCTTTAATCTCAGTCACTGAGAGGTCATATTTGCCCATCAGTTGGGCAGCATGATGTACCCAGTTTTTAAAGGGTAATCCATTTGAGAGCTCAATCAGGCATTTTTTTGGTAGCCTAGTGTTGTCCATCTGTTGAACTCTAAACCAGTAACAGAGAATTCTTTTATCTATTTGGCTCTCTATGCTCAACATGCGAGTTTCCAACCTGACCATGGCAGATTGCACGTCTTTGGGTAAACCTAAAAGAACTCTTAAAAAATAATTCTGTGGGGGTTCCAGACCGGAGACCTTTGAGGTACCCCAAACCTCTGCACCATATAAAATCTGGGCCATTGTTTTTGCTTTATACACAGATAGAGCTGGGTTGACCAGATTTCCACCTTTACATGCAGCGAATTTCAGAATGGCTTTTGCTGATTTAAAGGCTTGCAATTTAATATTGGATAGCTGTGTATTCCAAGATGCCGTTTCTGAATAAATCAATCCCAGATATTTGAACGTATTTACTTGGTTTATGATGTGTTCATCCAGGTGCCAAACATGCTTTTAGAACGCTTCCCAAATACAATGACCTGCGTCTTATCATAGTTTATAGATAAAGCATTCCTCATGCAATATGAACTTAATTTTGCAAGCAGCCGTCTCAGGCCCACCTGGGTTCTAGATACAAGTACTAGGTCATCAGCATACATTAAAACTGAGAGTTTTTAGTCGAGAATTGTAACAGGGGCAAACTGTAGGCCCTCCAGTTCTTTAACCATGTCATTAATATAAAAATTGAACAGGAAAGGTGCCAAAATGCATCCCTGTTTAACTCCAGTAGTGGTCTTAATTCTAGTGGTGAGATGGGCAGCCAGATCCACCTTTACTTGTATTGATGTGTCAGTATATAATGTTTTGATGAGAAATAATAGACGGAGGTCTATATTTGTCTTTTCCAATTTTTGCCACAATGCGTGTCTTGGGACCGTATCAAAAGCTGACTTTAGATCGATAAAAGCAACATATAATTTTTGCTTCAAATTATGGATGTATTTACACAGCAGAAAGTTCAGCACAAAGCACTGGTCCAATGTGGATTTCCTCTTTGGAAACCTGCCTGGACTTCAGATATCACCTTATTTGTATCTGCCCATTCTTCTAGTCTCCCAAGAAGGAGCCTGGCATATAGTTTGGAGGCTACATCTAACAAACTAATGGGTCTATAATTAGCAGGGTTTTTCTTATCGCCCTTTTTATATATTGGGGCAATTATACTCAACTTCCACCCTTCAGGTATATGACCTGAGCTGTTAATGTATGAAAACAATTTTGCAAAAATGGGTGACCAGAAATCAGGTCTTATCTTATGGATCTCCATTGGGATCATGTCTTCTCCTGGAGCTTTATTAGCTAGAAACTCAGCTCCCAGGCAGACATTGCACACAGCAAGCACAAGAAAAGCAATCATGGCACCTGCCTGCATGCCCAGCCTTCCACTTTTCCATCTATTCCCAACAGCAAGGGCTGGTAGACCGGCTGGCTGGGCTGCCTCACCCAATTGCTTGCTTGCTTACTCCAAGGCTGCCTCAGTTCCTGGCAACCAGCACCTCCTGGCCAGCCCCAGAGGCATCATTCGCCTGGGGAGCTTATAGCCAGGGCTGCTGCAACAAACAGCCAGACAAGCCTTTGGGAGGCAGAGACACAAGAGGGCATCAGAGGAGGGAGGGGAGGAAACAGGGACAGAGGCCAGTGTTGCCTGCAGTACACCTGACTATCATTCAAGGCACCCCAACATACCGCGGCACACAGGTTGAGAAACATTGTTCTAGGGAATGGATTCTGAACAAGGGGGAGGCAATGCACCCATAAGGTATCTCCGCCCTGTGACCCATTTCTGAAGATCAGCAGGATAATAGTTGGGGTGGGAGATATACAAAAAACAAAATGCTAAGTGTGGTTGTTGTGATGAAATAGAGTAAGACAAACTGGCAGCCACAGCCATTCATTCCTTGCTGGGCTGCGAGCACACCGCCTTTCCCCTACATGGCTCTGATTTAAAAGTGCTTTGTGGTCCACACAAACCTCAGTTCCTCTCTAGTCTCTGTCCTTGCTTGCCTCTCCTACCCAGTTTCACTCTGCGTTTCTGCTACTCCTCCTCCTTCCTCCTTATGCACAATCTTTCCCACTCTATGAATGTGGTTTATACTCTGTTTCTACCTCTTTCCTGCATGTGGGAACATATGCACAGTTCTAACTTTCCCAATTAGGTTTCATTTTTTGCTAATTTGGGGATCACCTGAGTACAGAGAGAAAGAGAGAGACCTCCCACTTTTACATGTCCTTATGCCATCAGCACTGAAGGCTGCATTGAAAATGCAGAAAACAGTATTATCTAAAATCTCTTAGCAATACTGTTGTGAAAGGGGAAAAAAGCAGACTGCATTACAATGAAGTTGCAAAATTTATTATAAAAAACACATTTGTATACATAGTGCTTGAAAATACTCATTTTATAAGACTCTCGTAGAATTCTATTTTAATGCATTCTTTCAACACTGAGTAGCTTTCAGGACAGCTTGAAAAGCACACATGAACTTTAGTAACCTAACACTTGGCTTGTTCAAGGAGAACTGTCCTGTTAGATAAGAACAGCCACATTGTTCTGAACAGCGCCCTAAAGCTAGAGAGAGAGAGAGAGAGCAAATACGTGTTTTAGCATTTCTCTCAGCATGTTATTCTATCATAGTAATTCAGACCATATAAATTGTTTGATAACAGTCAGCTAACACAAAGCATATTAAATTGTAAAAAGCGAAGTACCGTATTTTTCGCTCTATAAGACGCACCAGATCACAAGAAGCACCTAGTTTTTGGAGGAGGAAAACAAGAGGAAAAAAATTCTGAATCTCAGAAGCCAGAACAGCAAGAGGGATCGCTGTGCAGTGAAAGCAGCAATCCCTCTTGCTGTTCTGGCTTCTGGGATAGCTGTGCAGCCTGCATTTGCTCCATAAGACACACACACATTTCCCCTTACTTTTTAGGAGGGAAAAAGTGAGTCTTATAGAGCAAAAAATACGGTAAGTTAGAAACCTGGCTTGTTCAGCTCAAGCTCAAGCCTTTTCATCCTCTCCCTCCCCGATCTCTGGTCTGTGACTATACTAAATGGTTTCATTCATTCATTCTCCCTCCCCATCCCTGGCTCCCCCAGTTATTACCTTGAGTCTGGCTTGTTTGATGAATTCCAGAGGAGCTTTCCCAAATTTGAAGGCAGCTCCGAACCAAGGGATGCAGCCACGGATACAAGGCGGCTCATTGACGTTTCTGAATGGAAAGAAAATATGCTTGACAACAAAACCTAGAACCACTGTAAACAGGAGAGCCAAAATGATTTCCATCTTCTTTCCTCTGTAGCAGTTGCTTTTCTGACACAGGCTGCCGCTGTAAGATATAATGCTGCTAGGGGTTACTTCAGGATAGTATTCAAAAAAATCTTGTTTGTACTGCTGCCTTCTTGTGGATGCTATGATAAAAGACAAGTTTATTACATAGTTCAGCTTGCCTCTGGGAGAGGCTAGTTTTACTTTCTAACTGACCCTCAAAATGGACTTCTCTTCTCTCTGTTCTCTGAAACATGAAGCCATATTTCATTTTCCTTCTTGTCCAATATTAACTGTTGTAAGCTATTCTGTTCCAAATAATGAAAATAGATCCTTTGTTATTTAACTGTGCATACATTGCCTTGATATTTTTTTTATATCAATAGACAGTATTACAGTTTTGGGGCCACAGAGCCTGAGTGCATTTGGTATTTACAGACATTTAGGAACAGACACAATGCAGACAGGTCCAGGAGCAATGTGTCACAACTGCTGATCATTACTCATTTCTGTCTCTCTCTGTGCACTCCAGTAGTTCAGAAGGACAGGACTTTCCTCACATCCACCATCACATAGACTATGGAGAAGCTCACCACATGACTAGCTGTGATGACCTAAGCTCTTTCAGCTTTTCTCCACATTTTATCTGCAGGCTTCCAGCCATGGGAGCTATTTGGAAGATTCCCCTTTTCTTCCCCTTGTATTTTGGGGCTGAAAAGAGCAGTCTGCACATCTGCCTTCAGCTAATTTTTCTATAATTCCTCCATGAAACTTCAGAAATACTGTTTCCCCTCTCATGATCTCTGCAATGGGGAATCCTCCATGCAATGTCTGTCTTACATGCTTTGCCAGCCTCTGATTACTAAGACCCATCGTGGGTTTCTCAAAAATAAGTCATTCCGACGAATCTCATTACATTTTGATGGAGTTACAAGCTTGGTGGATCAGGGGAATGTTGTGGACATAGTGTATCTTGATTTCAGTAAGGCTTTTGACAAAGTCCCCCATGATATTCTTGGTAAGTTGGTAAAATGTGCGTTGAATGAGGCAACTGTTAGATTTGTAGCTGGTTGGCAGACCAAACCCAAAGTACTCATTAATGGTTCCTAGTCATCCTGGGGGAAAGTGACACATGGGGTGCTGCAGAGTTCTCCTGGGCCCCTTGTTGTTCAGTGTCTTTATAAGCAACTTGGATGAAGGAATTGAGGGGATGCACATCCAATTTGCAGATGACACCAAACTGGGAGGGGTAGCTAAGACAGAATCAGGAATCAACATGACGGGCCCAAACTAACAAAACGGATCTTAATAGGGACACATGTACGGTTCTGTACTCAGTAGGCAGGAAGAGCCAGATGCATAAATATAAGATGGGGGACACCTGGCTTACATGTGAAAAGGATCTAGGGACCTTGGTGGACCACAAGCTTAACACGAGTTGACAGTGTCATGCAGCAGCAGAAAAGCCTAACACTACTGTCAGGGAAGAGTTAGACGTTTCCAGTTTCTCAGAGGGAGAAAGCATTCCCCAAGGGGGGAGGGAGAGCAGTGAATCTAACAGAAGGGAGCAAGAGGAACAACAGGGAGGGACCGGCTGTTCACAGGAAAGGCAAGGGTTCAGTTCTAGCTCAGATTCGGAGGAGGGGAGATACAAGCCAGCTCTAGCCAGGAGGGTAGGAAAAAGAGCAGGAAAGCGAAGGGAAGGGTGCCTTCGCCATTTTGAGAGTGGCTGGTCACGGAGAAGCAGAGCTCAGAAGGTATCTGAAAGAAGTGACTCTGAGGAATAATAGTTAAGAACCGTTTATAAGATTGTTTTGTTAACACGCAATAAAAAGTTATAAAAGAACAAGAAGCGTTTGTGTGGTGATCTGAAGAGGACAACGACCAGTCCTGACAACTATCCTAGGCTCAAGATAAGTATGTCCAAATCAAGGGAAGTCATAATACCACTCTATTCTGCCTTGGTCAGACCATACATGGAATACTGCGTCTAATTTTGGGCACAAAAATTTAAAGTTATTGACAAGCTGGTACATGTGCAGTGGGGGCACCCAAGATGATCCAGGGTCTGGAAACCAGGCTTTATGAGGAACAATTGAAGGAGCCAGGGAAAGAAGAGGTTGAGATATGATAGCCATCTTCAACTCTCTCCAGGGCAGTCGCATGGAGGGCGGGGCGGGCTTGATTTCTCCTGCTCTGGAGGGCAGGCTTTGAACCAATGCTTTCATATCACAGGAAAGGAGATTCCAACTAAACTTCAGGAGCTGTTCAACAGTGGAATGGTCTCCCTTGGGAGGTTTCCTGGGAGGTTTTTAAGCCGCGGTTGGAAGGCCATCTGCCCTGGATGCTTCAGCCAAGATTCCTGCATTGCAGGAGACTGGACTGGATGCCCCTTAGGGTAAAGGGTATTTGCCTGCCTGTGACTTGGCCCCATGAAACCGCCTCTCCTTGCTTCAACTTGACCTACTGATTTCTGCGGGTGACCCAAATGTCAGCTCCCTCTGAAGGCAGCGCAGCAACCAAAGCAGGGAGCGCCTGCCCAACTTGTCTGAGGTGTTGTCTGTGGGGCGTTGAAGGCTCGCTCCTTCCCGCATGGCAAAGCAGCCCTTGAGGAAACCGGCCCGGGGGGCGGGGGGGGGGCAGACGCCTGTGTCCAGGTCGCGGGATGAAGGATGGCGGGCGGCAACAAGGGGCGCCCCAGCTCGGCCGCTCCGGCTGTCCGCCCTCGGCAGCTGGACTGGCGGGCGCCTCCCTGTCCCGGCCACGGCGGGCGCCCCATTTGCCCCGCCCTCTGCCGCCTTCCGTGAGGCAAGCGCCCTCGCCCGCCCGCCGCCCGCTTCCCTCCTCGGCTCGTTCCGGCAGCGGGGGGGGGGGGGGGGGCGGGGCGAGGAACGGGCTCCTCCCCTCCCTCTCCTCCGCCGTTGGTGCCCCGTGAGGCGCCGGTGTCCGCCCGCCGCCCGCCGCCTTCCCTCCGCCATGTGCTCTTCGCTGCCGAGCCCGGGCAGCTGCCTGTCCCTGCGCGTGTCCTTCGTGGAGCTCCACGCGGAGGCTCCGCTGGTGCGGCTGTGGGGCTTCCGCGGCGAGCGGCGCGAGGAGTACCTGCGGCTGGCCGAGGAGGTGCAGGCGCGGGCGGGGCCTCGGCTGGCGGCGCTGCCGGGCGCGGGGCCCCGGCGGCGGGCGAGCTGTGCCTGGCGGAGGCGGGCGGGCGCTGGCGGCGCTGCCGGGTGCTGGGCCTGCTCCGCGCCGGCCCCGCGCCCGCCTACCGCGTCTTCCTGCTGGACGAGGGCCGCACGCTCAGCGCCGGCGCCCAGGCCCTGGCGCGCGGCCCCGCCGAGCTCTTCCAGCTGCCCTCCGAGGTGCTGGGCTGCGTCCTGGCCGACCTGGCGCCGCCCCAGCGCCTCAGCTGGACGCCGGCCGCCGCCGAGTTCCTGGGCCGCCTGCAGGGCCAGGAGGTGTCGGGCCTGGTGAGGGACGTGCTGGTGGCGCAGCACCTGGTGGTGCTGGAGCTGCCCGGGCTGCTGGCCCAGATGCGCCACCTGGGGCTCGCCGGCCACGTCTCCCCCAGCACCTTCGCCGGCCTGCTCGCCGCCTCCCTCGGGAGCACCAGCGCCCCACCCCAGGCGCCCGGGGGCCCTGCCGCTCCCCGCACCCAGGATGAGCCCACAGCCCTGCACTACTTCTACCCGCAGCTGCAGATGAGAGTGACGGAGCCCATGCTGGTGACCCAGGTATCCGACCCCGGCAGGATATATTGTCAACTGCGCAGCCTCTCCAGAGAGATCCAGCTGCTCTCGGACGCCATGCGCCAGGCTTTCGAGGCCTCCGCTGGGAAAAGCTTGCAGGAACCCCTGCCGGCCCCAGGATCCCCTTGCGCCGCGCGGGGCATCGATGGCTGCTGGTACCGGGCCCTGCTGCTGAAAGTAGATCCTCTGGGTGGCCCGGAGGAGCAGCTTGGAGAGGTGGCGCAGGTGATCTATGTGGATTATGGGAGGAAGGAATTTGTGACAAAGCAAAACCTGCGCAATTTGCCTGCTGAGTGTTTCCGAATGCCGGTGGTGACCTATCCTTGTTCATTGCAAGGTATTACCGATGGAGGCTGTGGCTGGACCCGCTCTCAGATAAGTCAGCTTAAAACATTGCTGTTGAGCAAGGTGGTGCAAGCCCACATTGAAGCCTACTGTCCCTTTGAGCACCTCTACTATGTTACTCTCTATGGAGAAGATGGCCTGAACCTTAACTGCCTCTATGGGGTCCAGGCCCATTGTCTGGAGCAGAGCCTCCTTCACAGCAGTCAAGAGCATTCCTCTGACTTAATGGCTGAACTAAAGAAGGTAGGTGCCACAGCCAAGGAAGAACATGCCTCTCTGTTGGGAGTTCAGTCCATGCTTGCCGCTGACCCACTTCCTGTTGTGCGTTTGAAGGCTGGTGAGTACCACAGTGCTCAAGTGTCCTTCCTCCAGGATCCCACAGACTTCTGGGTGTGCCTGCAGGAGCATCGCCAACCCCTCCGTTGCCTCATACAGAACTTAAGTGACTTCTATTCTCAGAGTAAAAAACTAGAGGGTATTCTGCTTCAGCCCAAACCAGGATCCCTGTGCTGTGTCGCATTGAAGGAGAACTGCTATCACCGTGCTGTTGTCACCAAGATGCTGGGAAAAGGAATTGAAGTTTATCTGGTAGACAGAGGAAACACTGAAATTGTTGACTTGCATAAGGTGAAGGAATTGCTTCCCCAGTTCAGAGAACTTCCTGCTGCAGCACTCAGATGTGCACTGGCTAATCCTTTCCCACCAGGGCAGACATGGAGCCCAGATGCTGTAGACTATTTCAGGAAAGCCGTGCTAAACAAGGAGCTGGTAATCAAGGTCTTAGGCATGCAAGGGGACATGTACATAGTGGAACTTTTTGATCATTCACTAGCAGGAGAAAAAAACTTGGGCAAAATCATGTCTCAACAGAAGTATGCTGAGCATCATAAGGGTGAGGAATTAGAGACTCTCCAGAAAGTGACCAAGGAGCCATTGAGGAGCGCATCTGGAATAGAGGGCATAGGACAGAAGCCTGTGAGAAAAATTTTCCCCAAAGATGAAAATGAACCCTCGCCACAACGTCACAGTTCAGCCCCTTATCCTACTGAAACTTTGATCGTCAAGCAGCAGCCCAGTGAAGGTAGTTGCTATTTGTCATGCAAAGCATTTGCAAAAGAGGATTCTAGCATTGCCCCAACCCCTTCACTCTATGTTATGCAAAACTACTCTGAAATAAAGCCAGGGTTTTCTAGTGAAGGGCATCTGGAAGTTGGAAATACAGTAGATGTGGTAGTATCCTATACAGAAAGTCCTAGTCTCTTCTGGTGTCAGCTAGCTAAAAGTTCCCAAGACCTGAGAGCACTTATGGCTAAAATTCAAGATTATTGTATGCATTCATCACAACCCCGTGAATGGCCAAATTCTGTATGTTTGGCTAAGTATTCTGAGGATGAGAAGTGGTACAGAGCTCTTATTACTAGTAAAGTATGTTGTGCTGAAGAGGTGGAAGTTGCATATGTTGACTATGGGAACAAAGAGCGTGTTTCACTAAAGAATGTCCGTGCAACTAAGACAGAATTTCTGACGTTGAAAGCTCAAGCTTTCAGATGTAGCCTTTACAACTTAATTCAGCCAAATGGTCAGGATCCGTTTGTGTGGGATGAAAAAGCCACTGAAGCTTTTCATGAATTTGTGGAGTCAGCAAGCACATTAGAACTGAAATGCACCATATTTGCTTTTGCAGCATTAAACAATACAGATTTCATCAATATTGTGGACTTGATTACCCCTTTTGAAAGTGTGTGCCATTTTTTAACAAAGAAGGGTCTAGCCAGATGTGTGCAGCCTCAAAAACCTCTAATATCTTCTGTTCATCTTCTGTCATACTATTATTCTACACATGACATTAAAATAGGAAGTGAAGAGGTGGTTTATATCACACATGTTAATGATCCCTGTCACTTTTACTGCCAACTTGCTAGAAATGCAAATGTTATTGGGCAGTTAACTACTAGTATTGCTAAACTCAGCAAAATGCAGTACAATTTGGAAACATCACAGGGCCCTGGAAATGTGTGTCTTGCAAAGTATATGGATGGCTGCTGGTACAGGGCAGTAGTAACTTCAGCAAAAGATACCAAAGAAGTTTTCTTTGTGGATTTTGGGAATAGGCAGTTGCTAAAGAATGGAGACTTGGTCCTAGTACCAAATGATGCTTACGAGTTACTGCTTTTGCCAATGCAAGCCATAAAATGCTCTCTATCTGATGTTGTTGATGTTCCAAAAGAAGTTTCTGCATGGTTTGAAAAAGCAGTACTAGATAAGCCCTTAAAGGCTTTAATTGTAGCAAAAGAACCTGATGGAAAACTGATCATTGAACTATATGATGGTAAGATGCAGATCAATGCAAAACTGAAAGAGAGTTTGCAGTACAGCAGAGGGACGGCCAAATATACAAAAAATGGAGCTTCAGCATCCAGATATCTGCTCACCAGGGAACAAAACACTGAAAAAAGGCTATCTTTGACAGAAATGGATAAACCAACTTTTGAGGACAAGAGGTGGAACAATGAAAATTTGGACATAGTAGGCAGTAGCAAACACACTGTTGTATGTAGAGAAGTAAGACAATTTCAGCAGAAAACAAAAAGAGAGGTGACAATTCAGCAGAAAACAAAAAGAGAGGTGACAATTAAGCTTCCTGGACCAGGGGGGAAAAATAATGGAAATGATCCTGTAACAGATAGGAGTCATAGAGATTCCATGCTAAGCAAAGAAACTCCCCCTGATAACTTGAAAAGGAGAAATCAATCTGAAACTAATACACACTTTTCATTTAAAAATATTTGTGCTTTACCTCAAAAAATCATAAGCCTTGGTCTTAAAACTTTGGTGTATGTTTCTCATATAAATAATCCATCCGACTTCTATGTTCACCTAGTAGAAGATGAGCCCTTGCTTGACAGCATTTCAGAGAAACTAAATAAATCTGAAAATATTGAGAGCCTGAATGGGCAACAGCTTCACATAGGAGACATAATGTGTGCATTGTTTTCAGAAGATGGCTTATGGTATCGAGCTGCAGTTATTGAAAAACCCTCTGGTAAACTGGTGAGGGTGCAGTATATTGATTATGGCAATACCGCACTGGTTAGCATCTGCAAAACAGGTAGACTCCTTGAAGACTGTTCATCAGTCCCAGTGATGAGCATTCATTGTTCATTGTATGGAGTTAAGACCACAGAGCTTTCAGAATGGACACAGGAAGCAGTGCTGTATTTCTCCCAAAGGACAAGTGATACTCAGCTAAATGGCGAATTTGTGGAGAAAACTGAAAGCAAATGGAACATTCATCTCTGTGACAAAGATGGTAATATAGCAGTGGATTTGGTTGATAATTACCTTGAGTACAAACAACCTCCTTTGGGGGAAACATCTGACAAAATGGAGAGTGACACTGATCTGATAAACCTGTGTGAAGTTGCTGTTCCTGATAAGTATAGCAAACCTTTCAATATGTCAATCACCAAATCCTTCCTCTGGAAGATTCCTAAAGTGGGTCAAACTTTGAAAACCTTTTTGATAGTTGCAAAGAGCCCAGGATATTTTTGGTGCCAGTTTGCTGACTCAGATGATATTGGTTTAATTGAAACAAAGCTTCAGGAAGCTGGAGAGCTTATGGGCATAGATGTTGAGGATATAAAAAGTGGCTGTCCCTGTCTAGCAAAGAATAGTGAAGATAATACCTTTTACCGAGCAGTTATTAGCAGTGTAAAGGGGGAAACCTTGAGTATCATTCATATTGACCATGGAACCGAGGAACTTGCCAGTGCAGAGATGATCAGGCAAATTCCTGATGACCTGCTGGTAATACCACCTCAAGCATTTCTTTGTTGTTTGTTTGGCTTTAACTCTGCTGAAGGTTTGTGGGCTGAAGGAATAAATAAGATCTTCTGTGATGTCACGGCAGACTCTCTGTTAGACACTACCATCATGGAAAAACAAAATGATGACCCTTTTGAAATCCCCTTATTTGTTGTTCAATTGGAATGTCAAAAAATCAGCATCAATGAACAAATGAAACCCTTTTGGAAGCCTGTTGTTGAAGACTGTGCCTTAACTTTGACAAATAGTATTCACAAACCGGAAGAACAGATTGAAGATGTAGGGACAGATAGTTCAAAGGTGGTTATAAATGAAACCAAAGTATCTGCCTGTGCACTAATGCCTTCAGAAGATCTGTTACGTTGTTCAGAGGCATTCCAACCGGCAGATAAGTGTTTAGTTGCTACAGGGAGTGGTAATTCATTTGGAGCATTTTCCCCAACTTCTTCACCCAAATCTCAAACCAAGCACCACCAAACCACTTCTGAAGTACTTGACATTGGAGACCAACACACTGTGTCTGAAACATTTAAAAAGGGAACTGACTATTCTGCATTTGCAAAAGAAAGTGATATACCAAATTTTGCAGATGTTACTGAAACGCAGCTTCCTAATGGTGGTGAATCTAAGGTGTTAGAGCTAGATTTGTTTGAAACTCTGAAAGAGACTGAAGGCCAAGCAGAAATGTTAACACTGGATACACGTGAAGTACATTTAGCTGTGGATGAAACACTGAGTGTGTCAGATTTGGTGCCTATTGAGGTGGTGACTTTATCAGATACAAATCAGCTGCCTTTTCAACTGAAGATGCACCCATTTGGAGACACACTGGATCTGGAGACAGTTGAAGTGAGCCCTCCCCTGTGTGAGGAAACACGAGAGAGAGCAGAATTGGACTTGCTTGACATGACACATGCAGAAGGGGAGTTAGAACAGCGCTCTTCACTAAAGGATAAAAGTGACTGTTTACTGCTGGAACCTGTTACACCTGAAGTGTATCTTTCACAAGCTGGTGAAATCAGGGAGGATGTGTTGTTGGAGCTGCCTGTGGATAATGAAATCCAGTTACCATTTTCAGAAACTGGATTCAAACTGCAAGACTTCTTTTGCCGTGAGGACATTGTGGAGGTGTGTGAAACAGGACAAGAAAGCGAAGGTTACCGTTGTCTAGCAAGGCAAACTCTGCTGAAGAACCACATTGAAACACAGATGAGCCATGATGCGGGTGAAAGATTTAAAGAGAGCAATTTGGTTGGAGAGGATTTTTTGAGAAGCACACTGCTAGATGAAGAAGCAGTTGACATTCCAAGTCACAGTACAGGTAAGACAGTGCTTGTTTTTACATTGCTTACTTTTAAGTGTTGCAGGTGACCTGTGGTGCATATGGTGTCTCTCGCTGAAGAGAGTTACTCTTACTTTGCAGGTTTTGTTACGTAAGAATACTGTAATAAGTGGTCACTAGGAGGAGGAATTGTACAGAAAGAAATGAATATAAAACTTGTTTCAAGGATTGCAATCACCACCACTTAGGAGTACTATTTGTCAGAACTGAAATGTATTATTGAATATAGAATGAGTAATGACATTATTTTCCTTTTACAAAACATTGTAAAATTGTTGGGCTCAGATAAATGTGCTGGTTAGTAAATACTGTATAGATATATACTGAAGTAAAAGAAAAAATTGGCTTTTTGAGTTACACCTGTTGTAACATTTCTAGTCACATGGTGTGCTGCTCCCTTCTGGAAAACGGGAATTCTTGACAATGCAAAACATGCATTAAGAGAAAGGCCCATTCATATTTGTCATCTCTTGGTGGGCTCTAGCTAAAGTTGTTGAATAGAATGTTGTGTAGGGCTCTTCCTTTTTTTATTTTTACAGGTAGATAGAAGGTCAGCAGCAGCAGCTTTTCCACAGTGGTGGGAAAAGGTGGATCCACTGAAGTTCTTCTGTCTGTGCACCAAGAAGCAAGAGTTACTCCCTGTTCCATCCATAGCAATATCCACAGCAGCATTGTTTAATGCTTTCTTTGTTTTTAACTCTTCTCTGGACCTATGAAGTGCATGCTTCATTTCTGTGCACTTCAACATCATCAGGGCTCTTTTGGGTTGGCGCTGATAAACTTTAACAAATAGAAACAGGCTTGTAACTGCACAAGCAGTTCTAGCTCCATAGGATGGTATCCAGTTGCAGTGTTCCACTTGTGCAGCAGCAGATTCCCACTCACAGACACTGGACTTCCCTTCCCTTTCCGTCCTTCTGCAGTCGGCCTCCGGAGCAGATAGGGAGTTCTGGGTGAGGGAGAAGAGAAGAGGGCGAAGTCCTGTCTCATCTCCTAGCATGATGTTTGAAATCTATAGTGATAATAAAGAATAGGATTTCACTGTGGGGTTATGAAATGCCAGAAAAGAGATGTCATAAAAATATACCTCCAAAGCTGGCAGTGTTATTCATGCCCTGTTTGCCTTTTGTCTCCCTTCCCCTTAAAAACACTTCTGGGGTCCTGCAGAGACTAGCCAGCCACCAACATGAAATGCCTGCCTAAACAGATAAGTGGCTAAAGCAATAACACAAGCGGAGGTGGACCAGTCTTGCAGGACAAGGAGCTCCACAGCCTGGATTCCAGAGCAGATGCTTAAGAAGCAAATAAAATTATGGATTGCATAGTACCATTTAGAATGTAGAAAACATTTATGCACAGTAGTTAGAGATAACGTGAGCAATGCACATGTTCCTTGCATACGCATGCAGCAGTAGGACTTCTCTCACTCTTCCTTGCACATGCCCCACACCTGCACTGCTGGCTTCTTTTTCTTTCAGTGGTTGGCTTCTGTTGGTTGGGAGCCCTGATCAGTCTAGCGGTGACCATTTTTCTGTTAGGAAGAAAATGCCCAACAGGCATATTATAAATTGCCCTAACTTCAACTGTTAACTAAGATAACTTCAGACTGTTAACTAGTGGTCAGGTGTTGCAGTGGAATACTGAAAAAGCAAGCTGCCTTCAACGTAATAAATTGTCTGTTCATAGATTGAGTCAGCTGTAAAAAAGACAACATGGAGGGAAGCCTTGAAATCTGGCAATACTGCTTGGGAGTTGTCATTTTGGACTGCAATCGGTAACCCTATAGCTTCATTTTAAATTGCTTATGCCTTGCAGTATGACATCTTAGAAAAATAATGCACATTCTCTGTTTCAGAAAAAAATGAAACTACTTGCAACTTAAATGGCTTTGATATTGGTTCCAAATGCATGGTGTGGTCTGGCATTCATTGGTACAAGGCTCAGATTTTAGGTGTATCTGCTGAAGGTACAAAGGTAAGTCAGCTTGAATATGGTGAATAAATTTGCCACATGTAACTGGATCTTGTTATGTCAATGATACTTGTCCATTAAGGTGCCCTATAAAAGTTACGTCTGTAAAGATTGCATTCTTTTTACATAAAGGTTTTGAATCTTTCAAGTGGAAATGAAGAGGTAGTAAGTCCTATCAATGTTTGGAATCGGATTCCTGAAGAGGATGCAAGTCCAACTGAGGTAAAGTATTTTCTAAAATGCTAAGTTGCTTTATTTTAATTATTTAAAAACATTTTAAATAACCCAAGAGCAGTAAGACACAAAACCCAGAAAGAATTGCCTGGTATAATACAAACCAAAACAATGGAATTGTTAAATCCAAAGGTAGTCAATAAAATAATAATAATAATAATAATAATAATAATAATAATAATAATTGAGAAAATCCAGACCTACTACTGGGGTTGTTTGGCTTTATGAATATCATTGTTGAAAAAGACAGTAGTACATAATAAATAAAGTTACACATCTCTCCAAATAAAATCCTACTTTGTGCAACCATATGTTGGTCTTGTCATCTAAGTCTCAAAAAGCCACCAAGTGGCTGCAACGTCTTGTGGGTCAGCCTCCCCCCCCCCCCCAGTGGCTCACAGATGATGAGATATGGCAATGTAGAGTTGGGGCCAAATTTCATGTTGGTTAGTACTGCTAATATGTATTTCCACTCCAAGCAATCAAAGGCTTTGAGGATGTCTAGGGACATAATTGTCAATGGGAGTTTGGTTGCCTTGCTGTGTTCGATCAGGTTCAGTAGTTTCCTGATGGGGTCTGTTATATTGCGGCCAGGGACAAAGCCAGTCTGGTCTGGGGCTATTAACTTGTGTAGGAAGATTTTTAGGCGGTTGGCCAAGATTGATGTGAATATCTTGTAGTCTTGGTTTATTAATGAGATTGGGCGGTATGATTCTACTTTGAGGCTGTCTTTTAGTGGTTTTGGGATGGAGACTATCTTGGAGTGGGTCCAGGTTTTGGGGATGGGGCCCCCTTTTATGATGTCGTTGAATAGGCGGGTCATGTAGGGCATCAAGGGTTCTTTGAATTTCTTATAGAATTCTGCTGTGAAGCCGTCTGGGCCTGGGGCTTTGTGTGGTTTCAGGTTTTTGAGGACCGCATCTATTTCTTCTGGGGTGATAGAGCTGTCCATGAATTCCTGTTCCTCATCAGTTAGGGTAGGCATGGTCAGTCCTGCTAGAAATGTTCTGATTTCCTTCTCTGGTGGGTTATGGGAGGTGTATAGGTTGGAGTAGAATTCTGCAAATTCTGAGGTTATTTCTTCGTGGGAGAATGTTATGTTGCCGTCTTTTTTGGTGATGCAGTGTATTCTTGTTTTGAGTGCTTTTTTTCCTACATCTATTTGCTAGTAATCTGGAGTTTTCCCCTCCATATTTGTAGAAACGTTGTTTAGAGTATAGAATGTTGATCATTGTTTTGTTAATTTCTAGGGAGTCTAGTTCTCTCCTTTTTTGTTCTATAAGTTTGAGGAGTTTTTTTAGATCCTGTTTGTTTGTAGCGTGATGAGAGGGCTGTGATGTCTTGTTCTATTTTGCTAATTTTTGAGTAGGTTTGTTTTTTAAGGAATGTTTTCTCTTTTATGCAAGCTCCTCTGGTGACCGCTTTCATTGCGTCCCATAGGAGGGGGGTTGTTATATTGTTTACATCGTTTTCTTTGAAGTAGTTTTGGAAGGTTTTTGTGAGACTCTCTCTAATTTGTTTGTTTGTAGTTAGGATGGGACTGAAGGACCATGATGGGGTGGTTTGTGTTCCTTCTCCTATTTTAACAATGACTTCTACTGGGGCATGGTCTGTGATTTTAATGTTACCTATGTTTGTTGATTCTACTGAGGGGATCAGACCCTGTGTGAGTAGAATGCTGTCCAGTCTGGACACTGTATCATGGCGTCCCGATTGGAATGTATGGCTGATGTCTCCCGGGTTTTGCTCACCCCAAATGTCGTAGAGACCCCTGTTTTTTTTGTGTGTTTTTTTATATGATATTTATTAAAGTTTCAAAAAATACAAAAAATACAGAATACAGAAAGAAAAGGAATAAAGTTTTTAAAATATAACCAAAAAAGTAAAAAAATAAAAAGAAACATACCAAATAAAACAGTTAAAAAGACATTAATTTTCCATAACCTATCTTCCCTATACAGTGGTGCCCCGCAAGACGAATGCCTCGCAAGACGGAAAACCCGCTAGACGAAAGGGTTTTCCGTTTTGGAGGTGCTTCGCAAAACGAATTTCCTATGTGCTTGCTTCGCAAGACGAAAATGTCTTGCGAGTTCCTGCAGGGTTTTTTTCCTTCCCCCCCCCTTTTCCCCAAGCCGCTAAACCGCTTATCAGCTGATCGGCTAAGCCGCTTAACAGCTGATCGCTAAGCCGCTTATCAGCTGATCCGCTAAGCCCGCTAAGCCGCTAATACTGTAGCGCTAATCCGCTAAACTGCTAATGGGCTTGCTTCGCAAGACGAAAAAACCCGCAAGATGAAGAGACTCGCGGAACGGATTCTTTTCGTCTTGCGAGGCACCACTGTACTTATTTCCCCGGACCTCCTCATACCTCCCTTTTTTGTATTCCAGTTCAATTTGTTAGTTCAGCAAATCCTTACCATTAAGCTTTTACCCAGTTGCAAACCTTTTTTCATGTCTCTTAAGGCATTACAGCTAAAAACCTCTTAGTTTCTATCCAACATCCTTCTAAGATTCCTTAATTTTACAATATTTCTGTAAATAGTCTTTAAATTTCTTCCAGTCTTCTTTCACCGACTCTTCTCTCTGGTCTCGGATTCTGCCAGTCATTTCCGCCAGTTCCATGTAGTCGATCACCTTCATCTGCCATTCTTCCAGAGTGGGTAGATCTTGTGTCTTCCAATACTTTGCGATGAGTATTCTTGCTGCTGTTGTGGCATACATAAAAAAGGTTCTATCCTTCTTTGGCACCAATTGGCCGACAATGCCCAGAAGAAAGGCCTCTGGTTTCTTCAGAAAGGTATATTTAAATACCTTTTTTATTTCATTATAAATCATCTCCCAGAAAGCCTTAATCCTCGGGCACGTCCACCAAAGGTGAAAGAATGTACCTTCTGTTTCTTTACAACATTTGTTATCGGGCAAGTGATAGATTTTTGCAAGCTTGACTGGGGTCATGTACCACCTGTATATCATTTTCATAATATTCTCTCTTAAGACATTGCATGCCGTAAACTTCATACCTGTGGTCCATAACTGTTCCCAGTCAGCAAACATAATATTATGTCCAACATCTTGTGCCCATTTAATCATAGCAGATTTCACCGTTTCATCCTGAGTATTCCATTTCAACAGCAAGTTATACATTCTTGACAAATTCTTAGTTTTGGGTTCTAACAATTCTGTTTCTAATTTTGATTTTTCCACCTGGAAGCCAATTTTCTTATCCAAATTATATGCCTCCATTATCTGATAATAATGAAGCCAATCTCTCACTTTATTTTTTAGTTTCTCAAAACTCTGCAGTTTCAATTTGTCTCCTTGTTCCAAAATTTCCCAATATTTCGGCCATTTGGCCTCCATATTGAGCCTTTTCAGAGCTTTCGCTTCCATTGGTGACAACCACCTAGAGTTTTATTTTCCAATAAATCCTTGTATCTTGTCCAAACATTAAACAGTGCTTTCCTGACAATATGATTTTTAAATGCTTTATGTGCTTTGACCTTATCATACCATAAATATGCATGCCATCCAAATACGTTGTTAAAACCTTCTAAATCCAAAATGTCTGTATTTTCAAGAAGTAGCCATTCTTTCAACCAGCAAAAAGCTGCTGATTCATAATAAAGTTTAAAGTCTGGCAGGGCAAATCCACCTCTTTCCTTGGCATCAGTTAATATCTTAAATTTTATTCTGGGCTTCTTGCCCTGCCAGACAAATCTAGAAATATCTCTCTGCCACTTCTTGAAACAGTCCATCTTGTCCACTATTTGCAGTGTCTGAAACAAAAACAACATTCTAGGCAATACATTCATCTTTATCGCAGCAATACGGCCCAGCAGTGAAAGCTTCAAATTTGACCAGATTTCTAAATCTTTTTTCACTTCGGTCCAACATTTTTCATAATTATCTTTAAATAAGTTCCCATTTTTGGCTGTCATATTAATCCCCAAATATTTCACTTTCTTTACCACAGTCAATCCTGTCTCATTCTGAAACCTCTCTCTTTCAATCGGTGTTAAATTTTTCTCTAAAACCTTAGTTTTTAGCTTGTTCAATTTAAAACCTGCCACCTGACCAAATTCTTGAATTAATTCTAAAACTCTTTTAGTGCTAGATTCTGGCTCCTGTAACGTCAATACTAAGTCATCTGCAAATGCTCTCAGTTTGTACTGTTTAGCTCCGACCTGTATACCTTTAACCAACCGGTCCTTTCTAATCATGTTTAGCAGAACCTCCAGGACCGATCTAAAGAGCAGTGGGGAAATTGGGCACCCCTGTCGTGTCCCTTTTTCTATCTTAAATTCTTCCGTGACCACATTATTTACAATTAATTTGGCCTTTTGTTCAGAATATATTGCACCTATACCATTTTCAAAACCTTGGCCTACCCCCATCCCATGTAAGTTCTTCTTCATAAAACTCCAAGAGATATTGTCAAAGGCTTTCTCCGCGTCCACAAATATCAAAGCTGCTTTAGTGTTTATATTCACTTCTAGTTTTTCCAAGATATCAATTATATTTCTCAAATTGTCAGACAAATGTCTCCCCGGGAGAAAGCCCGCTTGACCTTTATGGATCTCTTCCATCAATACTTTTTTCAGTCTCTTGGCCAAAATATCAGCAAAAATTTTGTAATCCACATTAAGTAACGATATAGGGCGGTAGTTCTTAAGCTGGGTCTTTTCAGTCTCTGTTTTCGGTATAAGTGTAATATACACCTCTTTCCACGACTCTTTTCCCTTCCAATATTTCATTGCAGACTTCCTTCAAAGGTTGCAATAACCACTCTTTCAGAGATCTGTAGTATCTGGAAGTCAGCCCATCCGGTCCTGGAGATTTGCCCAGTTGCATATTTTGTATGGCACCTTCTACTTCCTGTTCAGATATTTTATAGTTCAACATTAATTTACTTTCTTGAGAGATTTTTTGTAGGCCATTTGTCTTCAAAAATTGGTCTATGTCCATTTCCTTCTGTGGCCCTTGTGTGTATAGTTGTTTAAAGTACCTCTGGAAGCAATTTCTGATCTCAGTTGGGTTATGTATACTCTTTCCTTCCACTTCTAAGTTTGTAACGGTATTTAATTTTTGTCTTTCATTTCATTTGAAAAAGAGACCCCTGTTTTTTAGCATTTTTAGTAACTTGTAAGAGTTCCTGGTTGTTGGGGGTTTCCTTCGGAGGAAGGTTGCCCATGGGGTTGTGGGGTGGATATCTTTCAGGGATATACCTTTCATATTTAGATTGAGGTCCCCTCCTAGGATTGCTCTCCTTCAGAGAAGGAGAGGAATTTGTTTAGTGTCTTCTGGAAGAATTCTAATTGTTTCGTGTTTGGGGCATATATGGAGCCGATTGTCAGTTTGATTTTGCCATCTAGTGTCCCTTTAGCGAAAATGAATCTGCCTTTTTTTGTCCTTGAGGACTGTTGTGGCAGTGAAGTTCAGGTCTCTACTGAGTATTATGGCTACACCACGAGCTTTCCCTGAGCCTTGTGCAACCCACTGTTGACTGAAGCGGGGTCGCTCAGGAGTTTGCTGCCTTTGGGTGGGTTGTGTATTTCTTGTAGGAAGGTGATGTGTGGTTTCATGGTGTTTATGTATGAGGTGATGCGTTTTCTTTTGATGGGGTTTCCCAGCCCCCTCACGTTTAATGTAATTGCTTTTAGGTTAGCCATCTTGCTTATCTATTATGTGGGGCGATTCCCTGCCAACCCGTTCGGGTTGTCTTGTGTCTCTCTCTTCGTGTTGTTTAAAGAACCAGTGGGGTTGCGCTGACCTAGGGTGTGGTGGGTGGGGCTAATGGGATTAGAGTAAGATTTGGGTTAAAGAGTAGGGGGTAAGTTGTAGAGAGTTTCCTATATGTAGTCATATAGGTGTTTGTTTGGGGTATTTTAGGCCATCTGGCATTTAGCCAGTTGGTCCTAGGTCTCAGCTGGTGTGGAAGGCCGTGTTCAAGGACAGGCCATCCCCCCTGTTGTTTGCGATAGGGGGTGATCAGTGAGACAGTGTGAAGTGACTTTGTAACGTCGCTGTCAGGTATAAGGTTCATAAGCAATGTTGCCAATGTTATGAGCAACATTGTTGGTGTGTTGGGGTGGGGATGTGGGTGCTGGTACGCTCTGGTGCCACCATAGTGCTGGTTGGGTATCAGATTTTAGCCTGATTGTGGGTTGTGTTATTAAGGTTGGAGGAGTTGTTTTTCCCTAGTATGGAGTATGGGGGTGTTGAAGGTGTGGGTGATGGGGAATGTGGTTGAGGTCGTCTGGACTGGTGTTGGGGTGGGGATTCCTGTGGGGGTGCGGGGCTGGGGGGGGGATGTTGATGGTGTTAACTAAATCTATGTTTTTTGGGGGGGAGAGGGGGAAAGGTGGGGGGAATCACCAGTCCTTCAGTTTGTGGTTTTTTCCTGGTTGCTTCATTCAGCTGGGGTTGTTGTTGTTGTAGGGTTGTCCATCTGCGATGAATTGGTTTGGTTAATCTTGGTCTGGTTTCTTGTGTCGTATGGCCGGCGGGACGGTTCTGAGCATGATGCTTGCCTGTATTGGTTTGCGTTGTTGTGCCGCTTCTGTTGTTTCTTTTTCTTCTGTACCGTTGTCCAGTTGTTTGCTGTTGTTTCCTCGTGGTTGGGGCTGTCACTTGGTGGGTTTGTCGGTTGCCATTCCGGTGGGAGGTTGAGTTCAAGGTTCTTTAGTAGTTGCAGGGCCTCAGGTATGTTGGTAGCCATGTGTTGTGTTGTATTGGTTGTTACAATGAGGCGGAAGGGGAAGCCCCATCGGTATTTGATCCCTGCTTGTTGGAGACGCTGGGTGCATGGGCGCAGGCTTTTCCTCCGGTTTAGGGTATCCTGAGATAGGTCCTGTAAGGCCAGAATGGGGGTTTCTCCATATCGAAGGTTGGTTGAGTTTTTGAGGTGGTTCCATACCTCTTCCTTCTTTTTGTAGCGTGTGAAGCATACAATGATGTCTCTTGGGGGGGCGCTGGGTTTTGGCATAGGTTTTAGGGCTCTGTGAGCCCTCTCCAAGTCATCTGCCTCAAGTTTCAGGCTTGGGATTGTGTTTTTCAGCCAGCGTATAATTAGGTCTGCTGGGCTTTTCTCCTCTGTTTTTTCAGGAAAGTTGCGGAAGCGGATGTTACAACGTCTATTGCGGTCTTCAAGGTCGGCTTGCTTAATTTTCATCTCTCTGTGTTCTGCTTCCATTTGGTTTACCAGTTCGTCCAGTTTCTTGTTCACACGTGCGTTCTCCTCCTGGTATTGCTCTATTATTCTTTCTTGCATTTGGTTCTTGTTCTCTAGAGCTTCCACTTTGGAGGTTAGATTGTTGATTAGTACCTGCATGGGAGCCATTGTGGCCTTCAGTGTTTCTTCTAATCGTGCTTCTAATCTTGCTTCCATTTCCCTCAGATCTCGTTTCGTTATTGGGTGGTCATCATCTTGAAGGGGAGTTACCATCTTAGCATTGTTTGCCATCTCCCTGGTTGGTGTCATCTCGGTCTCCCTGATGGTTTTGGTTTGAGGTTGGCTTGGCGTCCTCTTGGGGTAGGGCGTGTGGTGGTTAGGAGTTGTGGCAGTGGTGATTCCTGGGTATTGTTGGGTTGCTGAGCTGATCAGGCTTTGTTGGCTGGTGGCTTTTACAGAGCGTTTGGATTAGGTGGTCATTTGTGTCACTTCTAGCCTGTGTTTTAAGAACTTCTCTAGGGCTTCTGTAGATGCCTCAGCGGTGCCGCCGAGGCGGGGGGGGGCAGGTAAGCAGAGATGGGTAGACTAACGGACAGACAGTTCATATAAAGGGAGGGGGGTTAGCAGGTAGAGATGCAAGAGATTAGAGGGGTGGGGCCAGGGGAAATATGTGTTTAGGAGGGGGTTGTATATGCCCAAAAGGGGTATTGGGGTCCAGTTAAGGTGGAAGTTGGGGTTGGGAGTGCGCTCAGAAACAGAGACAGACAAATAGGCTATATGTAAAGGGTGGAGGGAGAAAATAGGGAAGAAGAAGAAGAAAGAAAGAAGAAGGGGGGAGGCGGGGGGGAGAGGGGAGATGGGAGTAAAGAGAAGAGAGAGAGAGAGACAAAAGAGAGTTGAAAGAGCGGGGAGAGATAGTACAGGAATATCAGCGGTATTAGAATGCAGCAGTAGTTTTAGCTATAGTATGAGGGGGCCAAATTATGATAGGGTGATATGAATGTGTGTATGTGTTTCCTTTAGGGGAAGGGGGGGATGGAGAGAGGGAGGAGGGAGAGAAAAGGAGAGGAGGAGGGGGAAGGGTGGGAAAAGGAAGGAGAAGAAAAGAGAGGGGGAGAGGGGAGGGAGGGAGGGTGAGCTGCTGCAATGGTATGGGGGGAAGTCTTATTTTAAAAGAGGGGGTGGGGGGGGAAAGGGCTCCCCTCTCAAAAACAAACTGACGAACAGGCTAAAAAGGGGGGGTTGATTTTTAAAAATAAAAGGGATAGAAAACAAAATTGGGGATGGAAAATGAAAGGTGGGATAAAAGGGAAAAATGAGGAGGGGTGAAGAGAGAGAGGGGAGAGCAAAAAGGGAGAGAAAGATAAAAAAGGAGGGGAGTTGAGGGGGAGAGTATCAATGGCAATAGCAGTGATATGGAGGAAATTTTTGTTTTAAAAGAGAGTGGTGGTCGTAGCTGGGGGCGAAAGATTCCCCCCTCAAGAACAAGCCAACAAGTAGAAAAGAAAGGGCTTTAAAAAGAGAAAGAGGGGGGAAATAATAATAATTGTATGGGGTTTTTTAAAAAATAATAATAATAATAATAATAATATTTCCCCCTAATTATTGTTATTATTTTTTGTTTGTAAAAAAGTAATTAAAAATGTACGGGTAAAAGATAAAAATGAGAATTAAAGGTAAAAAAAAAGAGGGGTTGTCTTTAGATAGATAGATAGAGCTTTTTATTTTATTTTATTTTTTAAAAAATGAGTAAAGTATAGGTAAAAGAGGATAGGTAAAAGAGAGTGGAAAGTCTGGGGCGAAGTGGCAGTCCCAGGAAATGGCCTGTGATGGTTCAGGGCTGTTTTCTGGGTACTGCCATTTTAATTCTTAAGAGGGGAGTTTGAGGTGTAAATAAAATGAGGTTTAAATTGAGGGTGTGTGTGTGGAAAAGTGTGTCTTTAAATAGTGTGTAGAAAAGATAGAAATAAAAATAAAGATTCAAATAAAGGGTGGCTGCAGCAGCAGTGGCCCCTCTTTTAAAAAGAAAAGTGATAAAAGTAGGTATATGGGGGGGGAGGGATAAAAAAAGATATATATTTTTTTTAAAGGGGGGAGGAAGGGGTTAAAAAAAGGGGTTAAAAAAAGGGGGGGAAGGTAGTTTCTTCCTTTCTGTGATCCCCTTTGTTATGCGGCTTCTCTGTGTTTTCCTTGCCGCTGGAGCTCCCGGTGGGGCTCAGCCACGTGTTTTTTCCGGAGCCTCTTTTGCCTTCCCGTGCTCACCTACCTCTCCTCTGCTTTCCCGCGGCAGAGATGGGGGCAGCAGCGGTAAATTTGGGGCTCCTTTTTCTTTCTTTCTTTTTCTTCCTCTCTCCCTCTTTCTTTCTCCCTCTTTGCGTTAGCTCCACTGTCCTCCTGGTTTTGGAGCTCCTCTCGGCTGTTGGGGGGGGTGGTCGGGTGCCTTTCCGGCTCAATCTCAGTCATGGGGGGGTGTTTTGGCTCCTTTGATAGATGCCCGGGCACCCCCGATTCCTCTCCGCTGGCGGTGCTGGCGGCAGCAGTCCTGGGAGCCCGGGAGTCGGCCAGACAGAGCCTTTTACTCTGGCTGGCTTCAGGAGCTCTTTTCTGCTGTTGCCTCGCCGGAAGTCCCCATTATTATTATTATTATTGATAGCCTGAGATAATCCCAGGTATCTTGATCGCTTGTGTTTGGGGCATAGAGTTGGTCTTCCCCGTTGTGATGTGCATTGGGCTAGAAGTAGGCCGGCCCTCCTACAGGCCCTTTTTACAGGCCCTTCTGACTCCACCAGAGAGCAGGAAAGTGCAAGTGTGCTATGCTTCTGAAGCATGCAGTGAACCTATTAGAGCATAGGACACTGTTAGAACCAACAAAGAGTACCATGTACAAGTATTGTAAGTCTCCTGCTTGGCTTTGCACTCTGGCTCTCAGCCTGAATGTCCTCTGCCCCATACAGTGGTGCCCCGCAAGACGAATGCCTCGCAAGACGAAAAACCCGCTAGACGAAAGGGTTTTCCGTTTTTTGATGCGCTTCGCAAGACGAATTTCCCTATGGGCTTGCTTCGCAAGACGAAAACGTCTTGCGAGTCTTGCAATTTTTTTCGCTCCCCCCCCCTTTTTCTAAGCCGCTAAGCCGCTAATACCCTTTTAGCCGCTAAGCCTTTAATAGCCACTAAACCGCTAATAGCGCTAATCCGCCAAGCCGCTAATAGGGTTGCTTCGCAAGACGAAAAAACCGCTAGACGAAGAGACTCGCGGAACGGATTATTTTCGTCTTGCGAGGCACCACTGTATTTCCATTTCAAATCCTTTTGCTCTTCCTCCCTCAAACTAGTGGCTATCTTTTGCAGTAAGAATGCTCCACTGCCTAGACCAAGCAGAATGATGGGTTGTAGCCAACAAAATTATTTCATTAGCACAAGGACCTCTGCTTGTGTAACCAAAGGATGGAGATGTTCAGTTGTGCAAGCAGAAGTCCTTGCATTAATATAATTTTAACCAACAAAGTTGCCCCATGTTAGCAGTAGCTCACACCTAGTACTCATTTCTCCTCTCACTCATGTCCAGCAATAATTCCTCCTTTTTTCTGCGCTAGCAGGGGTGCTAAGGGGTGAGGCTAAGAGGCAGGATGACATGAAAGTAGCAGAACCCTTTTTCTTCCTTTCTCACTATCTTGCACAGTGGTGTAAGGAAAACATGACCTTGGCATTGAATGCTGAGGGTAAAAACTTGTTTCTATCCATATTTTATCCCATTTTCCTTCTCAGATGCTTCTCTTCTTTCTGCCCTAATCTATACCCTTAATGTCTATCCTGGAATTAAGCATTTGGAATAGCCTTGCTGATGAAGAATTAACATGGCTTCTGCAATAATAAATAGGATATTGCTTCTCTGTAAGTGTTTTTAGAATTGTAAAGTGTGTTGGTGTGACATAACTGCTTGTTGTGTGAAAAACTAGAACCTTATTCAGTAATGTACATGATTTGTTAATTGAAAAGACGAGCTTATGCCTTGTTATTTCAGTAAAGTTCTTTTGAAGCAAGTTTTGTTTAGGAAACTGATTCAGAGTTTAGGAAGAACATTTTTGTTGCTGAGTGCTGGTTTCTAATAAAGGCTTACTGCCAGTTCTCTCCAGTAACAGAAGCCCTTGCATAAATGAGTAAAATGAGGAGCGCTCTCTTTATTTTGCACTTCTCAGTGAATTGTAGTTCAGTACTATCTTACAATACCATTAAGCAATACATTGGAAAGAGATATCAAAATATTATTTTGTTCTTGAGATAATTCTTTCCCCTCTCTTTCACTACAGATATTAGACAACAAAAGGGATACTGTGTATTCAACTGTCAAGCCACCTGTTGGCACAGAAGGTAAGATATTTAGAAAATGTTTGAATTTGTAACTTGTACTAAATAATATCTAATCTTCTATGTGTATCGTATATTTAATCCTTGCCTCACTTCCCTTCCCTCTTGCTGCTGATTAAGGTCATTTTGCAAGTCTTCTTTTCATGCAGCTAGAATTCTGTGAGGGAAGAGTGAGGATTGCTAGCTAGCTGCAGCCTCTCGTGCTGCCAGCCCTGCCTCCCTTCATGCTTTGGAGGGCAAGCATCCGCAGCAGATGGACCTGGTGTGATCCTCTCCCAGCTTTGCTTGCCACAGTTTGTTACGCATCATTAGCCAAGGGTTGCTGTAGTCTGTGAGGATTCCTCCTCCTTGACCAAGTGTGCATTCAGCATACTTCAAGTTTTGAGTGTTCTTGAGAGTGAGGGGTCAGAGCAAAATAGTGGCTCCTTGTGCACCAACCCCTCTGCTGCTCAACAGTGTCCTTACTGGAGCTGGCTGGCCATTGTGGTCTTGCAAGTCATGTTTCAGTCTCCCAGTTTGATTGAACTGGGTGATTTCAGCATTCAGGCTGAGTTTCCATGGCTGAGAGGCCCAGGATATCATGGCCTCCATATGGGACTGAACCCCATTCATGTAGCACATACTTTGGAGCTGGTGCTTTGTTTTGTCCTGGCTGGGATGATGGCTGCCTGGCTATGGAGGGGCAGCGCATGGTCCCTTTGTCATATAATTTCAACTATCTGGTTGTATTTAGATTCACAGGGCCTCCCGAACACCCCAGAGGTGTGGGATGTGAAGCATGGCTTTGCAAGGGACATCCTGTCTCACGAACCTATTAAGAGTTCTTTGAGAGTGTCAGCAAGAACATAGAGGTGATCCAGTTGACACAGCATACCTGGAATGTCTAAAAGCTTTTGAGAAAATACCTTACCCAAAGACACCTGAGGAAGCTTATGGTTGGCAGCTGTCTGTCTCGAGAGACAATGCAGTGCACCTTCCGGGGCTGAAAAAAGAGGAGGAGAGAAGCAAAGCATAAACTTTGGAGCAGCATGCATCGGCATGGCACTCATTTTCCTGCAGCAGAGGAGAAGATCCCTGGATGAGTTGTCCCTCCCATTATAAAGGGACCACAGTGATATATCCCATCCAAGGAGCCCCTCCTCTGTTGCAGGAAAATAGAATGTGGGATTCAGCATGATAAATTTATTTTCTGCAGGGGTTGGGGAGGATTTGCTTCGCTCGCCCAGCAATTGGAGTGGGGAGAAGTGCTGTTGTCAGAACTGTGAAGCAGTTGGCAGGGAGGCCAAAGTCTACGGCTCCCCTGTGCTTTTGTTTCTTTGCTTTCATCTCTGCTCAGTCTTGATTGTTGCCTTGTCATTCTCGGGTACTATTCTGTTAGCTGTGGAACTTGTGAACGAGAGTTCTCTCCCACTCTCAGTTTTGCTGGAGTTTCAGATCAGTAGAATTAAATTTATTGGAACTAGTCATATGAATAAAGTTCCTCATGATTTGAATGACAACTGATATCAGAAAAATTGTCTCTTTACAGCTGTTGCTACTGGCAGATTAACGTCTGTAAAGGAAATGTGTATTTAATACACTTGAGAGCACACACAACCCTCTATGGTATAAACGGTTAACTTGCCAGTATATCCTACAGTGGAGGAAGTGAGTGGCGTTTCAGATGGCAGTGCTGATCTTCCTGCTTTGTGGATATTGCACTAAATTGCACCTGAGAGATGGAGGAGTCTTGCACACAAGGCTCTTCTGTTTTTGGCATTGATGACAAGCGTTTAATGGGCATGTCCTCTTCCAGCCAGGAGAATGCCACTTCTGAGTCTTTAAAATATGTTCCACGCAAGTATGTTCATTTTCTAATGGTACCCTTTGGCAAACCTCAAATATGTGTTCATTATCTTTAATGTTAAAGTTTGTTTAAGCTTTGGAGCATCTTTGTAAGAGTATTTCTCTTCCTTGCGTATTTTGAGTGCACTTCCATTCAAACCAATTTTTTTTTAAGCCTTAGCTGTATGAAAGGCTTTGTGTTTTGTTACTTTTTTGTTTTGTTTAATGAAACAAGAATAAAGTTTATAGTGTGGGTAGTATTCATTCTTGCCGTTTCATTTTCCTGCTTCACGGATGGTGTGTGATCTCAGCCATTATAAATAGGCTACATGCATGATTGACCGTACACAGAGATGTGGAACTATGCTAAACCTTGTAATATAACTTATAATACTGTATACAGTGGTACCTCAGGTTAAGTACTTAATTCAATCCGGAGGTCCGTACTTAACCTGAAACTGTTCTTAACCTGAAGCACCACTTTGGCTAATGGGGCCTCCTGCTGCTGCTGCGCTGCCGGAGCACGATTTCTGTTCTAATCCTGAAGCAAAGTTCTTAACCCCCGAGGTACTATTTCTGAGTTAGCGGAGTCTGTAACCTGAAGCGTATGTAACCCGAGGTACCACAGTATAGGATTTTTGTACAACAATGCAGAGTTAGGGGTGTGGTAGGTGGGGATCAGTCTGCCCAGTTTGCAGTGGGTTTATAACAGTTACAGCTTTGTTAGTTGCAGCTCGCCAAGTTTGGTTCCCTGCCCTGTGTGACACCAAACACTAGCCAGCTCGATTGGCTCATTGTTGGCGATGGCCGGCTGCACTTCCTCTGCCCACATGGTTTGATTTCAGACTTTGTGGCCAAAGGAAACAAAGTTTGCAGCCAAGCTTGTGCCACAACACAGGCAAAGGAAAACACTTCAGCTAACATTAGGTAATTGGCAGGTGTGCAGCCCTTTCCCATCTGTTGAAGTGGTCCTTGGGGTGGAGGTAATCAGGATCTGGCCCACTCTTTCTCAAGGGGATCTCCCAGTAGGAAGCAGGATGCTTATCCCACACCAGGCCCAGCACCTCTGCCACCAGCAAGAGAAGTGATTTTTCTTGGCTCTTGTCCAGGCCACCACGACAGAGAGAGGCTTAGCAACAGGTAATGTGTCCCAGCAGCCACCATGATCAAGTTTGGCAATAGGAAAGGCAAGGCTAGCCAGACTAGAAGCAGCGGTCCAAGCTTATGGAGTCCCAAGATTAGGGCAAGGAGCTCACAACTGCACAGAAGCAGTGGTGCCATTCCAGAGGGTTGGTAGCTGCACTCACTTTTAAGAAGAGGCAAGGCTGGCTCACTTGTGAGATGGTTGAGCATGTGTTGAGGCTACGTGTGAGTTCCCTTTCTGACTCTGGTTCTCCCCCGCCCCTCAGATTCCATTCCCATGCTCTTTTCCCCAGCTGAGACAGCCATCTTCTGCAAGGGAGAAGCACCCACTGTCTCCAGGCTCTGTTGCCCTATCTCAGCCCTTCCCTCATTCTTCTCAACCTCCTATTCCATGCCCGAGCCTGGTCCCACCTCAGCACTCATGATACCAATGATGAGTTCAAGCACAAGTAACACCAAGGATTCTCCTTGATCTCTCAGTGGCTTTTGATACCATGAACCATAGTAGCTTCTTGGAGCAGCTGGGGGTTGGAAATGGGAAGATAATGTGCTGCAGTGATGTCTCTCTTACCTTAGGAATCATTTCCATAGAGTAGTAGAGGGGGACTGCTACATCATGGGAGTTGTGTCTCCCAGAAGTCAATCTTGTCCCTCATGCTGTTCAACATCTGTATGAAGCCACTGGGGTTTTAGAGTGTTACGCCAGTATGTTGCTGGCATGCAACTCTTACCTGTGCCATCTGAATCAGGAGAGGCTGTTGAGGTGTTGGACCACTACCTGGGGGAAGTAATGAGCTTAATGCGAGCCGAGCCACTGTGGGTAGTTGAGTTTGGGAAGTGAGCGCACCTGTTCTGGATGTCATGACTTTCCTCTGCAAAGAGGAGGCTTGTTGCTTGGCTACTCCTTGAAGCCCAGGAGGCTTCATTGGCTAGGAATGCAATTTTATTGGCTAGGAATACAGGCCTTCCTGGGCAGATCCAGCTTGATGGCAGTGGGAAGAAAGAGAGCCCATGGTAGTGTGCTCCACAGTGACACTGAACTTCACGTAATAGGTCTGATTCTTCCACTGGGACCCCCTAACATGCTAACATAAAGAGAGCCTAAGATGATGAGGCTGGATGAGGCCTGCAGCCCACCTAGTGAAGCATTCCACTTGTGTGGAAGTGGGTGTTATAGCGATGCCTGTTTTTGTTTTTCATACAGTAGAGATAATGTCCTTTAAAGACTTAAACTGCACAGTATCAAAACCTGCATTACATATGAGTGGCAAAAAATGTGCTATCAATAACTGAAATGGAGGCCTCCTAATCTCATGTTTAGCTCCCCACCCCAATGTTTGTGCACGTTAGGAACACAGCACTTGATCTGATCTGTTCTACACAAAGTCATCTTCAGGCAACAGAAGGCACATTATTAACTGATGTTTACTTGGTATATTTCTTGGCTCTGGAAAGTAAATTAGCAGAGTGGTGGCACCTTCATATACTGCTGTTGTAACAATAAACCAATTATAATTTGCTGCACAGTTGCCTTCATGTTACAAAACTATTCTTCAAGCTCTCAATTTGCAGACAGCACTGTCAACAATCAAGAGCTCCTTGTCAATTGTTAAAGGGTCCACAATTTCCATTCTGTCTTTATTGTTTGGACTGAGGTGGCATTGGAGGTAGATCAATGTTGGTGCCTGGAATGACATCATGCCCTTTGCCTTCTAAGAGAGAGTCCCACTGGTCAAAATCTTTATTGAGACCTACAGAACAGAGGCGTAAATCAAATGAAAACATATCTCAGGGCAGAAGAATGCTTAAAATCAGATATGGTGAAATAACATATCAGTGTTACTTTTAATATCAAGCTTTTGTGACATGTTGGAGTTGCATTATATTAAAACTGATCTTCTTTTAGATGTCTGACAGTTATTTTAGGACTTTTATCAATGTTAGGTTGGGGATTGAAATTTATTTTAAATTTTCAATCTGCTGAGCATTTTAATAAATAGCATAGAATGGCTAGAACAGCCAGAAGGGCAAGAAGTCCAAATGGGCTTCTCCACACTTACTTTTTGCCCTGTGCTTTCCAGGCACAGATCCATGCTTTCCCCGTCTCTCCCCTGAAGAATTCCTCAGGTTTTCCCCCCAAGACTTCCTGCCAGTGGTGAGATGGGTGGAGACAACCCACATCATGGATCCCAATTCTCCCCTTCAGGAGAATGGAATTACACGTTCAGCTAACAGGCCCCCTCAGCACCTGCACAAGGATTTCAGATTCTGCAATGGGGCTCCCCCCTTCTCCTGCACAGACACCCCAAATGTCTTATGAGGGCTGGGGATCAGGAGAGACCTCAGAACAGTGCACAGGGGGGCGGAATCATTCCGCCTGGTAAGATGAAATACTTGTGCAGATGGAACATTCATCATGGCTTGATGTTGAATTCCATCTTTTGACTTTCAGATATTACCATTCGGATGGGGTAGACAACAAATCACATATAAAAATCATGTAGCAAATGTAGTAACTTACCTAAATGTTTCTGTAAGAAGGCTAATGAAGCTTTGTTGCTAACATCAATGGCTGTATTAGGATTTAATTGTCCCTTCAGTCCAAAAATCTTTCCAACAATGTTGCCAGTCAAAAATGTAAAGTCTGGAAAACTCTGATGTACCGTTCCTCTGCAAATAGCAAAGATATTTCCCAACTAGATTACAGCCACAAAAGGGTAATTGTACAGTTATAAGCAACATCTTTAAAAATTAAGTTTTTTGTTAAAAGTAAAGCATAATGGTTTTTTCCTTAGGATGGCAAAGGAGCACCTCTTATCACAACTGCATGTGATTCTCACCCAATTAAATCTAAGTAGGCTAATAAGGTAAATTTTAATCAATTACAGCTGCATACAGATGATAGTTAGGGTTGCAATGCACAGTGCTGTGCAAAAGCAGGTCACCTGACATCTTTGCCCCACCAATCAAAACATTTTATTCAAGCGAATATGCGTCCCAAATTACAGATTAGTAATTTGCTGTATCTTTTTGCCCTTATGTGTTGCTCATCAATGTAGCCCTTTTTGGAGACAGGCAGATACTGAAAAGGATTTGCTTTAAACTCTTTACTCTTTCTTTTCTGTAAGTCGCTGCAGACTGACACAACAGAAACTGGGATACAGAATGAAGTGGATGGGAGCTTTTTCATGAACATTTTCTAGGGACAGGAGAAGGGTGAGCCCACTATTTAGGTTTTGCTGTCGTGCTGAGAATCTTCAGAACTTGCAAAATTTTGCATTCAGAAGAAAGTTTCCCTTTCCCTCCAGTTTGCTGGTTCTGTTTTTTGAAACATGCAGGTTTTTTAAAAGCAAATAGTAACACCTGGAGCAGGGGACTGATCATTATTAGGAAAGAAGCAAAAATAGGGAGAGTTTAAGTCTTTCTCTCCCTCTCCTCTGCCCTTGTGGTCCTGATGAAAACCCATCATCTGAAGCATTTATTTATATAGAGAGGAGAAAATGCTCCATGGGTGAAAATTTCCTCTCAACGCAGCTTCAGAGTTTTGCTTGGGGCTGCAGCAGGGAAATAAATACTTGATTTCTTTCCAGGAAACTGCTTAAATCTTGGGGTGGGGGCTAAGAACTATTCACATTTTTAAGAACCTGCGCATTATAAATGCAAATATACATTTAACATCACATGTAGTTTAGCCCTAAGAGGCTGCACCTTGGTTCTTCCTGCTCTTTTGGAGGGCATGCTAGAACCTGGATAGTCACAGGCTGCATTGTCGCATGGGCTAGTCTGATATAACCATTTTGCCACAGGACAGGTAGGACTGAAATAGAATTTGAAGATGAAACAGCTATGTGATCTAGCAAAGTGCTGTTTTCTTCCTGCAATAGCTTGCTGCCTTCACAACATGCACAGACAATTCCAATTCCTCTGAAAATAAACTAATACTGTTGCAATTTAGCACTTACTTGATAGTGATCATTTTTCTCTCTGTGTCTTTGTAGTTAAGTTTCTTTATTTCTAGAATGTTTAAAGCCCATTGGAATTTTTCTGAATTAATAAACAGCAATGGTTGACGAACTCTAGGATACACTTCTTCACAAAGGGGTAGCATCCATGCATCAAGGGCAATGCCACATCTGTACGGGGGGGAAAGTGCAAGTGTGTGGGCATGTTGGTATTAGTTGCACAAGGTCTATTCTTTACTTTTGGTGAGACTATATTCTGAGATCTGCAGAGGACGTGGGACACTAGTTCTATATATACTGCACCTCATTCAGCTTTTCCACAGGTTTCTCAGAGATGTTACAAATACAAGCTTTAGGAAGATGTTCTGTTCAAAGCCACATCTTGTTCCAATGAGTGGGATTCAACTCATGACCTGTCAGCAGTCTTCGACATGGTTGATCACGAACTCCTGGACCACCGCCTTGCCGACGTGGGGATCCAGGGCACATTCCTTCAATGGCTGCGCTCGTTTCTCTCTGGTCGGGGACAGAGGGTGGCGCTTGGGGGAGAATTGTCATTGCGCCACTCCTTGGTGTGTGGAGTGCCTCAGGGTGCGATACTCTCCCCGATGCTTTTTAACATCTTTATGCGCCCCCTCGCCCAGCTTGTCCGGAGTTTTGGGTTGGGTTGCCATCAGTATGCTGATGACACCCAACTCTATCTGTTGATGGATGGCCATCCTGACTCGGCCCCAGACACACTGATCAGATGTTTGGAAGCTGTGGCTGGATGGTTACGTGGGAACCGGTTGAAGTTAAATCCTTCGAAGACAGAGGTCCTTTGGCTGGGTCGGGACGATATGGGGTTGGGGGGGCAACTCCCATCTCTTGCAGGGGCGCAATTAGTGCCAGCACCGTCCATTAAGAGTTTGGGTGTAATCTTCGATACCTCCCTCTCCATGGAGGTGCAGATTACAGCTATAACAAAGGCGGCATTTTTTCATCTCCGCCAAGCTAAGCAGTTGGCTCCTTACCTCTCTTGCCCCGACCTAGCCACTGTGATCCACGCAACGGTCACCTCCAGACTGGATTATTGTAACTCGCTCTACGTGGGGCTGCCCTTGAGACTGACCCAGAAACTCCAGCGGGTGCAGAATGCCGCGGCGAGACTCCTAACGGGGCTTTCACTGCAAGATCACATTCACCTGGTACTATACCAGCTGCACTGGCTCCCGGTGGAGTACAGGATCAGGTTTAAGGTGCTGGTTTTAACCTTTAAAGCCCTATACGGCCTAGGATCCTCGTACCTACGGGACCGCCTCTCCTGGTATGTCCCACAGAGGAACTTACGGTCTTCAAATAAAATCATCCTGAAGAACCCAGGCCACAGAGAGGCTAGGCTGGCCTCAACTAGAGCCAGGGCTTTTTTGGCTGCGGCTCTAATCTGGTGGAACGCTCTGTCACAAGAGACTAGGGCCCTGCGGGACTTGACATCTTTCGGCAGGGCCTGCAAGACAGAGCTGTCCCACCAGGCCTTTGGTCAGGGTGCAGCCTGACTCCCTCCTTTGGCAATCTCCACAGAACTTTAGCTTGATGGTTGCCAACAATTTGATTTTAATTAATTTTTATAATGAAATGTTTTTAGAATCTTGTACTATTTTATTGTTGTTAGCCGCCCTGAGCCCGGCTTCGGCTGGGGAGGGCGGGATATAAATAAATTTTTAATTTTTTTAAAATGAGTCCTATCCATGAAAGCTCTGTACAGGGGCTTCTGCTTATTCAACAGGGCTTCCTCCTCCCTCTATGTGCCCCTCGAAATTGGCCCTGCAGCCAGGGTGGGGGGCAGTCAGAAGAACCCTGGGAACAATATGCGGGGGGGGGGGGAGAGGGATTGTTCTGTCTGGCAAACTGAAATGCTTGCACTACAGAACCATCAGAAGAGCGCATCACTGAATTCCTCCCAGTATTAGTAGTTGTGTTTTTATTTTATAAAGTGCCTTCAATCTTCTAAGCACTGAAGTGATATAAAAAACAAGACAACCTCTCCCCACAGTTTTATAATCTTAAGATGCACAATAATAAAAGTGATATAAATCCTGGTACCGGTTCTTAAGTTCCATAATGGCTTTTTACACAGATTTTACCAGATGCTATGGCACATGTCACCATTAGCGCTTCCAGTGTGTGCTCTTGGTGCCACAGGGTTAAGCCCTACCTTTTGAACAGAGTTCGGTTGTTAATGCAGGGGGTGGGGATCAGAATACATTCACAGGCTTTTAAGATGACAGTTCTTACTTGAACTGGACATTTTTGCTAAGAGCCTCAATAGTTGTAGCAGCACCAAAAGAGTGTCCCATCACAGCTATTTTCTGTACATCAATAGAATCCTAAAAATACAAAAGATAAGAGAAACTGTTGCTCTTCTAGCTGGTTAATAATAATAATAATAATTAATAATTTATTCCTTATACCCCGCCCATCTGGCTGGGACTAACTGAACGCACTCAGTCCAAGACAGACTTAAACATGCTTAGACCTACAGAAACCAGGAGGCTAATACATGCAACTCTTAAATGCCCAATGTTCCTTTTCAACCAGACCTTTGGCTGATTAATATTGTACAGCCTTTTTTAATATGTGGCTGTGGGAAGGGGGGTGTTATTGTTTCACTGTTTTGTTTTAATTATTTACTTGTGTTTTTATCTTGTATTTTATTCTGGGAACCGCCCTGGGATCTTATGATGAAGTGTTGAATATAAATTTAGTAACAACAACAACATCATCATCATCATCATCATCATCAGAAGAAGAAGAAGAACTGAAGTCCAACAACATCTGGAATCTTGCCTGCAGAAGAAGATGAGCCTGTCCAGTCCCCCTTCAGTTCTGCCTCCACCCCCTTGGCAAATCATGGGGTCTCAGAATGGTGACTCCTGCCGGGAGCTGGCTCTGACCCTATTAAAGCTGATTATAGATTATAATTTCTGGGAAACAATGGGAGCAGTTTCCCTTAACTGCTATGGCACTGATCATGAGGTATTAGTACCCTGGTATTTGTACAAAGGTATGTGAGGAGGACACGGGTGGCGCTGTGGGTTAAACCACAGAGCCTAAGACTTGCCAATCAGAAGGTCGGCGGTTTGAATCCCCGTGACGGGGTGAGCTCCCGTTGCTCGGTCCCTGCTCCTGCCAACCTAGCAGTTCGAAAGCACCTCAAAGTGCAAGTAGATAAATAGGTACCGCTCTGGCGGGAAGGTAAACGGCGTTTCCGTGTGCTGCTCTGGTGCGCCAGAAGCAGCTTAGTCATGCTGGCCACATGACCTGGAAGCTGTCTGTGGACAAACAGCTCCCTCGGCCACTAAAGCGAGATGAGCGCCGCAACCCCAGAGTCGGCCACGACTGGACCTAATGGACCCTTTACCTTTTACCTATGTGAGGAGGATAGTGAGTCAATAACCAGCTTTTAGTCTTCATTCCTAAGGGAAAGTCAAGAAAGAATCTTCAATGGTGGGACTGCAGGCAGCACTGCACTTCTCTTTATAGGGCACCGAGAGTTGGTAACTGAAAAGAGGAGTGAATCACCATACTTAAAAGGAGCAAAAACCAGTAGGTGCCTCTGACAGTCACCTCAAAACACAACACAGCTCTCTTGTGGTGGTGGCTGAACTGCTAGCACTAGTTTCAGCTTCTGGGTATTACTTGACACACTGCTGAAGAGCTCTACAAAACCAGCTTCATTGCAGACTGAAAAAATGAACATTTGTGCCATGTACAAAGGCAGTTCCGCCATGTTTCAACAGCTGGGAAGTGTAGCAAACAACACAAAGAAAGAAATTGGAAAGTCTGTAGCGAACAGCTTAGCCCATGTAGTTACTCAATTTGTATTAGGAGCCCACAAGTTTCTTTACCTTTAAAAGCATCCAGTTAAAGTTCAATGGCAGCACATTCACTATTTGTTTTCCGGAATTAATATCAAGCATGAGGTCAAGGGCTCTAACACACTCATCAGCTCTTTGTTGCACCTACACAAAAGCAAACATAAATCATTATCCTTTTGGACTTAAAACAGCCAATGCACCAAGACGCTGATTTGATAAGCAGAGGAAATTTCCTATGAATCTATGGTCTGACATCAACAGAACCTAAGAAATGTGGTCAAAATCTTTTTTAAACCAAGTACTGGACTTCATCTGTAGAAACAGTAGACTTTGTTAATTGACATTAGAACTGCAAGTGTCAGGTCACTCCGCAGAAGTACAGTACTTCCAATCTAGTTTCCATTAGTCCCAGAACCTCACAATTAGGTCACATGCACACCATACATGAAAAGAAATATGACACTTTTTCATGTATAATGCCACTTCATCAGTCACGGAGAGTCCTGGGAACTGACCTTGCAGAGCTACAATTCCCAGCGCCCTAAACAAACTACAGTTCACAGGATTCTCCACATCCTCCAAAAGGTTATATCTAGCAAATGAAAGATTATAGTCTCCCTGGGTGGATGTGGGGTGCTTTTTAAAAAAATCCCAAAAATAATGACTGTCACCCCTCTAGAACTGCTGTGGAAATGAACCCTTGAGCTTGATTTAAATTTCTCTTCTCATGGGGTCTCGAGTGGGGCACTCTTCCCACCACCCTATTTTATAAGAAAAGAACCTGACATTCAGAGGCAGAAGCAAGAGTCCACGGCCTCTGACTTGTTCTTGGATATATGAATTTCTCAGCATCCAACTCAGATATTCTGAATCCAGAAGAACCTCCTCCTGTTTCCTTCTATCCAGTGCGCACCACTTACTGCACTTACACGGCTGGTTTTTGTTCTTGTTTTTCTTACATGATTTTCACTTTCTAGGACTAATGAGTACCCCCCCCCCCAAGAAAAAAAAAGCCCTGGAATTGCTCTGGGATCTGTGGAAAGGTTCCTTCCTCTGGGGTAAATTATTACCAGAGAGCCCTGCCTTTCAACCAAAAGGAAGTGCTTCCAAGACTGCTCTATCCCAAACCCCAGAGACCCCATTTAACGTAAGTTCACATTTCCCTTTTTAAAATGCTAAAAAAAAAAACCTGGAAAAGGAGCTTGTCCTTTTCCAGGACAAGGGAAGCAAACATAATCACCACAGCCAATGATTCTCTCATGTCATCTGCAACCTTCTTGAGAACTCTCTACTGCCACAAAAGCACACTGCTCCAAGATAGAGGACTTCTTCAAACAAATACCTGTTGTTGACGTAAAGCAACTTCATCTTCACCTGCTTTTAATTTCCTGTAATAGATCCACTCCTTGTGCAGTTCTGAGGCTTCTCCCTTTGCTCCTAAAGCAGGTTTCTCATTAAGGTAATATGTAGCTGAAGATGACTGGTCTCTAATAAAAAGAAAAATGCTGTTCTGAAGCCCCTGGACCTCCCTTTTGAGATAGCTGCACTCCTTTCCTCTCAAGCACCATATTCTGCCTTTATGTTCAAGTAGAAATACTGAAAAACCAATTCACAATTTACCTTGAAGAATGATAGTACTGAAGGAAACTTCTATTAAAAATGGTTGTTATTCTACTTTGCATGCAGAAGGTCCCCTGTTCAATCTCTGGCAACTCCAGGCAGGGCTGGGAAAGGCTTCTCTCTGAAACCTTGAAGAGCTGCTGCCAGCCAGTGTAGGGCAGTGGTGGTCAGAGGACAGATTGGGACACACTGGTAGACCTCTGGAGGATATAGGGATGGAGTTTTGACTCCCAAGCAACTGTCCCCACCTAAATTAGGCTTCTGAAATAAGGAAAGCTAACAAGGAGTGGACATCTATGTGAAATGAGAGTGAGCTCAGTTCAGTCTGGCTACTGAATATAAATCCCAGGCTCAGAATATGCTCAAAGGCACCTGGCTCTCACTGGTAGATCCTGAGGTTCCAGTTAAAAAACAAACAAATTAGATCTATAGGCCATAAGTCAACTCATCACACTTGAGGCAAACATGCATGCCCCTGCTGCTGTTGACCAGGAGTGATTAGGCCAACCGTTTTGGAGAATAATACTCAAATAACGAGTGCCACTCATTCCTAAAAGATCCATGAAGATGTCCAGTTCTGATGTCATACTGTCCACACCTCTGAGTATCATTCAACACCCCCAAAGAAAAAGAAAGTCTGTGCAGTAAAATTAAGCTTTCTAAAATCTAATTCTAAAGTGCCTATTTTCTACTTTCTAAATCTAGTCCATCCATCTTCTTTATTTACTGTGTTTCTAGTTAGTACTTAATCAGATATTTGTGTACATGCTTCTTCTTCAGCTAATACAAAACTCAAGATGTGTAGTCAGCATACCTGTGCTCAACAGCAGCAACAACAAAACCCCGAGATGCCATTTCAGTGCAAATTGCTGAATACAGAGTTCTGTAAATAAAAACATGACTAATTAGTTAAACAGATTATTTCAGTCCTGACAGAATTTATAATTCATGTGCATACTACATCTTGATGATGAAGAAGTTTTTTAGATGCTGTACGCAGATTTTAAAAACCCAATTGTTCCACTTGCAGGTAAATCCTACACGTGAGCACAGTGAGCAGGGGACAAATGAACTTAAGGTGAAGTCTGAAGGAGAGCCCCTATTTCATTCACGGAGGCTCCCCACATGCTTAGAGCCCCAGTTCTGCAGGGATCTAGTCACTGCATGTCGGGAGCCTCCATGCGCAGAGTGGGCTCTGTGCTTCAGGCTGCGCTCTCCAACTGGGGTGGGGTTGGATGGCAGCAATTCGTACTCACATCCCCAGTCAGCTAGTAATAGTTTTTGTAGGCTGAAACCATTATTGAGGACTGTCAACTTCATGAACCACATATTTTGATATATTATGTTGCTTAAATGCAATCATCTATACAGTGGTACCTCGGGTTAAGTACTTAATTCCTTCCGGAGGGCCGTACTTAATCTGAAACTGTTCTTAACCTGAAGCACCACTTTAGGTAATGGGGCCTCCTGTTGCCGCCGCACAATTTCTGTTCTCATCCTGAAGCAAAGTTCTTAACCTGAAGCACTATTTCTGGGTTAGCGGAGTCTGTAACCTGAAGCGTATGTAACCTGAGGTACCACTGTATTAGGAAACACTCTACTACCAAAATGCAACACTACCTGAAAGCTCCAAGTCCATGGGAGAAAATAATTAGGGGGTATTTTTCTCCAAGCTTGAATGCAGCGTTCCATTTTGCAGGACATGTCACTGAGCCTAAATTGAATAGAATATGTGTTTGTATTATGAATTTGGGAAATGTCAATTTGTTGCTCTCATGCAAATAGTACTTCACACCTGAAATTGCTCTTCCTCAACCACCCCAAACAGTAGCTCATACATGTTTGAGCCTGTAGCAGCTTGCACAAATTCATTTCGGACAGGGGGGGAAATCAACTGAACCTGTTGTGTCTGGAGTTTAGCATCTAGGACAGGAGTCACTGAAAGGAATTAAAGATAAAAGAACCTGCCCTACAGTTAAGTTCGAAATATTAAGTGAAATAAGCAAACTCGTCTGATAGGAGATATGGTGATCACAAGAATACTATTATATGAATTTTCAGAACAATGTCATCAAAATAAATGAAATTATAACTCAGGCCTTACATATGTTAATGAATGCATGAAATGATTTTCTCAGAAGAAGACATGAGAAGGGACCATAGTTCAGGGGTAAAGCCATGTAGAATGTCCCAGTTTCAATCCCTGGCATGCATTCACTTGAAAGAAAGGAACTGAAACACAAGGGATCCAGTAAAACATGCTCTTCATTGAGTCCAACTGTATTAAAAATGTCCTTCAAAACTTACCAAAGTTGCATGTGAAAAAGAACCCTCCTAATGTCCGATTTATGTTCAGAAAATCAGATAGTCCATAATAATATTCTTTATTGGGAATCCATATTGTTTCTTCATCACTTGTACCAATTTGGGATGGGTAATAGAGACGCAAAAAACTTCCCTAGCAATGAATAAGAAGATCAAGTTATTCAAAGCTGCTTTCAAAAGTTTTAAAAGAGAAGAATGCAGTGGCAGATATAAAGGTATGCATAATATGTGCAGAATTAAGGGGCCCTTCAGCTGAGGGGCCCCAAGTATACATTGTTAACTGAGAGGTTGCCTTTGAAATGTGACTACAATGAATTTTAATGTGTTGCATTGTTTTCCGTTTTACATGTGTGACAGCAAGGCAAGGCAGCCGGGGAAACCACTCTGCCCCTCCTTTCCCTGACCTAACCCCACCCCCCAACTCTAAATAAAAGGACTTAAATTACAAAAACAATTATGCAGGTAAAATGCCAGCAGGGGTGGGGGGCTTTCCAGGGTTTTGCACCGTCTGTCATGTCTGGACAGAAGTCCTGGGTGTGCCCAAGGTGGAAGGAGCTCCTGGGTGTCCAGGAACAATTTCATTCCCTTGAGGCCAAGGTGGCAAACCTGGAAAAGCTAAAAGAGGCAGAAAGGTGGGTGGGTGAGGTCCCACTCCACGACAAGGGGAGGGTCTTGTGGAAGAACATCACTGTGAAGAAGAGGGAAATATTTCCTCAGAAGGCACCGATTCACCACACAGTGGATTGCCTGTCTGGCACAACGCTTACACATGTTGTCTGTTGCCAAGAGAGCCTGGCAGATAGTGTTTGGGAGGAGTCGGTGCTGCGTACTGACATGGGGAAATGTACTTGTGAAGTAAAATTAATATTGCTAGCTAGGATGCTGAAAGTCAAGGGTATATGTGTTGTTTGTCTGGCCCCCCACTTAAGCTGTTTTCAAATAGATTTTAAAAATACTTGCTTCCAATTTGCTTTAAATTAGTGATGTTGGGGTAGATTTTTAGCTGCTACAGCTGTGTATTATTTTATATTATATTTGTTGTAGATTGCTGGTTTGGGTTTGTTATGTAATGAGGCTGTTTGTTTTAATAATGTATACATGTGTTCTCTATTTTTTTTAATTGTACTTACGTTATTTCTTTGACCTACTTTGGAAGGGCTTTTCTGATCTAAAAGGTAGCATAAAAATATTTGTAGGTTCATCCACACTGGAGTATAATAGGGATCTGAAGCTGCTTGTGTCTCTATTTACGTATTCTTGTGGTAATCACACCATCTTCTCCACATCCAACTGGCAGACTGCATTCTCCCCTTTCTAAATTCTGATTTTTCCCAATCTGTGGATAATCCGATAATGCACTATAAAACTGCATGCAGTGGATGTACTGAAGGGCATTCTGTGGGTGTTTATATGTATGTGTGTGTGGTGACATTTTTGCTGGATGCCTGCCATCTGTCGCCACCCTCCGTATTTCCATTTTGTTTCCCAAGGAAAAGGATGCAGCCTGCTTTTTCCCATTGGTTGTTGCTGAAGGCACATCACAGTACAGTGGTACCTCTGGTTACGTACTTAATTCATTCCGGAGGTCCGTTTTTAACCTGAAACTGTTCTTAACCTGAAGCACCACTTTAGCTAATGGGGCCTCCTGCTGCCGCCGTGCCACTGCCACGCGATTTCTGTTCTCATCCTGAAGCAAAGTTCTTAACCCGAGGCACTATTTCTGGGTTAGTGGAGTCTGTAACCTGAAGAGTCTGTAACCTGAAGTGTATGTAACCTAAGGTACCACTGTATTTTTATTTTTAAAACAACTCTTTTGCACAGAATTGCTCTTGCACAAAACAGCGTTATCAAAAGAAATGCCCTTGCAGGAGGTGGGAAAGGAAAAACAGAGGAAAGAAGTACCAGCTTCCCATGCCAGCAACTTAAAGTCCTTCCCTGCTCTAGTTGAGATTCCTGCATTGCTGAGGGTTGGACTAGATGCCCTTTGGGGTCTCTTCCAACTCTATGATTCTATGACACACATTTTTACACTACATTTGACTTTGGTGCAAACTTGTTTTATCAAAAAAATTGTATTTTCAAAAATATACAGTTGTACCTTGGAAATGAAATAGCTTAGTTCCCAAACGTTTTGGCTCCCGAATGTCGCAAATCCAGAAGTGACTGTTCCAGTTTGCGAGCTATTTTTGGAAGCCAAACGTCCGACAGGGCTTCCAATTGGCTGCAGGAGCTTCCTGCAGCCAATCCGAAGGCACGCTTTGGGTTTTGAACATTTTGGAAGTCGAATGGACTTCTGGAACAGATTCCGTTCAACTTTCAAGGTACGACTGTATAATGAAAGATGCCTGTGCATGGGTAAACAAATAACTGACATGCATGCCCACCGTGGACACCAGGTTTCTGGAAGTACTACTTGAGGGGAGGAAACAAAACACGGCATGAATGTATCTCATCATTACCCACTAGCACAAATGGGAAACATCAAAACAGATTTTGGAGGCATAAAACTGAAAGTGCTTATATGTAGATGAAGGTGCACAAATGTGCCCATGGAAGTAGTGACCCATATACACATTACACGCCTAGCATGAACGCTGCCTGCATAAATAAAGGTAAAGGTAGCAGTTCGAAAGCACACCAGTGCAAGTAGATAAATATACATAAAGTAGTTACTGGATGTGTTTTGTCTATGGACCACAAGGGGGCACTATACATAATTCTACATATATAGCTGTTAAATCTATTAACTTGTACTTTGGATCACCTTCATTTTGTTTACCGTAAGCTGCTTTGGGTGCTAAAAGAAAATCTGATGATTTAACAGCTGCAGATACCTGAATGCTGTGGCCGGTCATAAGATCTGTGCATCCAACTGAGTAAGGGCCTTTCCCTTCAGGAATCCTCTCAAGGCTGCTCCCCATTTCCTTGGCACTTTGACAGGCAAGTCTGAAAAGCAAGATAATCTTACGAGTGTGTTGGTATAACTATGGGTATGCTGCAAAGGCATATTATTGATTTATTTCATAAAATCTATATACCGCTTGATTATAAAAAACCAACCACCTCAAAGCACTTTACAAGAAAATTGTCAACCATGTGGAAACTAAAGAGGCTTGGTCAGTCAGTGTTTGGACATAGTCTAAATACGCTGTCTTCCATTCAACTGAAAGAAATAGGCCATGCAGCTAGTAAATATTAATAACTAATTATGCTGAACTGAACATTTAAAATCAGTAAAGATTCTCCAAAACAATATAAAGTGCTACTGAAACTGAAAAGGACTTCCAAGAGATAATACAGCCCACATAATATCTACTCTAGTCAGGAGCTGCTGAAGACCTACTTCAGGGGTTGGAAGGTTTAACTTGCCTGGGGCACATCGGTCCCGCAAAGATCCCTCCGTGGGCCGGACTGCGTGCACACGTGTACCTGCGATTTCCTGCGTCTACGTTTGCGCAGATGCAATTTGCAGCATCTGCATGTACAGACATGATTTCCGGGGCGCCACAGAAGCGAGTCCCCACACCGTGCTGCGCCGGTTTAGTGCAGTGCGTGTGTGGGCAACTTAGTTTGGGGGCGGCTCAGGGAAAGGTCAAACGACCTCCGTGGGCCACTTCCAGCCCATGGGCCTTAGGTTGCTGACCCCTGACCTACTTCCTCCATTTGCCCTCAGTTGACCATCAAGATGGCTGAGCAGTTCTATTTGCTGTGCATCATGCACTGCTTAAATCTTGTTGAAGTTTTGTGCGTCTTGATAATCTTACAAATTTAATGTGGCTCTGATATTTTACTGCAATTATTCTGGTGTTCTGTGAACTTCAAATTGAAAGTTGGTCTAAAATAACAACATTAACAACGTAGATTATTCCTAATGTTCATTGTCTTTGTCACACTGAGAACTGGTTGGGGAAAGACACCATTTTTTAAGCATTCTTGCCTCTCTCGCCTGCAACCAAGGGTCTTACTTCAGAGGTGATTGTGCAACACCCATGATTTGGTTTTGGGAGACATTTTGAATATGCATTGCATCCCTCATGCCCTTCCCACAGCAACATTCCTAGTTTTTGTAGAGTTAGGAATGGCGTACTCTTGAAACTTTGCCCTCGGTGCTTCGGAAACCAGCTCCTTGGGTGACTGCCAACAGTTCTTCAGCTCCTCCTCCAGGGGACTACTGTTGCTGCTTTGGTGACCTTGGGGCTGGGCCAGATCTGCAAAAACACGAACAAGCATCTCTGCAGGGGGGAAACAATCCACGACGATGGCCTAAATAAAAGACAAGGCACGGGGAACCCCTCAAATACATACACTTCCTTAGTGCCCATCGCTTAAGGCATGCCTCTAGGCCTAGTGCCCCCAATGTGGCACCCACGGAGCATCTGCATTCCTTCCCCCTCACTGTCTCCTTCCCCCTTCCTCTTTCAGTTCTCTCATTTTCCAGGCAAAATTCAGAAAACACTGTGACTGGAAAGGAAGGCAGGGAAGCAGAAAGAAAGAAAAGGGAGAAGAGACCAGGAGAGATGGGAAAGGAACAAAACAGAATGCTTATTTCTCCTCCTCTCTGGGTGTTGGCATGGACTTGGATCTGCTTGTTCCAAAGCCTGCTCACTCTCCCAACAATCCCTGGATAAATTTCCTGGGACTTAAAAAAAACCCTCCACACATTAGAAGAAGAAAAACTTGTTTCACCTCCCAACCTGGCTACAGCAAGTCAGCAGGGAAGCATCTCCCTACATCTCCCCTTAGGTCTGCAAATGTTGAATTGATAAAAATAAAGACAATTTTTTAGCCACCAACAGTTCCAAAATCCATGATAACCTGTCACAAAGAAAATGAAGTTATGCCAAACAAATTCCACAGGAAGCTCATGAGATTATTAACTCCACAAATTATTATTCTGACCAATTCTTTGAAATATTAGAATTTAAAGTGTTGAGAACACTATCTTTAACACTCTTCATAGGTGAAAATCAAGATGCTCAATTCAAGAATGACATTTACTTTCATGGCTCATTTTCCAATTCAATACATTTCTGGAAAACCACACATTTAGTATGGCTTTGCATGACATGCAGCAAACCTGTGTGAAGCAGTCTGATTCTGCTTAGAATTCTTGAAACTTTAGAACTCGAGCATTTTGGCTAGGATTCAGAGGGCAACACACAACCCAGCCTGTGTACATCACAGCTTTTTAACTCCCCACCCTCTGCTCCCCCTGCTTGCCCCAGAGCAGCCTTTCAGCTGATGTGTCAGGCAAGGCGCTTCTTAATCTAGACAGCCAAGCTTTCCCCTGGTTTCTCTCCTGCCTCAACCAATGTTCAGCACACATGCCGCTGTATGCTTACCCCAAAGAGCAAGGGCCACTGACTGAAGCAGGGCTTACTTCTAAGTAAAGTGAACTCTGGGGCGCAACCTTCAAGTTAGTGCCTTTCTGCTGGCGCCTTGTTGAAAGTCATGCAAAGACAAGCAGGGTATTGTCAAAAGTTCCTGCTAGATTTAGACTAGTTCTATGTCTGTGTGTCTTATGGAACGAATGTGTGGTGCCTGGAGCCGAATTGCCCAGGGGCAAAAAACAGATCGTGCTCTTTTTTTCTTTTTTCTTTAGAAAGAGGGAAGGGGGTATTGAAACGAAGCTGTGATTGGCAAGCGATCGGAAGGGAGATAAGGCTGCGGGTAAAGGAGGCTGCCAGGGGAGGCGGGGAGGTAAAGACAGCGAACCTGCAAGGAGAGGAGACAGGAATACTAAAACAAGCAATGAGGAGAGAAATTAGAAGAAAAGGGGGAGCAAAAAACTGCTCTAGCTAAGGAAAAGACGCTAAGGCAAACGAGAGGGAAGGGGTTGTTGAAAGCAAACGGCTAAGCTGCTGAGCAGCTGATCGGCAAGCAACATGAGGGAGATAAGGGAGGCTAGTGATAAAGGAGGCTGCCTGGGAGGGGGAAGGTAAAAGCACATGGATCCTCAGGATTTTTGCATTGGGTTACCCCAAATTCACCATCAGATCACATAGCACGTCCATGGCTATAGCCTGCACCAAAAAAATCATGCATCCACTGTTTCTTGGGACCACAATGGTGCAAAAACATTGTTACAAAGCACGGATCCACATGGATCCTCAGGATTTTTGCATTGGGTTACCCCAAATTCACCATCAGATCACATAGCATGTCCATGGCTACAGCATGAACCACAAAAATCATACATCCACTGTTTCGTTCAGAATATTTTTTTCCCTGTTTTCCTCCTCTAAAAACTAGGTGCATCTTATGGTCAGGTGCGTCTTACGGAGCGAAAAATATGGTAAGCCCCATTGAACTTGGTGGGCTTTACTTATGTGTAGACATTTACAGGTGTGTACTTTTAAACACCCAGTTTAAGAGTCATTTGTGATTATGAATTACATCCCGGGGTGTGTGGTGTTTTTTGATGGGGGGACATTTGACTACATACAGAGACACATGAGACAAGATTATAACAAATAGAAAAGTCACTCACATTTACATATTTTTAAGCGGAATCTTGAATACATGTACCATGTTTTATACAAGACAATGCACCCACTGTTCTACATATGAATTTTTTAAAGTGAACATCATCTCAAATAAAGAGAGGATTGAACATTTATATTAATGTCCTCAGTACTAAAAAAAATCATCCTAAATACCTTCTGTGCCAAAAGGGCATTATGCTTTATTTGCCCAATTGTCTCTTGTATTAAGTGTGCTAGTTACAAAGAAATAAATTCTTTTAACTTTTAGATATTTTAGATAACTTTAAACTATGATGTTTATAATCCTACTCTTCCATTTCACAAGGCTAATAGGACCAGTTTTTTCTTTTAAATCACAAACGTTGACTGTTAAGTTTTGAAATTACGATAGGATTGTGGAAAATGCTTTTCTTCCTCTGGGCTTCGCTGCTCTGCCTGCCCGGAGGGAAGAGGGACTGGATCCCGGAGCCCTTTTCGCATCTTCCACTGGCCTTCCAGGGATGCCTCGGGCATGTGCGGGATCCAGAAAGGGGCTCCTCCTCCCCGGAGACCCTCTCGACTCCCGCGGAAGGGCGGCCGGCTCCCAGAGGGACTCCCGGCCCAGCCGCCAGCCGGCCGCGCCTCCTCGGCCTCCCTCTCCGCCGGCCCTGCCCAGCCCGGGACAGAGGCGCTACCGCTCGCCGGCGCCGCGAGGGACGGGGCTGAGGAGGAGGAGGAGGGCGGCGGCGGCGAAGAAGCAGAGGCCCCGACCCGCCTCTCCTCCTCTCCCTTCTGCGGCCGCCTTCGCGGCTCCCCCCGCCGCCCTCGCAGAGGCGCAGAAGGAAAAGGAAAAGGAAGAATACCAATACGTAGCAAGCGGCCTTTCCTCCTCCTCCTTCCTCCGCCCGGGGCTCGACCTCAGCGAGGAGAAGCCGCGCCGCCCGGCCGCCCGGGGCCTGTCGGAGGGAGGCGCCGCCGCTCCGGGTCTGGCCGCCTCACGCCGGAGAGGACACGCGGAACCCTCTTTTATTCCTCCGTTTCTGCCCCACCTTTTTCCCTGACAGGAAAGGCAGCCGAGGAAGGACTGAAGTGGCCGCCAGGGAGGGGGCCGGGGCTGCCTCCCCCACCCTTCATATTTTGTAGTATTTTCTTTATAACAAAAAACGCCACTATGAAAAATGGAGAACTGAGGATATATAATAAAAAGGCAATTTTCTCTTCTTCAAAAGAATGATTAATAATAATAATAATAATAATAATAATTTATTTATACCCTGCCCATCTGGCTGGGCTTCCCCAGCCACTCTGGGTGGCTTCCCCCCAAAAAATATTAAACTACTGTAATACATCAAACATTAAAAGCTTCCCTAAAGAGGGCTGCCTTCAGATGTCTTCTAAAAGTCTGGTAGTTCTCTTTGACATCTGCTGGGATGGCGTTCCGCAGGGCGGGTGCCACTACAACTTACCTTCTCGCAATGAGGGAACTGCCAGAAGGCCCTTGGCACTGGACCTCAGTGTCCGGGCAGAATGATGGGGGTGGAGATGCTCCTTCAGGTCTACTGGACCGAGGCTGTTTAGGGCTTTAAAGGTCAACACCAACACTTTGAATTGTGCTCGGAAACGTCCTGGGAGCCAAAGCAGATCTCTCAGAACCGGTGTTATGTGGTCTTGGCGGCCGCCCCCAGTCACTAGTCTAGCTGCCGCATTCTGGATTTTACAGTTTCTGAGTCACCTTCAAAGGTAGCCCCACATAGAGCTCATTGCAGTAGTCCAAGCGGGAGATAACTAGAGCATGCACCACTCTGGCCAGACAGTCTGCGGGGAGGTAGGGTCTCAGCCTGTGTACCAGATGGAGCTAGTAGCAGCCCTGGACACAGGCCTCCATGGATAACTGAGTCCAAAATGACTCCCAGGCTGTGTATCTGGTCCTTCAGGGGCACAGTTACCCCATTCAGGACCAGGGAATCCCCCACACCTGCCTGCCCCTGTCCCCCCAAAACAGTACTTCTGTCTTGTCAGGATTCAACCTCAATCTGTTAGCCGCCATCCATCCTCCAACCTCCTCCAGGCACTCACACAGGACCTTCACCGCCTTCACTGGTTCTGATTTAAAGGAGAGGTAGTGCTGGGTGTCATCTGCATACTGATGAACACCCAGTCCAAACCACCTGATGATCTCTCCCAGCGGCTTCATATAGATATTAAAAAGCATGGGGGAGAGGACGAAACCCTGAGGCACCCCACAAGTGAGAGCCCAGGGGTCTGAACACTCATCCCCCAACACCACTTTCTGGAAACGACCCAGGAGGAAGGAGCAGAACCACTGTGCTCCCAGCTCCTCAAGACGGTCCAGAAGGATGTTATGGTTGATGGTATCAAACGCCGCTGAGAGCTAGGAAACAGCTTTCACCCTTGTCCCTAGCCCGCCGGAGATCATCAACCAGCGCGACCAAGGCAGTTTCAGTCCCATGATGAGGCCTGAATCCCGACTGGATTGGACACTAAGTAAAAGCGAATCCCGACTGATTGCCACACATGGCTGATTACATGCAGGTTGCACAGATTTTCTTAGGCTGATTGATATGTTTTCCATGTAGGAAAAATATTTATGAAGTTGTCCTTGTTAGTCTGGAGGACACTGCAACTTGAGAAAGTTACTATGGCCAGGCATTGCTGTTCAAAAGAACACATGAATTTGAAAACTCTACTCAAGACTGATTCCTCTAGGATGTAACAATAGTCGTTCTAGATGAGCATAGCAGAATGTTGACTTTTATGTTTCATATTTTACATAGTTTGATGCTTTGTGATGTAGGAACATAGCAATTCTATAGTAAATTACTATGGACAAAAATAGTATACCACACCCTTCCTGCAAAGTTAACATAACATTTAAACCTTAAGAGGACTTTTTTTAAGGATGCAGGATTTTACTGCACTGATAGGCTAGGCTTACAAAGTCCACACCCTACATCTCAGTGTCTGAAAATAGATATTTGTGTTTGTTTGTTTTTTGCTGTGTAAGAGGAACAGAAACAGCCACCATTTGAGAGTCACAGGAAATTAGAAAAGTTGTAAGTCAATTGTTCTGGGAGAGTTCTTCCATGTTTCTCACCAGCACTGGGAATGACCAGGCAATGATCTGTCCATCTCAAAGGAACAAGTAAGAGCTCCCCCAACATATCACATTCCCTAACAAAACACCGGATTGAGAGTGTGCTCTCTCTGCCACGTGCATTTTGCCAGATCCTGAGATGGGTCCCTAGTGTGCATGATGGCTAGGAAGTCTCAAAGTGCTCCTGAAAAGGTTGTTTTTTCCTCTTCAAGACCATATGTGCAATCTTTATACCCCTTCTCTGCCCCTTCACCATTCTTCCATCCCAAACACAAACTCTATAGTCTGACTAAAAATGGTATCAAGATAAATATTTAACATCTGTTTCTTTAGCACACAATACTGCTACTAATTCCATCCCATTGACATGCCTTTCTTCTCCTTGTATATTTTCTCTCACACTTCTATTTCAGCCTCCTGAAAAGTCCCACAGACTCAAAATCTTCAGGGGAAGGGGAAGAGGTGGGTTTCATTTCCACCAATAAGAAGGTTTATTAAGAATTACCTCTACCTATTCTGTAGCGACCAATGCGTGTTTCAGATTTCTGTCAACTGATCTCACAATAAGCATTTCCCCCTTAACTTTTGAACATTCAGCAGTCAGAAGTTCTATGTCTGAGTCAGGTGCCTTGTATTTGATCAGGTCTTGGCTTCTGTTAAGCTTGAAGACAGTGCAATCTTAGCCTACCAGTTAGATCAATAATCTACTGGGGAATTTTAAATACCCCATAGCTCAAGGATGTGACAGATACAGCTGCGGCTCCAGCTCCACGTGGGGTTGTTTCATTTTGTTGGCATGCATTTGATGGCGTGGTGATATCTTGCTTTAGGGCAGAAGTATTGGCAACTTCCTTCTGGGATGGGTCACAATGTTGTCCTGATTCTGTCCTGTTTGTTATAATAGGGGTGTCAATAGAGATTACTTGTAGAACAAAGTTTTGATCAGCTGAGTTTGCTTGACAACCCTCATTTTGTTTTGCTGATATTGCCACCTGTAACGCAGCGTCAGCAGCCATTCTGCTTTGGTCTTGTTTCTGCTGCTCCGCAGCACGTCTCATAATTTCTTCTGCAGAGAGGGAGAAAAAAGTATATTGTTAGAGAATATATTACTATGTTTGCATGCATTTTGCCTGATTGAGGGTGGTATTTAACTAAGTGTTACTCAGAGTAGATCTATTAACATTAATAAACATGATTTAAATTAGGTCTATTCTGAGTAAAACATAGTGGAAAAACCATGCTTAGAGTTTGTGAATCACAGCATATTGGAAATGTGTGAAAGCATCCATGTTTGACAAATCCACATAAACATATTTCATTGCATGTAATGTGCTGCTGAAGGTTCTGTATATGCCATTTAAAAAGATGATCCACATGTAGCTTTTTTTCTCTTCTCATACACATAATTTATTAATTACCGGTATTTATCACATTAGTTTGTTGACCAGGCATTGAGCTGGATAGATGAGTCCATTTAATGTTACATTTTAATAAATTTATTGTTACTTTTCAATATTTTTATGTGGGATTAAAGTTTAATTTTGTTTTTTCATGCTATTTAGCAATGCCATCATTTTTTATCCTCATCCAACTCAATGTTTGAGCTCTGCTTTAAAGGCTGAGATCTGCTCATCCTTCTGTGTGTTGAATTGTGGCAAAGCGTGTTCTCCTTCATGGAGAGCACGTGTTGCGGTGGGGGCCACCAGGACACTCCAGAGTTGGGGGCGGGCTAATTGATCGTTGGCCACTGATGCGATTGGAGCTTCCCTTGTTGTTGGAAGAAGTTAATGTTGCCATTTGTTGATTGACAGCCAGAAATGCTAAAACTCCTTGCACGAGGCTAGGGCTTCCTCTGTTCGCCCGTGCATCGGATTGCCCGTCCCCCCCCTCCCTAGAATTAGGGTTGTTCGCTTTGACCTTGCTATGCTTGTCATGGGGTCGTCTGCTCTTGGGGCAGGGGCCCGGTAGGAATTTTGTCCATCTAGCTGATTGGCTGGGGCTATTTGGTTTTTGCCTACTGCGTAGCAAATCGTCACAACTTGTAAGGTTGCGGTTAGGCATTGGTTTATGGTTCGGTTGGTTGAGGGGCATGGATTGGCTGTGCCTGCCCCTCTAATGCTGCTGCTGCAAGGGACTCCGTTAAAGGAATCGGGGGCTAACTACTGCTTGTCCACTCTGTCAAGGGGGCTCGGGCCATAGCAATGAGCTCCTGGTTGCATTTGGGGAGGGCTGAGGGCAGGTTCCCTGCTCCATTGCTACCCCAAGTGTATTCCCCTTTTCTGACTTTCGCATCGTGCGGAATGTCAGTCTGTCCCCCATGGTGGGGGCAGATAGTCGCAACCAATGCCTAAGCAACCACTCACATTTTTGTATTTTAATGAAGTTCTGGCCAAAATTATGCCAAAAACCTTAAACAAAAAATTCAGTGTGATGTGTGAGTTACTGGGGTGGCCCTGGGGACCTCGACACGCAACTGACTTTTAGGAAATTATTAGTCTCTAATATCACTTGTTTCAAGTCAGGGTCATCAAGAAACATTCCATCGTCATATATTAATTTCAGAATTTCAGACTTTTCTAAAAAAATATGTTATTTGTCCTAGTTCTGGGGCTTGAGAGGTATACTGATATAGTGAACCTGAGGGAGGGCTGGGCCAAGGCATTATGGCATCCGAGACGGACGTCAAATGGTACCCCTCTCTTCGCCAGAGAAAAAGGGGTGAGGAAAGATCAACAACAGGAACAAGAGGGAAGAAAGATCGATGTCAGGATCTGCTGCCCCAGTGGATCTTGCCTCATGGGTGGGCCGGTCCTGATCTGAGGGTGTACACCACCATTGTTTCTATCAAGTGCCAATATCTGGTGTGTGTGTGTGTGTGTATTGTAGGTCATGCTGCCTGTTTTTACTACTATTTCAAAGCATTTCTGTTTAGTATGCACATGTTTTTACACGTTTTATAAGTATCTACTGTTTCCAGTTTTTGTTTTGCTCTTAAAAACTTGCAAAAAAGTTCCTTAGATTCTGTTTCCTTACGTTTCATTTCAAAATCAAATTCATTTTGTCCTTGTATTTTTCTGTTGTTGTCTTGACTTACTAAATTACTGAAAGTATGAATAATCCATAAATACTTATGAACATCCTCAAGCTTTACATGTATCCCACATGGTTAAGATTGGTACTTCCTTTGTTTTGCTACTTTGAAGAAAGGATTTCAGTTCAGGGTTTTTTTAACTTTCTCAGTTATTCTTTTTCATACAATAATGAGTTATTCAATTTCCAAATTTTGCTTTTTAGCTCATTGATAAAACATTAAGTTGAACATAAAAAATTTAAAAAACACACTTTTCCAGCATGTTTAGAAGTCATTAAAACACACCTTTATTTTGTCAACGCGTCTGTTGTACTGATAGAAGAAGGGATGGGAAAAGGGGGAACCAGTTGTAGAATTTGTGGAGGGAAAGGACTGTCAAAAATGATCAAAAATTCTAATTTTGTTGCCATGCATGTGCTGAAAGGCAACATCCTTCTGAATTCTGAGGGGAAGCAAGAAACTGTAGTTATTCAGTGGTGATGAAAGCCACATAATCAGATAATTGGACTGCCATTTTCCAGGACTCAGTCTTGGCACTGAAACTCTAGGCTGAGTCCTGATGAGGGCATACCTTAAACCAGGAAGGAATGCATAGGGGAGGGAGAAGCTGTCGTCATTTTGGCAAGTGGAAGGAACTCTGTATAGGCTGGGAGGTACTCTATTATTGTTTCTCCTAAGAATTCTGTGTCACCAGATGGTCTTCCTTGACTGTAAAATGAGATTACAGTGGTACCTTGGGTTACAGACTCTGCTAACTCAGAAGTAGTACCTCGGGTTAAGAACTTTGCTTCAGGATGAGAACAGAAATCGTGCGGCAGCGGCAGGCCCATTAGCTAAAGTGGTACCTCAGGTTAAGAAGTTTCAGGTTAAGAACAGACTTCCAGAACGGATTAAGGTTTAGGTACCACTGTATAAGTGCAATGTACTGCTTTTGCCATCTCTATTTGTGGCACACAGTGCCTGGGTTGTGTTGGCACTGCTATTTCCTCCACCACCTGTATGATGTTGGCTTGTCACAGTTCACCAATGGCACCAGCCAATAAGTGACCATTTTCATCTGTGAAATGCTGAAGGTTCATTGAGGTTTGTGCTAAAACTACCTATTAATCATCACTGAAGCCTGAGCAGAAATGGCCAATTACCGTTCCACAGGGAAAAGAAATCGACTTCACTTTTGGTTAGCTCTGACATAAAGCCAAGACCAGGTGACAGCTGGGCACCATTGTGATCAGGGACGGCAGGGTGTTCACTTTCTTTTGGGGGCTCAGGATCATCTGGTATGAATTCCTCAATGATCACATCATCGCTTTCATTAGGACGCAGAGGTTTTGTTTTTGGAACCATGCCTCTCATCTCGTATATGTTTTTATCTGTATCCTGGCCAGCAGCTTTCCTCCAGGAACTTTTATTATCCACCAATTCCTCTACAAAACAAATATGCAAAAAGAGGGACAGTCAGCTAAATCTTCTCAAATGAAAAATTCTATTTCTCAAATGAAAATGCCACTTCTGCTTACATTCTTGTAATCTAGACAACTTTTGATAAAAATTAAAAACTTAGGATTTGCATTACTAGGAACTCCTTAAACTAGTTCCTTAGAAGAGACCAGCAAAAATATTAAAGTAGAAACATAACTGGAAATATCTAATCAGCTTGCTGTTCATGTGCTAGGAACTTGATCCTAATACTCCACTCCCATAAAATATTTGTCTCCTAAATTACTGTGATGTTTTTAAAATAAGGTATTACATTCATGCACTGTCGTCTTTGATCAAAAGCACTGGGTTCTTGTAATTACTTGTGAAGCATATGAACATTGGTTGGAACTGCCTGCAATTTTGGCTTATTGGAGGCTTAATCAATGCAGATCTACCCTCCCTTATCTCAAGTGCCTTTGTAGACAACCTGCATGAAAATATGAATCCAATTCAGGAACTCAATTTTTCAAGGAAGCAACACTCATCTGGAAGCTGCAGACGGTATGTCTAGATTTCTACATCAGTTCCTGCTACACTTTTGTAAACAGAAAATAACAGGTTCTGTTACTGAAATGAATAGAGATGGGGGAGCAATAAAATTCAGTTTGCATTTAAAGCCGAATTTCTCAAATTTGCCTTTTCTGAAACTATATGAGAATCAAAACATAACCATCCTTAAAAATTTGTATTTTTCTGAATACTGAAATGCAGTTCTCCAATCAACCAATGTTTAAAAAATGCATATTTAGGTAAAAGTGTGCATTAAAAATGCATATATTAATGAAAATGCATTATATTAGGAGACATTGCTTGCAAAAATATGTACATTAATAAAAATAGATTACAAAAATGTGTTTATTAGATAACACTTGCACTAGAATGCTGATTTATTTTCAAATTGCTGCAGAAATGTGGCAAAATTAAGATCAGAAAAATCAAAACCTAAGAGGACCAAAACTGACAAATCCTTTTATCTCTATTAATGAGTGAATGAATGCAAATTACAAAACTCTTAATTTGGTGCTGCAAAATCTGAGGTTTTGCAGAACTGGAATTTGTTAAATGTGGGGAAAGGATGCAAGGAAAATTGGTTGGGGAGTGATATACAGTAGAGAGAGAGAGAGAGAGAGAGAGAGCGCACTACCTAAGGATAGATTGAATGCATTTTTGTGCAAAATAAAAATAATGGATCTATGAAGACAACAATCTGGATAGAAAAGTTATTTTGAATACCATATGATTCTGTGACATCCATGACCTCGTCATCCGGCTGTGGCTGAAACGGTTCTGATGCACCTGCGTTGTAAACGATGAAGCTGACATCCATTGGTTCAAATGCTCTGTTGTGGCAAAGCTCACAATCGCAAACGGTAGGACTTTGTGGTGCAATACAAAGTTTATTGGACTTTGAAGGATGGTGTTTGGGCTTTGATGTTTTCTGGGGTTTCCCCCCCTCTTTTTTATCTTTACTTACTTTGTCTTTGGCCTTGTTACTTTCTTTCATTGGTGATTCTAAAAACAAAGGAAATGTAAGATATTCCCCTTAAAATAATTTCATCTGTAGAAAGACAGATAAATATTTATGAAATATTTCCCAATATTCATTTTTTTAAAAATGTGGTTTATGCACAACCACTTTGTGGACCACTCGTTTTAGGCTTTCATTCTTGTTTTTTACATGTACAAAAGTATCAGAATCACCCTTTGTACACTGCTAAGCTGTCTTGCACCTGGGTGAAGACTTCAACTTTTAGTCATCTCCTACATCTGCTAACTCAAATTATGGGAGAGAAACTGGTACGCAAGACTTTAAGGGGAATCTGCCCACCCAAACTCATAAATATATTCATCTCGGTCTCTTTCCCTGCTTTACTCAAACTTTTGTTGTTTGGATACAGTGGGAACCGAACCTTCTCTAACTGAACAGGTCAACTGACAGGCTTGCTCTTAATGCAAATGCATCTGAAAGATAAATTTGCATGTGTCAGCATGGGGGATGTGCATGCAAAGAGAGCTGCAGAATAAGAGAGGAGGCAGCATGGAGATAGGGTCAGTTTGTATGCAAGAGAGTTGGAAAATGGAAGGGAAGGTGATTAACTGTGTGCCTGTGCAAAGAGGGCTGCACAAAAGAAGAGGAAAAGGCATGGAAATGGGGGTGATGTGTGGGCAAGGGAGAATTGAGAAGAGGAGGAAGATGAAGGAAAAAGGAAAGTGAAGGTGAAAAAAGGGGTCTAAAGACGGTTGCAAAAAACAAGGGTGTATGAGACATAGGACTGGGGCTGGAGATGAAAGCAAGAGCATGGCAGGGTCTGAAGAATAAGAAAAAATGGTGACAAGTGTGCCGAGTAGTTGCAATGTGTGGGAGGAGGAAGATGTGGGAGGTTACCGAGGTGTGGCTTGTGAAGGCAACTTGCACAAAAAGAGAGGGAGGAGGCACGGACATCCGAATAAGAATAATATTTGTATGCCTCCCATCTAACTGGGCGGCTCCCAACAGAATATTAAAAAACGATAAAACATCAAACATTAAAAACTTCCCTAAACGTGGTGAAGGGGAAACTGGGTGCAAAGCAGTGTTGCAGAAGAGGAGAAAGAAGTGACTTCAGAAATGGGGCTGGGAAGGTAAAAAGTAAGGTTAGTAGTTAGCTGCATGGGGTGGGAAGGGGGAGCTCTATGGGATGGGGGGTGAGGGGGGGGAGCTCGGGTGCAGCCCATAGTTATACATATAAGACTAGCAATGAGCTGAGATTGTTCCCAGTATTGATTCTGTTTAATTGGACAGGCGGTTAGGGCTAGTCTAGGAGAATTGAAATGCCAAATTAAGACCTTGTAGTTGTTTTTAATAATAGTAAGACATTTTTATTGAAGGAAAATATAAATTGCAATCTGTTCTGCTCCAGAAAACAGTCTCTTCCTTCTGCAAAGGACTTTGTTGAGAGCAGCAAGAATGGCGTGGACACAAATGTGGGAAATGGTTATTGAGTGCATGGAGGGCTCAGAGTCTGCAGAAATGGATCCTCCTACCTTTGCTCTTGGGCTCCTGGCTCTCTTTCCACTTTTTTCTGTTTGCTTCAATATTATGCACCAAGTGTTCTTCAAAGCTTGCTATATCCAATGAAATTAAGAGATTTCTCTCTGTGCAAGTCCCACTTTCACTTTTGACGCTTCCCGGACTAAAGTTTTCTTCCTCTTCAAAACTGTTCCCACTAAGTTTTGGTTTATTTTCATCTTCAGTTGACCCTGATCTTTACAAAAGGAAAGAAAACCATAAGTAATGAGTCAGGCTGAAATTGTTGAAGTAATTTTTAAGGTTTTTAGAGTTCTGGAGAAGCAACTGACATCTAAAATTGGCATGGAAAAAAGCACTGATTGCTACATGGCACCCCAATCTGTACCAAGCAGTAGCATGACCCAGGGGTTCCAGGGCCTCCCCCAGGGTCATGTTCCCATTGTGAATTCAGGCTACGGCAGAGGCTGTAGCATTTATTCTACACTGATATGCAGCTGCATGTCTCCCCGGCTTCTCTCAGAGCACCAGCCAGCTGGAGTCCAGAGCAGCCAGCCAGGCTCCCCGGGCTCTGGGTTGCAACCTCTCCAGTCAGCAGCCAAGATCATTCTGCCCTTGTCCTCTTTCCCCCCAGTAAATCTCTCACCAAAAACCCTAACCTTATGTTAAGACACTATTTCCTAATAGTTCACCTTGGTAACCTGCCATTTCTCCTGCTGGAAAAGACAGTTCTCTTGCATTGCCAATGGTTCTCAATGGAGCTACACTTAATTAGCCTGGCCAGGCTGCTTTGCATGGATTTGGCAGCTTGCATTTCCCCTTCCTATCCCAAATATTAGTTAGAATCTGGCATGCATTAATTTCTTGGGTTTGGGGGTTTGCGTCTTTCCTCAAACGTATACCAGCATATATTTTAAAACACCAGAAAATATATATAGTATAATAATGGGAGAAAATCAATGCCCTCTTTTTCAGGAACAGAAATGAACACTGGGACAATCAAATGCCCCTATTGCGGGACTTTTTAAAGACCTATCAATCTGCTAGTGGAGTCCAATTCACCCTTTCACTGGAAATTAAGTGAAATATTGATAACAAAATTTTACTCCACTTCAACATTTTAAAAACTAATCTCACATTACAAAAACATGAAAGTTACTGGAATGCAGTAAACTCACAGTGTTAACTTAAAATTCCTCACTGGGCTATCAGGAAGCCCTGGAGGAGAAAAGAGAAGACATGCATAGATGAAGTACGGGGCTCTGAACAGAACAAAAAAATAAAAAATAAAAAAAAATGAAAGGTTGGGGAGTTAAATGAAGAACAATTATTGAAACAAAACTGAAAATGAGTTAATATCTTGCCAGTATCAAAGACCATGGTGACAAGAGCAATTTGTAAAAAAATAAGGATAACATTAACAAAAAAAGCAAGAAGAACAGTCATACCCGGAAAAATACCCAGAATCTCTGCTAGAGGAACATCCAGTTTCAAAAGCTTCATATATAAGAGGCTCAACAATTTTCTCAGCTGCTTCAATTATAAGAGAAAAAATTGGTTTCACTATGACATCAATAAAGCCTGAAAAGAAGAAAACATCCAGACATAATTCTTCAATTTCTTGTCCTAGATGAAGAAACATTCTTCAGTACAGAGCTTATGGGTCTAGGACTCAGCTACATTAGTGTACTTATAACGTTATAAATGTGTTATAACAATGTGACATCAGATAGCTCTGTAGAGCTGAAATCCAAAGTCAATGGTCATTTCCATTGTGAGCTTTAAAATGTTTTTTTTCATAGCATTTTTATAGCTGTGTAGATCCAGCCCTGGTCTGAGATGAGTGCAGATATTTTGGCTAAAACTATGATATATCTGGAAAGGATTCTAAAGAGGCAAGTTTCCCCCCCAAAAGTTAAATTATTAATATTATTATTACTATTATTATTTCTAGTGGTAGTACACTAAGCTATGGTTTAATAAACATGGTTTAGGGTCATGTGTGAATCAGGCCCTGAGTCCATGTGAAGGCTGCCTGCCTTCTCCCATTTCTTTTTTGCTTCCATACTGACCTAAGACATCATGGCTAATAAGGATGGAGCTTAACCACAAGTTCCGGTTTGGACAGCACCCTAAGCCAAATGTTAGCTTAGCTTGGGGATCCTGGGAGCAGCAAAGTGGATGTGAGCTCCTCTCCACAAGCTCACTAAGTCAAAGTCTGGCTTAGCATGTCAGCACCAGGGCAATATGGTAAGTTCAGCTGGTCTTGCCACAGCCGTTCTAGTTTTCTCCTGCCTGGTCTCCCAAAGTAATGAGAGAGTGGCGAGAATGTCTTGCATAAACCCTCAGCATATCCAAGTCTCCTAGAAGCACCAAGACCTATTAATAGGATTCAGACATGGCAAAGCTCAGCCTACAGCTTGCAACCCCAGTGGTAGCTCCCAGTTCACTTTAGAGGCCGGCCAAGACGCCCTGCGGTAGTCAGCGCAGGAAAAGGCCTGGGGTGCTCAGGCCTCAAGCGGAAATGTTGAGCTTGGTGGCGAAGGCCAGCATGAAGGCCACAAGCAGGAGACCTGGTGGAGGAGGCGCAGAAAACTGGCAGAAGTGCAGCTCTGTCAGAACAGGTTTGGCGTTTGGAGAGAAGCACAGCCCAGTGAGCATATATCAGACCAAGCAGGCACCAGAGCAAACAACATGAAATGTGCAACCCCGTATCTGATGATGTAAAAAAATTAACAACAGTTGTAATAAAAGGATAAACAGTGCATTTATCTCATAAGCGTTTATACCACAGATTAAGAAAGGTACCATCAGCACCAAGAGGGTGCTGTAATGAGTACAGTGGTACCTCGGGTTACAGACGCTTCAGGTTACAGACTCCACTAACCCAGAAATAGTACCTTGGGTTAAGAACTTTGCTTCAGGATGAGAACAGAAATTGTGCTCCGGCGGTGCAGCAGCAGCAGGAGGCCTCATTAGCTAAAGTGGTGCTTCAGGTTAAGAACAGTTTCAGGTTCAGTACAGCCCTCCAGAACGAATTAAGTTCTTAACCCGGGGTACCACTGTAGAGTCAAAGAACTCATCAGAGGCAAAGAAATTTCCTTTAGAAACTTGTGCAAATGAGGAGAACCAAAAGGAACATAAACTTTGGCAAAATAAATACAGCCAGGCAATAAGGGATGCCTTAAAGAATTCAAAGAACACATACATGAAAACAGTGGACAAAGTGGGCAGAGATAAGTTTCTCCTTTCATAACACGAGAGCTTGTGGACATCAAAAAAGCTGAATGTTGGAAGATTAGGACAGACAAAAGAAAATACTTTTCACACAGTGCATAATTTAACTATGGAATTAACTCCCTCAAGAAATAGTTTACCAGTAGCCAAAATTTATTATTTTTTAAAATGGTGAAGTAGTGTAGGCTTGGAAACTGCTGAGTAATCTGCACTGCTTAAAACTGAAAGAAAGGCAGGACCCGAATGAAGCTCAAAGGCATTCAGGACTGGGATGTTGTAGGGGACACATGGCTTGCAAGGGATTATAAAAACGTCACAAAGCAGTGCAGTGGGGGATTTGACGAGTCAGGTGGTTTGGTGGTGAAAGGGACATAGCACTGAATAATAATAATGACAACAACAATAACAATAATAACAATAATAATAATAATATGATTAATGTGATTTCTGGATCTGCTTTTGAGCTTCAGGAAATGGTGATCCAGCCAGGACATTTTCTAGCACCTATGGCATATTTGTTTGTTTTTGTTTTTTGTTTTGCTGTGGTGAGAAAGAAAAGCATACATCTTTAAAGCAGCCGAAATATGAGATGATTGGAGCCTTACTGAACTCGAAGCATGGGTACCCCCAACAAAAATTTTAAAAATTCGGCAAAATATTTGGATTTTATGATATGTATTGGCATAATTTGGATTAACTAATGTGATATGATTGGATTGTTAAATGGAAAACTTAATAAAAAATATTTTTTTTAAAAGGGGGGGGAGAAAAGCATACATCTGTTTTTCAGAAAGAAAAGGATTGAGAGGAAGGACTAAAGATTGGCTCCCTCCCTCATATTACCTATTTGAGTTTCAGCAATATTGGTAGTCCCACGATCACAGAGTGGAGAAATAGGCAATCCTAATTCAGCCTCCTTGTCTCCCTGAGTTGGAGGGGAAAGAATGCACAGAGATATAAGACAGTGTGAACGATATCCAATAAATTCACTTCTATTTTGATATGAAACTCTTGAAACTAAGGCTTACGAGGAGCGCTTGAAGCAGCTGGGTATATTTAGCCCGGAAAAGAAGAGACAGAGGAGATATGAGAGCCATCTTCAAATATCTGAAGGGCTGTCACATGGAAGAGAGGGAACATGCTTGTTTTCTCCTGTTCTGGAGGGTAGGACTCGAACCTATGGCTTCAAGGAGCAAGAAAGGAGGCTCCGACTAAACATTCGGGAAAAGTTTCTGACAGAGCTGTTCAACAGTGGAACAGACTCCCGCGAGGCGGTGAACTCTCCTCCCTTGGAGGTTTTAAAGCAGAGGTTGGATGGCCATTTGTCATGGATGCTTTAGCTGAGATTCCTGCATTGCAGGGGGTTGGACTAGATGACCCCTGGGGTCCCTTCCAAATCTATGATTCTATGAAGCAGCTTAGAACAGGTGTGGGGAACTGATTCCCCTCCAGATGTTGCTGATCCTATCATCTTTAGCCTGCTTGCTGAGGTTGATGGGCATTGCAGTTTAACATCAGCTGGAGGCCCACAGATTTCCCACTGCTTAGAAAACCAGCATTAAACCACAGTTTCTTGTTTCAGACATTATGGGCAACTGTGGCTTAAAGATACCAACATAAAAGCTTTAAAGCTCGTACATGGGAAGGAGAAATGAGATGGGAGAGTGTAGGCTCAATAGTCATTTCTGACTTAATAAAACCATGGGCTATACAAGATTGTTGCATCTGAATCACCCCTTACACTCTGAGAATGTATGTAATATGAAAAGATAAGTGTGTGTTTATCTATAATTGTGTAAAAAGAGACACTATTTGTGAGAGTGCAGTGTGAGCCCTCCACTCGGAATTTCAAAGATTCTACCAAGTTTATGAAAGTCCCAATAAGGAATAAATGACAACCTTTATTTCAGGGTGTTTTCCTTATTTAAACACATTACAGTATTTGGTATAACATATCAATGGATCCCAAACTTTCCTTGCCACAAAGCCACCTGAAAATTGCTGAGGGTCTTGGTTGACCACTTAATATTTTTTCTGCTTGTCGTAGCAACTGTCATGCGCTGCACTAGATGACACAATATTTTTAGTTATTTTTCTACAGACAAACCATGGACCACCTGAATGAAGCTCAACAGACCAGCGATGTTCTGCAGATCACAGTCTGAGAACCTCTAACATAACAGATATTCCTGTTTTTGGAGACATAGGGCCAAATGAAACATAATATAAATGACACAATCAGCAACCACGCCATGGGTTTGATAAAGTTAAATACCAGGCACAGGACGATTGTCCTCAGGAGCGCAGTGTGTGGTGCTTGAGCCTTTTCTCTCCAGTCACAATATCAGTAAAAAAACCTCCAGTCCCCACATATAGCAGGGGTGTGGGGAATGCAGGTGAATCACATGAATCTCATAAATCATTGCAATCATTGCAATTGTCTATTGTTGGCTTCACTGCCAGAATGGAATCACTGCAGCTGTTACTTGACCTTGGGCTGAACATGCCCAAAATGCTTAATATGAAGCACAGTGTGGGACAGTTTGTGCCTTCCTGGGGTCAACCTGCAAGTGTGTGAAGCAAAAACCTAAGAGTTGAAAATTCTGCTCCTCCAATCATCTTGAAAAGCAACATTTTCAAATTCTGACACAGAGTTTGAAACATGTGGGTGTTAATCTTTCATACCAAGCTGTTAATCACACCTATTTATCCTTAAAATACAACAGAAGGGATCCTCAAGTGTACAGATACAGGGACGGGGGCACACCTATCAGTCCTCCCGAAGATATTTTAGCCACAACAGAGCCTGCTATTTGGGAGCAATGCATTCCAATGGGGTTGTTACTAGTATGCCGCACAGCAGGAGAGACCCGTCTTGCTTGCTTTACAGTGGATGCTGCTTCGGCTGTTGGCAGAAGAAGCTTTAGAACAACTATAATTAGCCAGATTATTCAGCTTTGTAATACAGTGGCACCTCTGGTTACGAACTTAATTTGTTCCGGAGGTCCATTCTTAAGCTGAAACTGATCTTATCCTGAGGCGCACTTTCGCTAATGGGGCCTTCCAGCGCGCGATTTCCGTTTGCATCCTGGGGCAAAGTTCTCAACCAGGAGCAGCTACTTCCAGGTTAGCAGAGCTCATAACCTGAAACGTTCACTTGGCATTACATAAATGGGTTTGTCCCTCCTCAGAGAAACCATGCTCAGTAAGCCTAAAGCAAACAGCTTGTAATTTGTTTGGCATGAGACAAACGACAAGCCTGGATTCAGATGCAAGGCTAAGCCAAACCATGGTGCATCCTGAGCAATGAGGCGGCGGCAGCAGCTCTGGGAGAGGGAAGACGGAAGTGGCTTCCATGTCCGCTCTGTGTGCGCTGCCTTGTTCCCACTTAGCCATGATTTGGCTTAGTACTGCATGTGAATTGAGACAGCGCTTCACAGTGGTTTCTTGTGACAATGGGTGCAAGCAACAAGGGTAGGTTATGTTACATACAACAATAAATGCCACGTGTTATCTTATGCATGTTTGCTTGCATATTTTTTTATAAAGGTTTTAGGCCATTTGGGATTTTCTGGACAGGTAAGATATGAATTTGATATCTATCTCAAACATGCAAAGGAATCTAGCCTACCAATGAACTTTTGAAAATGGTACCTGCTTGAAGAATTCATCCATTAGTGCATTTGCCCATTGCTGATGCAATTTCCAGGCCTTTGATGGATGACTTATGTCAGCTGCATGGACAATCATGGACATGAGTTTATCTCTATCTGTCCTGTCAAATGTAGGGCATTATTGAATTACTTCAGCAGAAAAGTAGGATTGTTTCTCATATTAAATGAGAGATGATTTAAAGAATTCATACCACCAACAAAAATTCAGATTTCCAACACGCACACACCCTTCCCAATACAACCAACCTTTTTACATGCTGAAGGCATTTCAGAACGTGTTTCAGATATTTCATTTGCTGGAAATGATGTGACATGTCCGTAGCTAAAACCATCTCAATGACCAGCCGGCGCAGTTCCCTGAAGGCACATAAATAATTTGTTCATGGTGAGTGTTATGTACTGAAGTTCTCACCCTGGGCCAGCAGGGGGATACTGTAGATAGTTATACAAATGAAGGATTGAAAGTGACGTTCAGTGATTGGATAGTTTGTATGCAAATGAAGGATCGAAAGTGACGTTCAGTGATTGGATAGTTTTAGAAAGTTGTTACAGTAACAAGGTACTGGAGCTCTATATAAGCAGGCTGACTGAGCCCTTCAGTTCAGTTCAGTTCTGGCCTCAGAATAAAGAAGAGCTGTTTGAAGAATCGCTGTGTCGTCTGATATGTTCACCCACAACTTAACAGTGAGTTCTGTGAGTTCTCTAAAACAAGGATTTCCATGCATTCTGCCCTCCTTCAGAGCCCAAAGTTATCTGAATTAAGCTGTCTGCTACCCTGAGAAGGAAAGCCACCCACATACAAAACTGTATTTGTCATTTATGGCCTACAAGCCATAGCTGCAAAGGTGGGAAATTAGTAAAGTCTCCCTGTTAACTCTGGAGTGCTTGTAAAGGCAATCCTTACTTATAGAATCATAGCATTGTTGAGTGACTCTTGAAAGGCCTGTAACTGCACAAGCATCACTACACCTTATGTAGCACCCCTATATTATCTCACCTCCATTCCTCGTTGGTTAAATTGACCAAGATGTTCATATCTTCATTTTGCATGAGCTGGTAAACAGCACTCACATGATGGTTTTCAAGAACTGATTTATCATTGTACAAAAGTGCCATTTCTGACCTAGAATAAAAAAAACTAGCCCTATTACCCAAAACAGACCTAGGAAGGGCTGCACAGTCACAGATTGAACATTTCTTTTTCCTGGTGCCAGGTCATCCCCAGAGATGAAAATATACCATTTTTAGGGGGGAAATGTTGACTTTTTAGAGTACTGGTTTTCACACTGTGCTCTGGGGATCTGACATCTATTAGCAAGCACTCCACTGGTTCCAGCAGAGGGAGAGATGGGCAGTCTAGCTCTGCTGAGCTGCTTCTATTTCAGCCACTCAGTTCTACCATTTCAGTTTAGGTGGAGCTGCAATGGTCACACTGGAAAATGACAAAAGAGACTTACCTTGTCCTAACATGGAAATGGTTTGTAGTTCCAGTATGTTCATAATCATGGATTGATGTGCTGAAAAGAATTGCTAATATCTCCAGGTCAGTGAACCAATGCTAGTGAGAAGAATTAAAAGTCAGTCATGTCCTGCACGCAACTAACAATTAGACATGATGCAGAATGATCTATTACTACAATCTCCTCTAGTAGTTTTTCTTTTTTAAGTGGTAATAGCAGCTGCCAGGGTGGGGGGTTATTTGGGATCCCGGTGCACATTTTGTCCCGTGGGCCAAGCAGCTTCCGCTTCCTCCCACAATACTGGGGTCAATGGTGGAGTCTATGCCTGACGCTCCTGAGTAATGTATACTTAGGGTTCCTCCTGAATCTTATGCCAGCCTTCCTGAATCCTGTGCACTAACACAAGTTCATCTGCCTTAGTTTTTCCATTGATCTCATGAGTCAATGCATTAGCATGGCAACACCATGTATAATTCACTGGTTCCCAGATTCTATTTCCTGCCTTGCAGGGGGTTGGACTAGATGACACTCGGGGTCCCTGTCTAGCTCTACACTTCTGTGATTCTATGATTCTGGGTCAGCTATATCCTATGAGTGAAATGGCTACTTATGTGTAAATAATGAATATAGACCTTAGTAAAGAACTATAATATGTGAGTTTCTAAAATTATTCTAACAAAAGGCTTTCCTAGGTCAAGAAAAGGAGGACCTAAGAATCCCAAATGCTCTTTTCCTTCACTGTAGGGCATTTCTTACCATCATACCAGTGTGAAGCATTATGCAATGCACAGTTTGGGTAACGTCTGTAGCATGGATCACATTGTGATATGGATTTTGGTGCTTGCTGTAGCCAACTTCCAGAGCACTTGCAAATGAAATCAGGCAGGTAATCGGGATCTATGGAAGGCAAGAATTAGGACATGCTTAGAACTGGAAATAAACATTTTTATTGCAACCATTGGCAAGACCAGTTGTATGACAAACACCCTTCTGAATTTATCATTCGGACGTGACAGAGGAGACTAAAGATTTAGGTCCAGACATTCAGGGGTCAAATGAGATGTTCCTGGGTTGTTTCCAACCAAACCATTGTGCATGGAAAGCAACAGCCACACTCACAATAGGACTTCCCCTCTTCTCTGCCCCCCTTGCCCCGTCCCTGATCTCTGCTAGCTTTCCAGCAACCCTCCAGAGCAGATTAGGGGACGGTGCAGATGCACAGAAGCAAGTGAAACATCCATGGTGGCACCATGGCATGGAATGGACAGATGGAGGCAAGAATTAGGGCTCGTCCACATGGGAGTTTAATGTAGATTGGAAGCTCCATGTGCATTGGTTTTTTTAGGTGTCATCCATCCAACTGGGAGCCCACAGCTTTCCAACACAAAACTTGGATTTTACCAATCTGGGGTAATCTGGAAAGGGGAACTTCTCTCCAGGGCAACCCCCCCCTTCTCCACACACTCACTCTGTGAACACGCCCCTTTGCTTCACCATGTGCTTTATTTCACACCTATCATAATTTTTTCTCATTTGCTTAGATGCTGCCGTATTATAATTTGCCCTTCAAGAACATGGAATTTGCTCTGTTAAAAGAAAGTTTGGAAACACTGGATTGTTAACATACTAAGATTTAACTAGATAAGTTCCTGACCTTGAATTGTCTCAGAAGATCATACTTGTTGAACAGATCACACATCAGGTATTTTAAGCTGTGCCCTTCACAAGTTTCATTTAAGGCAAATACATCAAAATCCCATTTATCAATGTCCTGTTGGTAATTGAAAACACACAAAAAAGCACTTTTATTTCTTAATCTAGGTGCCTGGACAACATATAAAATGCAAAATGTAAAAATATAAATGGAAACATTTTTGTTTCCCAAGTCACATGAGTAAAAAATGTAATACCAATGAATGTAGTTATGGCAGATTATTGAAAGCATGTAGATAATAAACGGCTCTTCCTCCAACTACAATTTCCATTAAATAAAGACAACCTGTTTGCCACATTTGGCTTATAGATATGGGAGTTTACAGAGATCAAAACAGCAATTTATTAGGTGTTCTTATGGCTGGTCATAATAGTTTATTACAGATCTTCATTTTATGGCTGCAAAGTTCTCAGATCCACCACCACTAACTCTGCCGAGGAGACTCACGGGATTCAAGGCACACAAGAAACGAAACCCCTATTTCAGAGCAGGAAGGGTCTCAGACCTACAAGCCAGAGATGCAGAGAGATGAACTCCCTCAACCGAATGACCTCCTCCTTCTCTGGACACCCAGCCACAGCAGGCCCCCTGGCTCCCTTGAGAAGGTCCTCACATCCTTCCAACAAGGCTCTCTTGGCCAATGACTTCTGCCATCAATACAAATGGCCTCTTTCTTTCCTTCTTTCTTTCATAGAATCATAGAGTTGGAAGAGACCACAAGGGCCATCGAGTCCAACCCCCTGCCAAGCAGGAAACACCATCAGAGCACTCCTGACATATGGTTGTCAAGCCTCTGCTTAAAGACCTCCAAAGAAGGAGACTCCACCACACTCCTTGGCAGCAAATTCCACTGTCAAACAGCTCTTACTGTCAGGAAGTTCTTCCTAATGTTTAGGTGGAATCTTCTTTCTTGTAGTTTGGATCCATTGCTCCGTGTCCGCTTCTCTGGAGCAGCAGAAAACAACCTTTCTCCCTCCTCTATGTGACATCCTTTTATATATTGGAACATGGCTATCATATCACCCCTTAACCTCCTCTTCTCCAGGCTAAACATGCCCAGCTCCCTTAGCTGTTCCTCATAAGGCATCGTTTCCAGGCCTCTGACCATTTTGGTTGCCCTCCTCTGGACACGTTCCAGTTTGTCAGTGTCCTTCTTGAACTGTGGTGCCCAGAACTGGACACAGTACTCCAGGTGAGGTCTGACCAGAGCAGAATACAGTGGCACTATTACTTCCCTTGATCTAGATGCTATACTCCTATTGATGCAGCCCAGAATTGCATTGGCTTTTTTAGCTGCCGCGTCACACTGTTGGCTCATGTCAAGTTTGTGGTCAACCAAGACTCCTAGATCCTTTTCACATGTACTGCTCTCTTTCTTTGATTTAAGAAATGAAGCAACTCTGACAGGTGGTCATCCAACCTCTGCTTAAAAACCTCCAAGGAAGGAGAGTCCACCACCTCCCGAGGAGACCATTTTATTTTATTATTTTTTAAAAACCACTTTCACCTTAAAAGCTGCAATTACTTTCTCTGGATAAGCCAAACCACTTGCACTGGTGGGTGTACGGAACATCCTAGGAGAACAAATGAAATATATGTAAGCCATAGATTATTTTCTAAGAAGACCCTTAGAGTAGGTCAAGTCAAGTAGTGGGGGAGACTCTATGTGGCAAAGCAGGAAGAGGGTTGGACTAGGGCTGATGAGGCAATCCTGGTGGAAATCCCCACATGGCCATGAAGTTCACTGGATGGTCTCTAAATGTTGCCCCCCACAACTGGACAGGGCTGCTCCGTCAAGCGTTATAGACAGCTAATTGCCCCCGGGCCATTTCTCAGGCTGCTGCGAGGCTGGCATGGTTCTGCCCTGCTGCCCCTCCTCCCAGTGAAATGGGTCTGTCAAGAAGCCTTGAGGCAACAGAAGCTTTTCCCCCAGCCTAATGCTGGTGTGTGTTGTGACTTCAAGGCTCCTTGTTCTCACTGGGCTGGGAAAGTGGGGCGAATGTGCTGCATTGGAGCCCTTGCCTTCAGGAAAGGTGAGCAGTGAGATGGAGACAAAAGCCCCAACTCCTTGTCCTGCATCAGAGGCAAGTGAGGAAGAAAGATAGACATGGGGATCTGCTGCCCTGGTGGATCCTGCTGCCTGAGGCAGTCGCCTCGCCTTGCCTCACCTAAATCTCCCGCGCTCTCTCTTCATAGAGAACGGGTTTAGGGTTGTGATGATTCTGATGCCCACGGATGTGTGGGTCTGGTGGCTCTTGGTGTGGGAGGGGATGTTCCCCACCCCTGCATTATGCTGTTAACAACCAGCTCTCGATCTGACCTTATTTTGCATATTCCATTAAGTGTGCCACAGAGAATATCTTCTCGGTCACAGCGACACCTGCCGTAATTCCCTCCGCAAATCCTTTGTTTAATGGGAAGAAGCAGCACCTTTCCCTGCAGCCCCAGCTCAGACCACCCTGGTTGTGCCACTGCTGGAGTGAGCAGGAAGCAGAGGACCACTCCAGCCCCCGCTGGGTGAGCTTGCTGGTGCTGCTTCACATCTGGTCCTGGGCCTCCTGGGGGGTCCTGGGCCCCCCAGACTCCCTGTGTTTCTGGTCTTATAATGAACACGTGTATGTGTAAATTGGTGAATGAGATTCCGGATGTAACATTTCTTGAAGGGACTGCGTTAGATGCACCTTTAATTCCACCAGTCATGAGCTACAGAGTTTAGGCTCATTACTTGTTCCATGGCCCATGCTTACCTTTTTACCAAAACACTAGCCTGGACTGCATATGAAATAGTTCGAATGCTTGGCTGATCCTCAGGTTTGATACTGTACGCCTCTTTTTTCCTTGCAAAGGTAACAGTCAGCCAGTCCTGTACTTCCAAAGGCACTGATCCCCACTGGATATTAGAGAGGTCGTCCTCCGTGTCCAAAAGGCTCCTGCAAGGAACAGAGATATGTATTTAAATATATACCCCAGTTTTCAAATAAATTAAGTAGCTAAAAGAAAGATTAAAATATAGCAACAATTTAAAGAGCAATTCTAAAAGTCAAATATAAAATGCCCAACAGAAATACCAGCAAAACCAACTTAAAACATCAAAATCAATTATAAAATGCCTTCCAATAAATAAATAAATGCTATCATCCTGTTTACCACCGCCACCAGAATGAAATTAGTGCCTGGTTTAACATGTTTATTTTTTATTTTCCGGTCACACTATTCTATAGATGGGATACATTAGGGTTGGGGCCCTTTGGCCCTCCATCATCCCTGACCATATGGGCCATGCTGGCTGAGGCTGAGGGGAGTTGGAGCACAGCAACGTTTGAAGGGCCACATCTTGCCCACCTTTGGCCTAGATCTCCTGGGTTAGGGAATTTCTCTTTTACTTGCCATTCCCCAGGTGTGCTAGTTCAGGGGTTCTCAAACCTCTATCCCCAGGACTCACTTGAGAGAGCAAAACACAACAGAAGATCACAATGGAGGTGCCAGGGTGCAGCCATAACAAAATGGCAATGGATGGGGATTGGGGCAGTCAGCACACAATTTTTGACATTTTCTATTGATATCTAATCTGTGTTTGGAGATTGATAAAAGGAATAATGCCAATGATCTGCAGTTCTTATTTAAGATGATGATTATAATCTGAGGACCTCATAGCTCCTACATCCAGCCTAATTTATGTATTTTGGTTGGGGGATTAGTGTTTTTCCTTCCCCCTCCCAATTTGTGTAACATCTTACTTGTTGGTCCTAATAAAAGTATTGTCCAAGTGTGGATTTTGGACTTTTCATGCAGCTTCTGTTATAAAAGTCATATATACCGTATGTTTTAAAAAAATATGTTGACCATTTAACTAGGGTTGGACAATGTGACTGAAACAGCTGTCAGAGCCAAAAGAAAGAGTGGCAAGCTTCTGATCAGGCCGTGTTCTTGGGCCAGATGAAACACAACGAGGACTGGGAGTCGTGGGGCCCATCCCTGCCCTCAGCTTAGAAGTGAAGATGCTGGACTTACAGCAGAGTGGCAGAAAGTTTCTTCTTGGCCCTTTGATCACAGGTTTTTGACTTTGCTGAGGTATAATTTGTTCTGGCACCAAGCTTCCCCCGTTTATCCTGTGTCATATTTGCAGCTGTTTTGTCTACTAACTTTACTGCAGTAAGTTGCTACATTTAAATATACGTAAGCTAAGAGTAGCGCCCTATCCCTACGTGCACATCATTCTTATAAATACCTTGTGGATGTCAGTTCAACAGAAGGAAGTCAAGCCCTTACATAAGCATTGTGATGTCATCCTGATGTAGCCACTAACAACCTTGGCGTAAACAGCAGTCCACACTTATTTCCCAGGGTTGTTCCCCCCTCCCTCGCTTATATTTTATGTGAAAACCTAGTGGTACTGACAACAGATGCAAGGATTGCTAAAGTACATGTCAAAAGCAGAAGAATCTAGTAGCTCTGAGATGAAATAGTGAAATAGATGAAATTGTCCAACCCATGTTTGCAGTTTGGTCTCTGGTTCCTCTGCCTCTTCTAAATCCAGCTTGCACTTCTGGGAGTTCTCGGTCCACATACTGCTTGAGCCTTCCTTGTAGAATAAGTGGAATTAAAATCCTGCTAATGTTTCCATCTGCTTACAGTGGTCTCCTAGATAACTTATAATTTTTCCCATTCTTTTTAAAAGTTTTTGTTCTCCTGGTTCCTTACTAAATGTGTGGTTTCTTTCTATGCTAAGGGAACTGGAGAACTTCGGGATTAACTTAGAATAGTCTGTTTTAGAGGTCTAACAGCCTATATTCTCATGCTTTGCTGCATGTTTTGTGATTTTAAATCATCAAATACTTGCCCCAAACCTGGATCTAGACCAGCATTTCCCAACCTTGGGTCTCCAACTGTTTTTGGACTACAACTCCCATAATCCTCAGCTAGCAAGACCAGTGGTCAGGGATGATGGGAATTGTAGTTCGAAAACAGCTGGAGGCCCAAGGTTGGGAAACACTGATCTAGACATCCAGGGAAGTTGTCTTTTATTTTATTAGATTAAGCAACAGTTTCAAATTTCAGAAATATAGTCATACTTTATTTGAAACTAATATTAAAAACTAATACTGTAATAAAATGACAACTTATAGTAGCAGCACACCATAAAAACATAACAGCCAACAGCCAACAATAGTTAAGCAGATCTTGTACACTAGGCATTTAGTGCAGAATTTGCTCAGTTATTATGGGATACTCACACAACCTCCAATCATTGCAATCCTGGACTTTTTCCTGTCTTTCCTCTGGCAACAAAAAGTCCTCCCTTTTTTCAGAAGAGCAGCACTAACTGCACAGGTGTGTTTTTTGAAGTCCATGGTTTGAAGAAGGGCAATGATGTATCAGGCAGGTGAACGATCACAGAGCACACTCACCATAATATTTCCAGTGGGCGCCATTTTATACTGTATTGTTCATTTTAATCTATCTTTTCATTACTGGTTATAATTTTTAATATTAAAAGTTTGTTAAATACCACTTAAATGAAAGTGTTACAGCATTAAAGTATGATGATATTATGCTATTATAAAAATGTTTGCTAAAAAGCCATTTCTCTCATCGTCATTTATTACCTTTGTAAGGTGGTAGTGACCAGAAAGTCCCCCCTTCTTTTCAGAATTAGCATTATAGTGTTGCAGCTCTATACTTTCATTTAAATGGCATTTCCATATTTTAAAACATTCTTAAAATTATAACTAAACAAAGTATTTTGTGTTAATTAAAAGATTGATTAAAAACCCCAATGTCTGATAAAACAACAGCCACTGTGGCAAAGGTGGGCTTAGAGTCAAGGGCAGCTCAGGTCAATTGGGACCTTCCCTTTGACATAGACAGCAGCCATGTCAAGCCTGCTGGTGCGTAGGACTGAACATAGCAGATTGTACACATTTTAAAAAGCACAATATGCTCACTAGTATGGAGAGTTGCTTGCAATTCCGCTTGCCGCTTGCAACAGAAGAGCAACAATTGGGAAGCCTCAGGTGCTACCCATCTGGAAGCACCTCAAAAGAGTTCAGGCCATCCTGTTTTCAGATAGGGAAGAGCAGTTGGAAAAGATGCCTTCCTTAAAATATTTAATAAATCTGCAGCATCACGAAACCTTACAACCCAGTTCTCCTATCGTGCAATATTCACCCTTTACTTTATTTGCACAGGCTGTCTAAAATTCAATGCCTAAGCCTGTGTGACATGCATCTGCTGAAAACATTCCTGTAAAGATTTCTCCTTTAAAGCTCTGCAGCTTTAACAAGGGAGGAGCCAGTTCCCATAGAGAGTAAGTAACAACAGACTGGGGGATTTTGTCATCAGCAGACAGACTGCTTTCTTTATTGCAGGGGCAAAATCTCATGTTGTCTTTCTCTCCTAATGTCAGTGGGACTTAAGCCCAAACAAGGGGACATAGGATTGGAGCATGAGCACAGACGGTAGGCATGTGATTCATTTTCAGCAAAGACTGCCTGTAAATATTTTTTTTCTTACTACTTTCCTTTCACAGTGGTACCTCGGGTTAAGTACTTAATTCAATCCCGAGGTCCGTACTTAACCTGAAACTGTTCTTAACCTGAAGCACCACTTTAGCTAATGGGGCCTCCTGCTGCTGCCGTGCCGCCAGAGCATGATTTCTGTTCTCATCCTGAAGCAAAGCTCTTAACCTGAAGCACTATTTCTGGGTTAGCGGAGTCTGTAACCTGAAGCGTATGTAACCCGAGGTACCACTGTACCACTAATAACTGTGTCTCATTTGGATAAAAAAGTATTATCATGCAGGATTTGGGTTTTCAGTTTTTTGTTTTTGTTTTGTCTTGCACAGAGCTTAATGTAACAGCATGACAGAGCTGCACGAAGCTGTAGCATTGGGCAATTGTGACCTGGTGGGTGAGATTCTCAAGACAGGGCTGTGTGACCCAAATTGCAAAGATATTTATTGGAGTGACAGAACACCACTGCACTGGGCTGCAGCAAAAGGTAAGTAATAAATCTCTTCTACTGCATTCACAAAGAGGGTACTAATCTCACAGAAAAGAACAGCAGAATTCAGAAACAGATAGAACATTTCAGTCTCCTAAGATTCTCTGCTGCTGACCTGACCTGAAAAGTGACATTCTCCAAAGAAAGAAATTCCAAAGGGAGGCTGCAGCATGAAATGTCTGAATGACAGCTCGTTGAGAGGTTAGTTTCCGTCACATAGGCCTTATGTGAGTTGTTGGTTTCCTTTTCCACTAGGAGTAGGAAATAACATAATAGTCTTAGGATGACTGCACTATGACCAATTACTGCTTTTGTAAATGGTCACTGTATTTACTGAATTGCCCCAAATCTCATCTGTTGCCTGTCTTGGCCATTTGACAGCACTGCTTGCAATTCTTGTCTTTTCATGCGCATGTCTACGCATCAACACAGCATTACGCTTTGTTCATTTGATGAAATGGTTTTGAGCCATGAAAGCTTAGCTTACAATAAATTGGTTCGTTTTAAAGGCTGGTGGGGGGAACGTGTGAGCCCTCCAGGTCTTTGACTCCAACTCCCATCAGCCCCAGCCAGCCTGGTTGAGGGCCAGGAATGGTGGGTGAGAGCCAGCATGTGGGGAGCCACCAATTAACACTCACACACACACACACACACACACACACACACACACACACCCTTAAGGTGCCACAGAGACTTGGGTGTATTTGCAGCAACCGAGGCCGGCCCACTCACGAGGCAAGGGTGGCAGGATCCACGGGGCAGCAGGTCCTGATAGAGACCTTAATTTTCTCCTCCACCCTTGTTCCTGTTGTACATCTTCCCTCACCCTTCTTACCTGGCAGGGAGGGGGACACTATTTTGTGATTTGCCTCAGGTAGCAGGTGGCTGCAACTGGAACTTGTCTATAATGAAGAAATTCCACTGTGATCCATTTCACCCACTTTGCTCCCATCCTTGTATTTCTACAGGGCACTCAAAGATAATAAAACTGCTTGTGGAGCATGGTGCTCGCCTGTGCTTGAGAACTGAAGCAGGATGGACGGCAGCTCATTTTGGGGCTGAATCAGGGAAACTAGGAGTGTTGAGAACCCTTCATTCTCTGCATGCGCCTATTGATGCTGCAGATCTCTATGGGGACACACCCAAGAGGATCGCAGAGATCTACGGACACAAAGATTGTGTCACGTTCTTAGAGGTGTAAGTATCAACAAATTGTTAACAGATAAATCAATTATTATTAGCTAGATTTATATCCCACTCCTCAGCTGGTAGAGCAGAGAAACTACAACATTCAAAATAATATAAAAAAGTTGTTATTTTAAAAAATCAAGTTAAAAGAATGCAATTTAAAGCAGGGATTAGTATAAAAATCAGATTAAGAAGATGAGGCTCTAAAAATAACAGTGTTTGAGTGACAATAAAGAGGCAGCCAAATCCCCACTGGAAGGGGTATTCCAAAGCTCCAGTACCACAACCTGTGCAGGTGCCTCAGGACCCCCAGGGGAGTTACGTGACGCTGCCCTGGCTGTGCAAGGCTGAAGGCGAGTGTCAAGGAGTCCTGGGGGGGTGCCAGCCAGGAGGACGGACTAACCAGGCAACCTGTAGGGGGGTGCATTGCCATGAGGGCTGGTTGGCCCATAGTTAAGCCAGCTGTTGATCCACACAGCTGTCCTGTTGGACTCCACTATGCCTCTCTGGCCTGCGGGGGGGGGGGAGGCAGCCAGGTACGCTTGCCCCAGGCCTTGGAGGGCTAACCTGGCCAGGGCTCCTTTCAGCGCCCCCCCCTCCAGGCCTGCCGGACCTCTGCTGTCATGCGAAGAGCAAGACTCGCACACCGGCCTCACATAAGCTCTGCAATGGCCTGCCTCCCCTTCCTGGCATCCTAGATCTGAACCAAGGATTTTCTGTCCACCCCCACCCCAAACAGGGGCTTGTCCACACCAGAGCAAAAAGTAGATCCCAACCCATTGTTGTCCTGGACAAACAAAATGTAACATAGAAATAAGTGGTTTGGGTTACTGATTGAAAACAACCAATCAGCACACTAAGAATATTATATTTTATTGAATAAATAAAAGGTAAAGGTAGAGGGACCCCTGACCATTAAGTCCAATCATGATCGACTCTGGAGTTGCGGCGCTCATGTCGCTTTACTGGCCGAGGGAGCCGGCATACAGCTTCCAGGTCATGTGGCCAGCATGACTAAGCCGCTTCTGGCAAACCAAAGCAGCGCACGGAAATGCCGTTTACCTTCCCACCGGAATGGTACCTATTTATCTACTTGCACTTTGATGTGCTTTCGAACTGCTAGGTTGGCAGGAGCAGGGACCGAGCAACGGGAGCTCACCCCGTCGCGGGGATTCGAACCGCCGACCTTCTGATCGGCAAGTCCTAGGCTCTGTGGTTTAACCCACAGTGCTACCCACGTCCCCTATTGAATAAATATGCCATATCAATTCCAGATGGCTTGAGAGGTTTTGTTGAATTTGGTGGAGATGACCGTCCTTTCTCTTTCATCTAGGGCAGAGGTAGAGTGTAGGGAGTTCTGTCAGAGAGCAAAATTAAAGGGGACTCAGCTGGACCTGGAGGATGAAGATTGGGAGCGTAAAAAGGCAGAACCTTTGAAAAATAAAGCCTACACACAAAAGAAACTCACAAAAAAGCATGTGGGGAAAGACAATGATCCAACTCCTAGAGTAAGTAATGAGCAGAGCTCTACAGATGCAGCCCAGCTGCCTTAGCTAAGTAACACGGACACCTTCCTTTTGAGCAGCGCTTACAGCATCTTTTGGTTCGATGCAAACCATTTACTGGGCATATCTAGTAAAAATTAGAGGTGAAACCGGAGCGGCTGGGGCAGGATGCCAAGACGGTGGTGCCTGTGGTGGTGATGTTTCAGACACAAGGTTTATATACTTATGTATGTGTTTGGCATGTACATTTATGAACATTTATTTTATATTTTGGACCTTAGAATTCTAACAACAGGAGATAACACATTGCTGGATAAATCACACTGAAGAAAGAGATGCTGGTGATCAGAGATAAAGAATCCAGGAGGTGAATGTAAAGGAAGGGACTGAAGTTTGCAAACCTTCCCGCTGTGGAAATGCTCAAGCAAACAGCAAATCGGAGGTCAGAACAACGAAAAACCAGAGTAAAGCACTGGATTATTGACATGGCTAGAGCTTGTAAAGCAGGTCCAGAATCAGACCACCTTTGTGCAATTTCTATAGCTTTGCAAGAAACATGTAGATTGCTGTAACAGCCCAAGTGTCCAAGTGTAAATCCAAGTGTCTCCAATTATAGTTTGACTTCCAAGTACGAGGAACGCAATTAATGGTTGTGCCAATGCCCAAAATTTAGAAAACTGCAACAATGGACTGTTGTCAGACTTTGGGGCATCGGATCCCTTCCCCTGTGGCAGCAAATAAGCAGATAAAACGAAAGGAGTGTTCTTACCAAATAAGTTCTTTAATGATCACAGCAAGAGACAAAGGAATGCATATCTCTTAAAAATGGCGTTGCTCCCAGTAAAGTTTCACCCCTCCGTCCCCATTAATCTACATCACTCCTACGTTGGATAATCTGAGCTTGTTGCTGCTGAGCTCTCTGTTCTATCACTCTCAGAGCCCATCTGGTCTTAGGCGAAGGGGGTCAGGAATGCTGTCCAAAGACACTGAATCTGCCAGCTCTCTTGGCGTTTCCTCTTCTAGCTGTTCCTCCCTCAGTATTTTCCAGCTTTTCCCTCTGGACTATGTCCCTCTGCAAACCACTGTTCTAAATCAATACTGTCCTCCTGCCCTTGGGAAGGTTCAGAAAAAGGGAGATGGGCTCCCATCATTCCTCCTCAGTCCAGCTCCTGACAACTGTTATCCTTTAAAACAGCTTTTCCACTCAGGAGGAAAATCTTCATGCCACATCCTTAGAATATGGAAGTTGGATGAACAGCCACTGAGCTTTCAGACTTGTCCAGAGAAAACAAACCCACTGAGTTATATCCATCATAATGAAGCTCCAGGTTTCTGAGAAATGTAAATATGGAGAGTATTCTTTTCACAGGCATGGTGTCATATGCTCAGTTTTGCATGCTTATGTAGAAAAGCTAAGTACCATGGATAACAGCATTTAAAAACCGTATGAGAAACATGGTGAGTTTCATTAACTCTGTGGAAACCTGAAGGTTGGAGTTCCAGATGCTATAATAAACAAAAACTTATCTTGCTATGCTTCACACAGTTTAAAATTGTTTTTGTTGTTGTTTTGGAAAAAAATATGAACAAGTCAATCTTCTTAATTATCTGCTACCATTAAACTGATATTGGACTCACCATCTGAATTAGTTTGGTAGCAAATATATTCAAAAGTTTGTGGACATTTTGATACATCATTTAGATATATTCCGGACACACTTGGCTTCCCCTAAACAATCCTTGGAACCACAGTTTGCTAAGGTTACTGGAAATCGTAGCTTGGTTTCCTTGATTCTTTAGCCTTTTGCTTTAAATGTGATTAAAATGTATGTTGTGGATGTGGCCAGACATCCTAGGAGTTTCAAGAAGTAGACCCTTTCCCTTAGAGCTGCAGTGAGACAAAGGGGGGAGTCTTTCTAAACAAAGGATTCCTTCCTCCTATTCTTCTTCAATTTCATTTCTACTACACTGGGGGGCGGGGGGGGGGAATCCCTTCCATTGGCAATATAGAAGGGAGGAAAGAAAAATAACAGACAAGCAAAGGAATGAAACTGCCTCATTAAAGGTTTGCTTTTAAAAGTCTTCACCTGAAGGACTCCCATGTCCCTTATGCACCATCCAGAATGGTGTATCGGATCCGTGGGATCCTTGAGAGAAGGCCTCCTGACTTCTATTAGGGCTCATCTTTTGCTGCCCTGTGCCTAGAAAGCAGCAAGTGCCTGAGCGGTTTCCCACTTGTCCAAGCCCTGTGGCCTTGGCCCGGCCTCTTTCCCCTGAAAACCCACTGATGCCCTCTTGCGTCTCTGATTCTCAAAGGCTTGCACAGCTGTTTATTGCAGCAGCCCTGGCTATAAGCTCCCCAGGCGAAGGGTGTCTCTCTTTGGGGCAGGAGGGCACCCAAAGACCGGGGCAGCAGCAGCGGCTGCCCAGAGGACTCCCAAGGAGAGGGGGAAGGAGGCTGAGGGAACACTCCACAAGGGAGGGTGTTCGAAAAGGGTTGAGGGGCTGCCAGTTCTGCAGGCAAGGGGTGACATGCCGGTAACTGGGCTCCGTCCTGCGCCCCACAGGGGTGCTGCAGAAAGAATGTAGTTGGGCAAGGGAGCTGTGGACCCAAAACAGGTTGACAACCTCTGTGCTAAGGTGACTGTTCCAGAAGCGCAAGCATTTCTGCTTTCTAGAAGGAATGTTTTCTCCTCTTTCCTCTCCCTCCTCACACTATTTTATATATTTATTCATTCCACCTTTCCTCCCAGAGCTCAGGGTGGCACACAGGGGCCTCTTGGGTATTCCTCCTCATTTTATCCTCACAACAACCCTGTGAGAGAGAGTTAGTGTGAGAGAAAGTGACTGGCCCAAGGTCACCCAGTGACTTTCATGTCTGAGCAGGGGCTTGGACCGTGGTCTCCTAGGTCTTAGTCCAATACTCTCACCGCTACTCCACATGGGCACACACTTTTCGGGGGTTCTCCCAACGGTTCTGAGCCAATTTGAGGAGGGTGCAGAGGCATGTGAAGAGACGGGGAGGGGGGATCATTGCACTGGCTTCTGTTACCTCAACAACTTATTTGGCTCCAGCCTAATATATGTATTTATTTATTTAAAATTATTTTTATTAACAGACCAATCAAATCACATTAATTCCAAATTACAAAACCGAATTTTAAATTTTTGGTGGGGGTACCCATGCTTTGAGCTCCGAAAGGGATCCAATCATCTTTATTGCTGCTGCTTTGATGTTCATAGTTCTATCCAATTAGTATTCACAGTTCTGTCCATTCCTCTCTTTCTTATTTCCTCATCTCTTCTTGTTGTTATCATATATTTTTCCTTTCTTTGTAACCTCTGATAGACTCCACAAGCGAGTTGAAAACAAACGTTGTTATAGTCCTGTGTGTGTTTTCACATTAATCCAAAGGTCATATTCACACAGCAGACGCCATTCCAGCACTTCCATAGAAAACAGTCTTAGCGTCTGCTCATTAATCTTCGCAGGCTTGTCACTCCCACCTCGATCTTTTCAGGGGGTTCTGCCAGGTCAGACACAGAGTCCAATATAATAACAAAGCCACGGCTTCCTCCCCCTCTTGATCGTCAATCCTGCAACGAAGCCTGCCTGTCATGGCAAATCTCTTTTTAAAACTGCGTCATTCCAAAGGCCTTCCATTCCTTTCCAGATCTTCCACAAACAAATCCTTTGGTTAATAATTCATTTCCACACACAGTTCATAATCATCCCGCTTATTATCAATTGTTGCAACGGTTCTTCTTGGGGGGGATTGTTAGGTAATCACATAGAGGGAAAAAGAAAAGTCCCCCCCCCTTCCATCCCGTTCCGACATACTGACATCTTTGATGTACAGTGGTGCCTCGCAAGACGAAATTAATTCGTTCCGCGAGTTTTTTCGTCTTGCGAATTTTTCGTCTTGCGAATCACGAATTCCCATAGGAATGCATTGAAAATCAATTAATGCGTTCCTATGGTCAAAAAAAGTCCAAACAAAGCCAAATTTGGTACAACAACCTCCCCAACTGTTGCAAACCCCTCCCCAACTGTTCCCCCAGCCCCTCCCCAACTGTTGCAAACCCCTCCCCAACTGTTCCCCCAGTCACCCAGCACACAGAAATTCAAATCCAGAATTTTTTTTAAAAAACAGTAGAGTGGCCCAGTGGTCACAGAAAATCATAAAAATGCAGAAAAAAACCACACAAGCTTCCAGATTCTTGCAGACCCCTCCCCAACTGTTCCCCCAGCCACCCAGCACACAGAAATTCAAATCCAGAATTTTTTTAAAAAAACAGCAGAGTGGCCCAATGGTCACAGAAAATCATAAAAATGCAGAAAAAACCACACAAGCTTCCAGATTCTTGCAGACCCCTCCCCAACTGTTCCCCCAACCACCCAGCACACAGAAATTCAAATCCAGAAATTATTTTTAAAAAACAGCAGAGTGGCCCAATGGTCACAGAAAATCATAAAAATGCAGGAAAAAACCACACAAGCTCCCAGATTCTTGCAGACCCCTCCCCAACTGTTCCCCCAGCCACCCAGCACACAGAAATTCAAATCCAGAATTTTTTTAAAAAAACAGCAGAGTGGCCCAATGGTCACAGAAAATCATAAAAATGCAGGAAAAAACCACACAAGCTCCCAGATTCTTGCAAACCCCTCCCCAACTGTTCCCCCAGCCACCCAGCACACAGAAATTCAAATCCAGATTTTTTTTAAAAAAAACAGCAGAGTGGCCCAATGGTCACAGAAAATCATAAAAAATGCAGAAAAAAGACACACAAGCTTCCAGATTCTTGCAAACCCCTCCCCAACACCAAGTCCTTGAATTCCAAACACCCCAACCCAAAATCCAAAAACCCCAAAAAGTTTTAAAAGCTTAACTTGGCTGCAAAAGAAGTTTTGGAAAAGCTTCAAAAATCACCAAAGTCTTTAAAAACCTCAAAAAAGGCTACTATGTACACTGCGTTCTATGAGTTGCTCCTCGAAGTCAAGTCGCAACTGTATTAATGGTGTTAAGAAAAGGAAACAAACTTGCAAGACGTTTTTGTCTTGCGAAGCAAGCCCATAGGGAAATTCGTCTTGCGAAGCAGCTCAAAAACGGAAAACCCTTTCGTCTAGCGAGTTTTCCGTCTTGCGAGGCATTCGTCTTGCGGGGCACCACTGTATATTCTTCTTGATTTATTTTCCTGTTGAATCCAGCCCGTCGCTCAGCTTCACAGAGGTCACTTTAATTAGCAGTCTTAACTCCCTTCCTTCACTCGAAACATGTGCATTTGCTGCTCTCTAATTGTTTATTTTGAGCTCCTGCAACCAGGTCGCGCGATCAGAAGCGGCGTCCGGGAGAGCGGAAAAAAAACCACACGAGTGCTGTGCGCTTAGTGCCCTCACCCCCTCCTTCTTTCAAACTCGGGGGTGATTTATTGGCAACCGCAGGCGAGGGCAGTGTTTTCCCAATTCCCTGGGAAAACCTTGGGAGGCTAATTACTCCCATACTAGCCCCTTAATTACCTCGTGTGAGCCGGAGAGATGGTATTGTCGGCCATCTTCCAATGCGCCCCTAGCGGCCCCCAATATATTTATTTATTGAATGTTATTCTTAAATTTGTTCTTTAATTGTAAATTGAATTGTCATTTTTTTTAAATGATCCAGTTAAGATGAAGAATTCTTTTCATTATAATCTGAAGAATTATTCTCTGAAAAACAGTTTTCTCAAAATGTTATTCCAAAAGTTAGTAATATATATACTTGCTACTGCAGAAGTATGTATTACAAAGCCTGGGAGAAACAGTGGCAAAGCAGCTTAAATAGGTGCAACCCCATATTCTAGTCAGTGGCAGCTCATAACACTTTGACTACTTAGGGCTTTCTGCTTTCATCACAGTAAGACTTGCACAGCACTTATTCAGGAATGTGTGTGATTTCACATGAGCAGAGTGCTGCTGACTAAAAGTCCATTATCCTCTGCACATCTGTGGACGAAAGAATAACTTCTATGCAAGAGGGCCCAAGGTATGATTTTCAGACAAGATTGACTCTCTGCTCCTGGCAGGCTCACTCATACAGACACAAATATTCTTAATTTTCTTGCCCTTTTATCCAGTCCATCATAATGATTGGTGTTTTCTTTAATAGCCTAATTGTAATGCATATTTTCACTCATTCTATACTGTAGTGGAAAGGTTATGCATAGTTCAACAATCTGTCTCTACACAGAAAGATTCAGTTGGCTCACTACTTCATCGAAAGACTCCACTATCATTTTATTCTATAGGGACACAATTTTATTTTCAAGATTATTTTAAGTACACAGCAGGCAAATCAGGCT